CGCTATAAAAAATAGGGGTTGATGATAGAAGGGTGAAAATTTAGGATTGTATGTATTTTTGTATGTTGTATCATAAAGAAACTAAAAATTTTGTCTAAAATATAAAAAAAAAATTTTGGGGTGGATTGCCCCTAACATTTAAGGGGATGAAAAATAGATGTTGGCCGATTCTCAGACCTACTCAATACTCTCACAAAATTTCATGAGAATCGGTCAAGCCGTTTCGGAGGAGTATGGGAACGAAAACTGTGACACGAGAATTTTATATATAAGATACAGATATAAAGCTGTATGTCCTTTTCCATCCCAAATACTAAAACGTAACTTGTAGGCGTCACCCGCTTGCTTCAATGCTAAAATCAGTTTAAAGGAAATATATTTGATTAGTCTTGACGACAACTAACAGAACAGAGTGATTATACAACAATTTGGCTTCACTGTAGTCGAGTAAAGTGTGAAACAAAGTTTAACACGAACGAACTACAGGGCAGACATTGAAATGAATCTTACAAATGAAATAATGTTATCTTGCCAAGTATTCTGGAACGGTGGTTTAAACTAAATGCCAGTTACCTTCGAGCTACGGACAGAAACAAAAATTTACAAAATGCAGAGAACTAATAAATGTGCTCTAATTAAGTCAAAAGTCTAAAATATACGATATCAGATATTTTCTTAACATCATTATTACTTACTAGCTGTTCCCGCGACTTTGTCCGCGTGGAATTTATCATTATTTTTCTAAAATAAAAGTAGCCTAAGTTACTCCTTATTACATTAGTTACCCGCCAAAAAAATGCCATCCAAATCGGTCCAACCATTTCAGAGATTAGCTGGAACAAACAGACAGACAGACAGACAAAAATTGTAAAAAAAAAAATATTTTCGTGTATGTACCGTATTTATGTTCATATGCATCTAGTAAAAAACGATTATTTCAATATTACAATCTCTAATTTTATTTATATGTATAGATGTATAGATTATCATCATTGCATAGTATAAAATAAAGTCGCTGTCGCTGTCTGTCCCTATGTATGCTTATATCTTTAAAACTACGGAAATTTAAGCGGTTTTTTCAATATGTAGAGAGATACAAGAGGAAGGTTTATATGTATAATACATGTACACCCGTGCGAAGCCGGGCGAGTAGCTAGTTATGTAATTTTAATAAAATATTCGATTACGTGCTCGTAGAGAATTCTAAATAAGCGGAAATATAAAAAAATATTTCACTTCCACTTTGCTTGTTGTTACAAAATTGTGAATAACAATTACAATATTGTCTTATTTGTTCAGTTAGTTTTTAATTTAATTATTAGGAAAACTGTGCTATTTATTAATCAGTGTTTACAGAACAAGTTGGTAAATTTATATTTGAACAATATTTGTTTGAAACAGTAATAGCCACTTTTCCTGCCCATCTTGACTGAATCTGCATTTAGAACAGGCCCCAGTAACCAAAAAATATCATTTCAGAACGCTTATATGAATAAAGATTATTTGTATTTCTAACATCCTCGACTTCGCAACTAACCTTGTATTATTATGGAACCGTGGGTCGGTACGTGTGTGAAATGCATAAATGTATGGGTAATGTATTCATTGATTGGAAAACTATGTAGTATAAAATTCAAAATATCTCTATTCATGTAGGTCTATTACAGACTCTTATGATATATCAAATCTACCGTCAGTTCGGAATGATTTCGAGATGAGAAGAACCGACAAGAAACTCAGCTCGTATTCTTTTCAAATAAATCTTGTACATGTTTACAATAATACAGATTCATTTAAATTCAAATTTGGGAGAATAGTGACCACCAGCGTATGCTATTGCTACAGCAATAAAGAGAATATAGTTTATTTACAGTCGGTTATGTAATAGGGAATGCATCAACAATACAAGCGTTAGATAATAAGGTTAAGCATGTGTGCCAAGTGACGTGCGGTGGGTGACGCGGCGCGGGCACACAACACCACGGCCAAGTTCACGACGGCCACGACCAAAATACCACACACACCCACATGCCACACGCCAGCGCTGTCACCATCAGCCTGCCGTCCCCTCACAAATTCACGATCCCGGGGCGGATCGCTGATTTGTGGGGTCCTGGGCTAAATCTACTTAGGGGCCTACCAAATTAAACTCGACTTAAAAATACACCGACCAGAAATTCTCCGTTCCTTTCGTGCCAGGTTTTTTAATATTCTAAATATCGTTTCAGTGGGGACTAGGGGCCCTTTGTATCCTCGGGGCCATGGACTGCAGCCCAAAAAGCCCTTAGGTAGATCCGCCCCCGGTAGTGGTCTCTCGACACTTCCTGTAACACTCGTGCACAGAAAGGTGCTTTGCGTTTACCTTTGCGGGCTCTCTACCAATCAGGTTGCAATTACTGCATACTGCAGCATCATCACGCAAGGTCTATGCGTATCCTCACTTCTGACCTGTTCGGATTATTATCAGCTAATGAATTTCACCATCGCATTACCCGCAACTAAAATACCATCCTGGTCATTTAGATAACTGGCGGTTCTCGGCCATGCGTATATCAAGATTTTTTTTGCCAGATTGAGGAATCACTTTCCAGCAATGGTATCTCCGAACCAATACGATACCTTCAAGAAAAGAGATTATTGCTTCTTAAAATGCCAGCAACGTACTTGCAATTCCCCTGGTGTTGCGTGTGCTCATGGGCGGCGGTAATCACTTACCATCAATTGATCCGCATATCATCTGTCCCCTATGCTATAAGAATAAATGTTATGAATGCAACCTTTGATATGTCCACATTTCGCTGTAAATACATGATCTTTAATAACTACACCTTCACAACGCTCTCAGAGTGTCAGAAGATCTTAATATCAAATGAGCAAATCATATAGAGCAAATAATATCAAATGAGCAATTAATATGAAATGACCCGGTTATGCGGTAACAATTTGTAATTAATAAATACCCCGAATTACCTCTCTCGGTCACTGACGTTGACAAGTATCGTTCAGAAAAAGTCAATGCCATAGACTCAAACAAAATAATTCATCATCATCATCATCATCGCAGCCCGGAAGACGTCCACTGCTGGACATAGGCCTCCCCCAAAGATCTCCACGAAATAATTATTTGTTTGTTATTTATTTAATTTATTTACTAGTTTTTGCCCGCGGCTTCGCTCGCGTAGTAGTAAGTATTATTATTAATTAGATGTAGGTTTTGCGGCTTTACTTTTGTTTAGCTGTTTACACACAAATTAGGGCCTACAAAATCTAAGAAGATTTATACAAACTTTCATTCCCTATTTTATCCCCTTAGGGGTGGAATTTATCAAAATCCTTCTTAGCGGATGCCTACGTCATAACATCTACCTGCATGCCAAATTTCAGGCCGATCCGTCCAGTGGTTTGGGCTGTGCGTTGATAGATCACTATGTCAGTCAGTCACCTTTGAGTAATATATATTTAGAGGTATCTAAATATATAGACTGACATACATGTTTTTTTTTTTACTATACTATTAACATAGACTCAAACATAAAATAATAATAATATGTTACTAGCAACACTATCTATAAATTACTAAAACCCTGATTGCATGTTAATGTATTTTGAGACCTTCCGTAAATGATAGACATTAACCCTGACCACAGATCGTAAACGTGCACCCGCCGACACTGGCACTACCATGGAGGCTCTTTTAGCATACATCTATGTTACAGTTTAGTACAAAGTAACGTGCTGTGGCGATGTTTTTAACAGAAAATTATATTGTTCATAGCATTCACATAATGTTAGTTGCAGACTACGTTATTCTACATCAGCGGTTCCCAAACTTATACTGTCTTATTCCAAAAAGATAAACCTGGTAAAGCACTAGCAATAAACCATTGACCAAAGTATTCCATATTACAAAAAGAAGTTTATCTCTAAACCGTAATTCGTCTCTGGTCTAAAGTTAGACCTGCTATTTAACAGTGATCTAAATGCAAAAAGTCAAACTCCATTTTAAAAATTGTATTGTAAGTTGTTTTTTGAAAAAATATCTTAACTAAATTAAAAATATTTAAAGCTAATTTTACGATAATAAAAATATATAAAAGACGTTATTTGTTATTTTTTCACTCCTTTGTCTTTGAAATATAGTTACCATTCGAATCGATCCAATAAAAATATCTCGACGTTCTTTTTCTCCGTGTACTTGTAATTTAATACTGATTTTCTGCCTAATGTACATTAATAAATATTATATATTAATGAAATAGTTATAATGAAGACATAGATAAATAGATATAAAATTATTTTTAGTTTATACATTTTTCTTTGAAGTAATATTATTTTTTATCATTTCTGTTTTCTGGTAAAACGAAACGCAATTGTAGACTGACAGAAATTAAATAAGTTAGTTATGACAGAATCATCTCTATAAGACAGGTCTATCTCCATCCATAGTTAAAAAACTATGGAAAACAATTTGATTGGTGTGACTTGCATTTTAGTGAATATCATCACATTTCATGGTCCAAACACAAATAATTATAACACTCGCAGTAACAGAGAACGTAATACCAAAGTTACAAAAAATACGCACCGTCCAAGTAAAACGACTCATTAACGTCTTATGTTTGATTCATAGACTCGTTTACAAGTGTAATTTTTATTATAAAGTAGCAGTAGCCGCGACTTCGCGTGGAATTTAACAAAAAACTTAATTAGAGAATTTTTTTAAAAGTAGCCTAAGTTACTCCTTATTACATCAGCTATCTGCCAATAAAATCTGGTCAAAATCGGTCCATTAATTTCAGAGATTAGCCGGAACAAACAGGCAGACCGACAAAAATAAAAAAAAATGTTATTTTGTTGTATGTACCGTATTTATATTCATATGCATATAGTAAAAAATGGTTATTTCAATATTACAAACGGACACTCCAATTTTATTTATATGTATAGATGTATAGATTACTATAGGACTGTAGTTGAGCGGCATGTCGTTTAATTTGCAGGAAGCTGATCGTGTGTCACTACAAGAAGGGGACAGAGATATGCAACTACAGCTATAGCAACACCATCCTCGCGGTGAAGCTCAACCGATCCGTGAGTCAATTGTAGTTCTCACTTATTTATTTAATTATATAATCCGGCTCGAAGGACCATAACGAGTATGAGTCTGCTGTGACCCACACAATCTGGATGCTATGATGTGTAAATGATAAGTCCGGGCCGCTTTCCAACTTGATATATTGAGTACACGATGACTGTGTGGACTGATGCTTGCTTGTGAGTATTTGGTGTACTGAAGGGAAAATGGTATGTGTGGGCGTTGTATGGACGCGGAGCGGTGTAAAATGCTGACGGCTGTACGGTGATCATTAAGATTTAAGATAAGATTAACCAGTAAGTAAATAAATGAGCATAATAATAAGTAGCAAGTGTCCCGTGGATATCTGTACTGGGTTTTGCTATAATAGAGTCTAATTTAACTAGGTACATTAGACTCGATTATAGCAGTAGCTAGCATCGAAAGACAACGGAAATAAATATATAATTTGCAGAGACTGATAGTGTGCCTGGAGGAGTCGCTGCACATCCACAACATCCGCGACATGAAGATCCTGCACACGATCCGGGACACGCCGCCCAACCCGCGCGGGCTGTGCGCCCTGTCGCCCTGCGTGGACCACTGCTACGTCGCCTACCCGGGCTCCAGCGCCGTCGGGGAGGTGCAGATCTTCGACGCCGTGCATCTGGTCAGTACTCTAGCTTTGTACCATGTCATTGCATAGTAGACCCACTTACGTCATTTTCAAGGAACGCAGTGAAACTAGCGACTTGGTCGACGTCGCCCGTTTCAAAACTAGTGATTTTTGTTATTTGCTATATTTACATAAATACCACCAACTATATATGCAAGGGGGATACGAAATGAAAACAAATTAAACCATCAATTGTTTGTAGCTACACAGATAAATTAATAAATGAATTTCCTCTCATAGTTATTTAAGTTTAGAACTAAGTGCATTAAGTGTATTTATGTATGACAGATTATTGTATATTATGAAATTATAATTTTCATAAAATTATTAATGCAGACGTATTTAAAAGTTAATTCGATTGTATACACAATGAGGATCGATATTTACAGTTTATTTACACTTTTCCAAAGTTTTTGTATTTTTATTTGCAGTGTAGAATCTTTTTCGTTTGTTTAATACAATGCGTTATTACTAATAACGTATTTAAAAAAATCACTGCTTGTATCTGTAACTCGAAACTAGTGATTTGGGTACATGCCGCGTAGCTGGTTATTGTCCGTGAAATAACGTCCATGTCTACCGCAGAGACGAGCGGTAGTGAGGGTTAGAGATTGTGCTAACTCGTGATAAACATGACTCGAGTTAATTCGAGTTACAATTTGGGTAACTCGAGTTACCTGGAATAAAAAGTTTTTTTTTTCTTTTTTCGAATGATTCTAATGTTATTGGGCGCAGCTAGCTTCGAAAGCTTCACTAAACTTTAGGGCGCGAGTAGAAATGGCACTTTAAAGCCGCGGATGGACTTATGGAACGCATAATCATTTTATTAATAACATTATCGGATGAATATGCGAAAAAAATGATAATAATCTCAAATCAATACTGAAATATTTGTGATGAGTGAAAATTGTATGATACGAAATGATCGGAAAGTTTCACGTCATTGTCGGTTCGATGACAGAATCATGCTCTCGCTCTTTCAATCGATTCATTCATTTACCGGTCGAACTCTTCCAACTCGAGTCGGCAGAATTCAACTCGAGTTAACTCGAGTTGAATGAAAGAGCGAGAGCATGATTGGATCATGCTCTCCGACACATGTGTAAGGATGCGCGTGCGCGTGTGGGTGTGGGTGGTACAGAACGCGAAGTGCGTGATGAGCGCGCACGAGAGCCCGCTGGCGGCGCTGGCGTGGTCGATGTGTGGTCGGCGGCTGGCCACCGCCTCCGAGCGCGGGACGGTCATCCGGGTGTTCGCCGTGCCCGAGCGCACGCGCCTCTACGAGTTCCGGCGCGGCGTCAAGCGCTGCGTCTCCATCGCCTGCCTGGCCTTCAGCGCGTGCGGCGCCTACCTGGCCGCCACCTCCAACACGGAGACCGTGCACGTGTTCCGGCTGCAGGAGGACGAGGCGCCGCCGGAGCCCGAGCCGGCGGAGGCGGGCTGGGTGGGCTGGCTGCAGCAGGCCGTGGCGGCGGGGGCGGGGTACCTGCCCGCGCCCGTGGCCGACGTGCTGGCGCAGGGCCGGGCCTTCGCCGCCGCCCGCCTCCCGGTCGCCGGACACCGCGCCGTCGCAGCCGTCACCAAGTGAGTCCGCTCGCCTCTCGCCGGGAACTTACCGCTATCTCTAATCTTAATCTTGGTCAAATAGGAGTTATTTCAAATGAATAAGATTTTACTAAAACTTACTTCTTTATTGTTGTTTCAATTTCGACGAAGTGCTCACAACTTTGTATATAATAATAATAATAATCATCATCTCAGGACAATTCACAAAGCACCATCTAGTCCCAAGTTAAACTAGCTAAAGCTTGTGTTATGGGTACTATATAACTGATACAAATACATAAATATATATATTTTTAAATACATACATATTATACATAGAAAACACCCAAACCGATACAGACAATCATACTCATGAATACAAATGTTTGTGCCGTGCGAGGAATCGAACCCGCGACTATCGGACGTAAAATAATGTGCTAAACCGCTAAACCACCAAGGTTATTAAAGTTGTAGAAGTATATTCAATCGAAGAATGCCTCTTATAAATCCACGAACTTTGGGACCGATATAAACTACGTAATGATAGGGTTGCCAACTCTCGAAAGGACCAACCCGGGAGAAATTTAAAGGGAAGGGTTGGCAGAGAAAGAAAATCATTAATTACTTTTTAAATTTATATTTAAATCATAAAAGTTTTTACATGGACAATCGAAGTTTGTTAGTACTTGTAACTTTGCTTTTACTAAAGAAACACTCGTTCGGTTTCTATCCTCGCTCCATTATACTGAATACACGCTCGCATGACGCATTAGTGGAGTGGCGCGCAGTGTTGTAGCCACGGAGCGAGTGAATAGCAACGAGCGATCGACGAATGCATTATTTTTTAGAAAAACCGGAGAAATCGTTCTCCGGATTACCGGAGTCTCCCGGGTCGGGTACCCTACGTACTGGGTACGCATCTCGGCTAAAAGGAAATATCCAGGGCCGTAAAATTCTTATTAAAAAAAATGGGTACGCATTTGGGACGTATTAAGAAGTGAGGGTGCGGTGTCGGCAGCGTGGCGCGCGCGCCCCGGCTGCTGGTGGCGACGTCTGCGGGCGAGCTGCTGGTGTTCGCGCTGGACGCGGCCGACGGCGGCGAGTGCACGCTGCTGCGACACCACCACCTGCTGCCGCCCGCGGACCACCGCCAGCAGCAGCAGCCGCAGGGTGAGTCACCCCACACCTCGCACATCTCACACATCTCGCACGCCCGTGACCGCGTCTTCTATTTCTAGATAATGATTCCTCTCATCTGAGATTACGACTAAACTCGTGTTCATAAAGCTTTCACATCTACAATGTCACTAATGAGAAGCTGTTATAATTTTCTTAAAATAATTATTCTCATCAAATACGTATACGTGAAGTGACAGCTAACATACTCGATAGCTAAGATAATTCATGCTTAACTATAGAAACTATTTGAACATTTCCATATATTCAAATGTAATATTGAACTTCCAATGTTATATTTGAGATTATACGATCCTCACAAACTATTTGTGTTAATCATAAAGTGCACAGTCGCGGATTCTTTGTTACATTCATATATGCTATAGACTCGATCCGTCGAGGGTCCACTCGATCCTCGACCCTTCTGCATGATCACTGTTCGTCTCGAGCGGCCGACCACCGAGCGGTCTCGTAACTCTTCGCACATTCATATCGTATTCTGTTACGACACGTCTCACTCTGCCGCTCGAGACAAATCTTTTATATAAGTACTTATAATAATTATTAATTGAAAATTCGCCAAAGACTAACTCGGCGCTCGCGTCCGCCCGAACGCCATCGTCCGGAGCGGACGCGGCGCGCGCCGGACATTCTGCCTCGCTCACTCCGCCGTCCCTCTTTTCCCTCCCTCCTCCCGCTCACCTCGTCACCGCCGACACTCACGGCTCCCACTAAAACCTCCCACGAACATAACCTCCACGAGAACGTCGCCCCCGCTTGTACTAGTCGTATCACAGCGGTCGTACTCGACCGATCTCCATCGCACCGCAGACGTACATCCGATCGAGAATGACGCCCACGACTATACCCGTCATGTGATCCGTATTTTATGTAATCATATACTGTATCGTACTGATATGTATTTATTTATGAGTATTACACTACGACGCCGACGCGACGAATCCCCGACGGGGAGGAGTCGAGCGGAGTCGACTGCGGAACGCGGTTCGAGTCCCGTTCGGCGGCGTGTGTCCGTCTGACGCTAACGTGTTGTTCCCGGAGCAGCCGCGGCGGCCAACAACAGTTACGCGGGCGCGCTGCGCGGCCGGGACCCCTCGCAGATGACAGGTACTCCTCCGCCCGACCGCCCCCACCGCCCCGACCGCCCCGACCGCCCCCAGGGGATCCCCTCACCTGTAGCCCGCACGCCGGCCGGAGATCCGTTCGAGCAGCGTCGTAGTCGGCTTTGAGCCTCGCTTCGCTCTCCTCCGCCTCTGCGACCGCCTCTCGGTCGCGAGAAAACGTCGCTACGATGACGAACGACCGCCCGAGGTACACGTAAGTAGCGACGGTGAGTGTCCGTGTCTCTGTGGACGTAGCGTCGGATCGCCGGGCTCGCGTGCGTTTCGGTCGTCGAGGTTTCGGTGGACGAAACGGACCCGACCGTGAATGCCCATTTTTTATTGCTTTGCAACGAGATGACTAACCCGTCTGGCGATAACCCGGCTTTTTTATATTTCCTACCCCCTCCCCGTATACTCGTAGACCGTCAGTGACATCTCTCGGGCCGCGAGTTCGCTCGGCGGCGGTGCGGAGGGTGTCAGTGGCGGTCGGTACAGTGTGCTCTTGTGGCAGGCGCGGACCTGCGGCCGACGACGGGGGACGCGCGCCCAGACGGTGAGTAGCGTCCTCGTCCGCCCCCCCTCCCCCTCCGTCTCCTCCGCCCCCGCCCGCTACACTAGCACGCCTCCCCCCCGCACTCGCACTTCCCCTCCCCTCCGAGCCGTTCCCCGCACTCGCTTTTAGTTGACCACGAGCTCGACGCTCCTCGTTAACTTTCTGCGACGCGGGGGCGGCGAAACGTAATTTTTTTTTTCTAATAATGGGTGAATTAAATGTACATATGACAAATTTATATGTACATTTATGTATTTTGGATTTTAATAATCAATTCTAACGCTACTTTATTATCGTGTAATTAAGCGATAGGCCGCGGCTTCCTTTCTAACGTATGTGCGGTTGGACACGACCGCCGGTCTGCGGTACCGCCCTGGCTTCCGTCACTGACGGCGATCGCTCAATTTTAGCGCAGACGTAATCGTTAGCCGTACGGTCGGGCGGGCCGGGGCCCCGGTCCCCGCACCGGGGCCCCGGTCCCCGGTCCCCGGTCCCCGGCGGCGGCTGCAGGTGTGGGTGTTGCAGAGTCGGAGCGCGCGTGCGAGCTGGGCGCGGCCGCGGAGGGCTCCCCGCCGCGCGGCTCGTTCGACGTGCGCGACCCGCGCCACTTCCCGCCCATGCGGCCAGCCGGCTCCGCGCCCGCCGACGCCGCGCCCGCACACTAGCGCCGCACGCCCCACCGCCGCACCGCCGCACCGACGCCGCCGCCGGTAGTTCTGATCCGTTACTTTTTACCGATCGCTCCGTCGGACGCCATCAGGAAATTTCAGTCGACGAATCTGACGCCAACCGAACGCGTCCTGACCGTACCGGTTGTACTGCTGCCTTAAAATTACAGGCGAAGCACGCATATAAAAATTTTAAATCATATATTTTGACTAAATTAATCTTCTACATTCTGTAAGATATCCAGAATATACAAATAAATAGTGATAATATGCGACCACACTGTGGCAAGTTATAGAAAAAAGTAATACAATAATGGATATATAAGCGTTACAATGACAAAATTGTACTCGAAAATATAAAATTATATTTAAAAGAAATTAGAAATGAATCAAAAGTAATATCAGAACTACCGGCGCGACAGATAAGAATATTTCGTCCTGTCATTACACGTTATAAAAACGTATAGTAGGTACGTTTCAATACATGAACGTGTTATGACTAACACTGATAATATCTTCATGACCAACTACAACATACTGTCGTGTCCTGACGTGGGTATTTCCCTATAAGAGTATATTAGAGTACTTGTAACTAGAGATGAAACGGATATTCGGTAACTATCCGGCTAAATACCAGATAAGAAAGGAGTATTCGGCCGGATATCGGATTTCAAATAAATACGACATAAACATTGAAGTTACTCGATTTAACAACGAAAATAAAAAAAATTTAATAATAGAACAAAAAAGTTAAACATTAGCAAGAATTACCAAATAGCAAACTTTTGTAAGCGGTTTTTTTATAAAAAAGAATTCCACAAAGGTTTTTATCAATTTTTTTTAATGAAGACATATTTCTTTACATAATAGAAAATAAAACACAAATAAAATTACTCAAACAACAAGAACACGTTTTTTCATAGCCTCTTATGATCGTATTTGCAATCAATTCAAGCAGAAAGCATTAATGTCACTCAAACGAAAAGGCCCGAAAACCACTGAGTCGCCACTCGGCTATGTTCGGTCGGATATTCGGCTATCCGGCATGGAGGTTGTAACAAGTATCCGTTTCATCTCTACTTGTAACGACAGAGTACAGGTGGTAACAGCAGGCTAAGTAGACTCAATGCATGGTTTGTTTTCAAATTTTCCTTCTCTTACACTGATGTTGTTTTGTGTTAGTCTAAAGTAGAGTTGCCAATCGTCCTGTTTCCCCAGGACTTGTCGTAATTTTTGAAATGTCCTGGGAAGTCTTGAATGCGCGCCTCTTAATTACCGATTTTTCAACAGTATAATTTTATCGAATACTTTTTATTAGACACCTGATAATATTACTTACTTGAATTTTACTACATATTAATATAACTATTGCAACACTATTACTGCGTTCTGTTTTTAAACTGGATAGTTCTGCTTTTTTTTAATTTGGACTTGGCAACCCTAATCTATAGTAAACTTTTAGGACATCCTATAAATATCTATTGTCACTTAGTGGCCACACGGCAACGTTCAACTAAACAAAACTAAACATGTCCAATGTACGTGTTATGACACGACGAAATATTAATATCTAAATACAATATTGTTATATAATTAATGCGCATACTGTGTCTTTGGTTTGACGTATACAAAGTCATACTATTGCTAAACATTCTAGTTCAGTATGGACTCCCAAATGTACAGTATGTATAATAAAGTAAAAAAGCAACATTTAGCTTCACTATTGATAACATAAGATTATGTTAATAATTTACAATAATATAGTGTTGACAAGTATATAGTATTTTTCATATTAAAAACTTTGACATCGCAATATTAATTACTGACTAAAACTTACTATAAATAGTTGATGTTACAGATTAGAAGTAAATATGTTTAATAGATAATTATCAATAATGTATGCTATGTAGAGATAAAAAATTGTATGATTGTAATCCCAAAGACATGCGTATGCGCGCGGGCAATCCGCTGCGATGTATATAGTGTGTAAACAAACTATGAGGCACTTGTAAATGTTACGGGGGCTCGCGCCCGTACTCGGCGCTGTCCGGCACTGTCCGGTGTCGTCCGGCACTGTCCGGTGTCGTCCGGCACTGTCCGGTGTCGTCCGGCACTGTCCGGTGTCGTCCGGCACGGCACTGTCCGGTGTCGTCCGGAGCGGGCCCTCGGTCGATATGTGATACGTGGTGAAGAACGAAAGGTCGTACGAGAGTGGAGTGTGAATGTATGATACGGTAGCATTGTGTCGCGCCGCTGCGATTATTTTATTGTAATAGATATCTTGCGACCGTTTTTCTTCAATTTGTATAAATGATGTACATAGAGGTTATCTATCGGCGGACGCAGTGCGCTCACTCAGTAATAGTAATGATTAAAATATGTTAACGTAAGTGATACGCTGCGAGCGTGTCCGGCCCGGGAGTCGATCGCGTACGTGTACGCACTGCGCTCGCAGCTCGCCGCGCACTGTCGCGCCTCACGCCGCTGCACCACCGGCGTCTTGTACTTTAATGTTTTGAGGATCCTCCTCGAGGAAGGCGCGGCGCGACAGTGCAGCGGCTGCAGCTTAGACACAATATTGTAAATAATTATTAAAATAATATTTTTACAAAATCAACCCTTCGGCTTTTTATTTTGTTACATCCCTGCATGACGATACAACTTCTGCACTCACACCAGGCCCCACTCTTCATGGGGGTTCAGTTATCTGAGGAGAAAGTACTCGCGTACTTGAATGGGTGGTGTCGACTTACGCAACACAAATAAGACAACAATTCAATAAATTTTTATATTCAATTTTATTTACACGAGATACAATGGTTTCAATAATAAATAATAAAGAATTCTTCCATACATTGCATAGGTGACGATTCTGATGTGTTGCATAGACAAATTAATCTGACAAATCAAAACTGCTACGCTTCTATAGCGGTTGAAAATGAATTCAATTTAAATACATCAGAATTAGCACCTGTATAAATAAATATGATTAGCCGCAGTCTTAGGAAGTCTTGAACACACAACCAGCTCATAATGTTGGATTTCTAACAATAATAAGGACCTCGTCACCCACAATCTTACACCATAGTCCATAAGATCACTTCATATTTCTCCTCAGCTATTTGAGTCTGCTTTATATAGCTATAGGCGTTCTACATAATCCGACAAGATAAGACTGAATATGATAGTCGTTAATAATAAATAACCCTGGACAATTAACACAGCGCCATCTATTCCCACGGTAAGTAGATATTGTGTTATGGGAACTAGACAACTGATAGAAATACAATTTTTTTTTTCTAAATGTTAAATATACATAGAAAATACCCAGACCGATACAATCATAGTCAAGGAATACAAATGTTTGTACCATGCGAGGAATCGAACCCGCAATCATCGTCGTCAAGTTTATTAGTAAAAAAAGTTTTGAATGAAATTTTCATTACAACAATGACAATTCTCAATATTTGGACTACAACTAATCACAATTGGTTTACTTACCATTGGGTGAGGTGAGGTCATATTTACTATGTATACATACTACTTGATGTAACTACTTTGTATAGTCAATTGATGTACTTAAATAATAATTTATCAGCAATACCCTTAGGTACAGAGCGGACAGCTAGGGTCTAACTAGGTTACACTATATATTTTTAACCGAGTAAATACAAAGAGGCGACAAATGCGACCAAGCAACGGGACTGCAAGGTAAGAGAACTAAGGCAGAGACAATTTTAATACAAATTTATAATAGCAATTATGGCAACACCAGCGGAACATTCGGAATTTAGATTTTGATAAAAACGGAGAATGATTGAAAAAACTACTCAGTCTCAACTCACACAAAATATATATTATATTTTGTTTGATCACAACGTTTAGATGCAGTCATTCTCCACGACAATGCTGTAGAAATACGTAAAGCCTCTGTATCTACTGGGTCGCTGGGAGATGCCCTCAAACTGAACCAAACTGCGGCTACCTGGACAGGGGCCGTTCAAGTATTACGAAGCAAGTGGGACTTTGCTTTGCTTATGTGGATGATATTGGTGGTGGGGGAGTCTAGATGATGATTACATCATCGGCAGTCATTAAATTTTTTACACGAATTGTAATTAAACTGAAAAATTATTACGTAAGCATCGGGGTATGAGCTTTGCTTACTTTTACTGACTAGGGCATCCCCCTTGTCAGCAGCAAAGCAAAAGGGGGGGTAAATAATTGTAATAAATCTGCTTACGTAATACTTGAACGACCCCACAGCGCTCAACGCATTTTTAAAACCCATATATTACATACACTTATACTATATGCGCTGCAGCATGGTGTGGGTGACATTTCATTAACGTTTCTTTTCACTCTTAAAAGTTGCCGCGATTTACAAATCATGACTTAGTATTTCAGCTGTACCACATTCGTAATATTTTTATCATTATCAATCATCAATTACACTAAGCCCCAGTGAGCAGGGAAGTGAGCAGTGCGAGAGTGGAAACACTTCCCATGCGAGTGGGAGCCGATGGGCTCCCACTCGCACTGCCCGGCGCTCCCTCGATTGTCGGTTTTTCGTGCGCGAGTCAAAGGACTGGCAGCGCGAGTGGCAGCGTGTTTTTACATTCAGCCCTCTCCCTCAGTTGTCGCCCGGCAATATTTCCGGCAGCGCGAGTGGCAGGGGAAGCGGCTGAATGTAAACGTAACATAATGTAAAATTAGTAACTGTCACCCGCACCATGCTACAACGCACAGTGTAGTTTTGAAGTGGAAAAAAATTACATAAACAAGTTTGTTTATTAAATAGCTTCAACCAGTTCTGACAAGTATTAACCAACACACCCGTCGGTCTGTCTGTCTGTGCAGTGTGATGAGAACAATATACAATGAGCAGAACGGGTCTTGCTATCGATCACTTCTATAAAAGTAACACCTAGAGGTGGATTTAGAGAACGTGTTGCCAGTTGAGAGTATAAAAGTGCTAACCAAAAAAAACATTTTTAAAAATTACAACTGTTTCACATAATGGAAACTATTTGACTCCATTGAGGTTTTAGGTACCAACTGCCGGCTTTTGTTAATTAGCAATATGATCTGTGTACCAAATTGAAATTTCAACAGCCTAGTTGTGATTGAATTTGTTCTTCAATCACTATTAGGTTGAAAAATTTATATGTATATATTCAAACATAGGATAGGTCATTTTAGCCGCTTATGAACGTCAAATTTTTAAATTAAAATTATAATGTAAAATTTGACGTTCTAAAATGTCCTACATGAATAAATGATTTTGAATTTGAATTTGAGATTTACTCATAGATGAGACAACTATATATAAATAAAATATGAGCATTGTGAGTGGAATAAATAATATCTGTCTGCACCCGTTTCTTTTTCATCAATATAAATACACCATCACGGGGCTAGAACTGTGTATAACGGCATTTTTGCCGCAATGTACCGCAACAGTTTCATTATTGCAATCCCCGGCAGTACAATTCCTTGTAAATTTAAATAAATAACCCTGGACAATTCACACAGCGCCATCTAGACCCAAGTTAAGATAGCTAAAGCTTGTATTATGAGCTCCAGATAACTGATACAAATAGATTTTTTTTAGTAAATACATACGTATTATATATAGAAAACACCCAGACCGATACAAAAAATCAATCTGTACTAAAACGTAAACACTTGTACCTCGTCATAATAAAATAAACCCTCCATTTAAATATTTGGAAATTAATATAACAATATCACTATTAGCAACTACTATACTAGTATTGTGGACGCGAGTACGTAATACCTCAATGTTTAGTATAACTGTGAGATCCAGTCTAAATCCACCTGGAAGGTGGTCGCAGGCGAGGCGTCTGCATGCTGGTACCCTCCGTCGATATAAAAATAACGTAAGCCTAGTTTGAGTGCGACGTCCCGCACGAGCACGCACCGCGTTGAGAGTGCGGGTTTACATCGCATTTCTTCTGGAACAAACGTACACTGCTATAGCTACTATTGTATTACTAAACAAACAATATTTTATTTTTAAACTTTCGTGTTTAATATACCTTATTTATATTATCAACCGGGTCTTAACACGAATAATTTTATGGCATACTATTCCAGGTGGACGAAGCCGTGGGTTTCGTCCCACCCACGATTTCGTCCGCCTGGAATGTAACTTTATTTCTCTAAAATAAAAGTAGCCTACTTTTGTTACTGTTTGTTTGTAATATTGAAAGGACCGTTTTTTACCACATACACCTAAATAACATTCTTTCCAATTTTTGTCTGTCTGTCTGTTCCGGCTAATCTCTGAAGTGGCTGGACCGATTTTGACGGGATTTTTATTAGCAGGTAATTGATGTAATAAGGAGTAACTTAGGCTGTTTTAATTTTAGCAAAATAAAGTTAAAATCCACGCGGACGAAGTCGCGGGTTCAGCTAGTTCAAAATAAAGACATTGTAGGTACTTTTATAGTGATTACACTTTTCATTGTTTTTAAAGATACCCTATTTATAATTATACCTTTTTATAAAAAAAATAAAATCGTGGTAAGGCCGCGGGTATAGTCGGAGCCGGTGGCTGGCCCCTGGCATGGGCATGGGTCAGGATGCAGGATGCAGGATGCAGGGTGTTGGTGGGTGTTCGTACCTCGGCATGGCGCACATCTCGCAGGCGTCGTGCCGCGCCGCGTTGTGGAACGTGCACAGCGGACACGTCCACACGCCGCCGCCGCTGCCGCCGTCGCTGCAACAGTAACGGTACCTACTGTTACTACCTCCACTTGTCACCTGCTATTTATGTACTATTACAAATACAGTAGGCAAACGTTCTCAAATAGTTTCACGGCTGTCCTACTGATTTATAGTTACTGCGGGTATAAATTTGCTATTTTTGTTTTTGTCTTTAGTGAAATAAATAAGAGTTTTTTTTTTGTGAAAAAAAAATTGGGAAGTTAATTTCTGCCTGCCCCCCCCCCCCCCCCCTGTATAATTGATACGGTGGTAGCTAAGCCCCTGATCCTAGACTAAATAGTCAGAGGCATTGTAAACTACCGACGTTCTGAATTCGGCACTCCACATGCCCACATTACGCTGAGCATATCTGAATTCACTTGCCACTGTATCTATAGTTATCTCATTTCTTCGAAATACAATAAGAATAGAAATAGAAGAAATAGTTTCACGATTGTCCGAGACTAAATGGCCAGAGGCATTGCAAAATGTCGACGTCGTTCTGAATGTGACACTCGAGATTACGCTAAGCATATTGAATCCAATAAGACTTGCCTTGACTTTTTATAATTAAATGTCATTATCTATAATTACCTCATTACTTCGTCCGACCTAATAATGATACAATAATTTTTTTTCTTAATTTTTTCATTCCTCCAAAGATGCTCCTATCTCAATAAGCCATCCAAATAGTACTCTGTGCTTTCTTCTATGCAAAATAATTATTTACAAAGGTTGCTTTATCATTTACTAAAATCTTTGAGCTCCGAGCGTGGCTGGTGGTGGCGGTACCTGTCGGAGCGTGGTCGTGTCGTCGTCGTCGTCGTCGTCGTTGAGTCAGGCTCGTGGTCATGGGCGACGCGAGGGATGTTCGAGCGTGGCGTAGTGCGGGTGGTGGTGGTACCTGTGGTCGGGTGGTGGTGGTACCTGTGCTCGGGTGGTGGTGGTACCTGTGGTCGGGTGGTGGTGGTACCTGTGTGCGGGTGGTGGTGGTACCTGTGGTCGGGTGGTGGTGGTACCTGTGCGAGCGGCGCGCCGCGCGGTGGTCGTGGTCGGGCTCGTGGTCGTGCGCGACGCGCGCGAGGTGTTCGAGCGTGGCGTAGTGCGGGTGGTGGTGGTACCTGTGGTCGGGTGGTGGTGGTACCTGTGCGAGCGGCGCGCCGCGCGGTGGTCGTGGTCGTGGTCGGGCTCGTGGTCGTGCGCGACGCGCGCGAGGTGTTCGAGCGTGGCGTAGTGCGGGTGGTGGTGGTACCTGTGGTCGGGTGGTGGTGGTACCTGTGCGAGCGGCGCGCCGCGCGGTGGTCGTGGTCGTGGTCGGGCTCGTGGTCGTGCGCGACGCGCGCGAGGTGTTCGAGCGTGGCGTAGTGCGGGTGGTGGTGGTACCTGTGGTCGGGTGGTGGTGGTACCTGTGCGAGCGGCGCGCCGCGCGGTGGTCGTGGTCGTGGTCGGGCTCGTGGTCGTGCGCGACGCGCGCGAGGTGTTCGAGCGTGGCGTAGTGCGGGTGGTGGTGGTACCTGTGGTCGGGTGGTGGTGGTACCTGTGCGAGCGGCGCGCCGCGCGGTGGTCGTGGTCGTGGTCGGGCTCGTGGTCGTGCGCGACGCGCGCGAGGTGTTCGAGCGTGGCGTAGTGCGGGTGGCGGTGGTACCTGTGGTCGGGTGGTGGTGGTACCTGTGGTCGGGTGGTGGTGGTACCTGTGCGAGCGGCGCGCCGCGCGGTGGTCGTGGTCGTGGTCGGGCTCGTGGTCGTGCGCGACGCGCGCGAGGTGTTCGAGCGTGGCGTAGTGCGGGTGGTGGTGGTACCTGTGGTCGGGTGGTGGTGGTACCTGTGCGAGCGGCGCGCCGCGCGGTGGTCGTGGTCGTGGTCGGGCTCGTGGTCGTGCGCGACGCGCGCGAGGTGTTCGAGCGTGGCGTAGTGCGGGTGGTGCCTCCAGGTGTCTGCGGCGGCGTGGTCGCGCTCCACCACGGCCCGCAGCAGCGGCTGCAGCGCCTCCACGCTCAGCGGGACCGTCTCGTTGGTGGCCAGGAACAGCAGCACGTGCAGGTCCGACATCGCCTGCACCGCGCACACATCTCATACATTAATGTCATGTAGGTGAAAATCTAATTTTGAAGTAATCGGTACTTCTACTTTCGAACAGAATGGGATATGGCAGTCAACTTAGTTGTCTATTTTGGTTTTAGTGACGTCAATAATGCTATGCTGCTGTTTTTGTATATACACAACAGTTACTTTCTATTATATGAGCCCCAACTTTGCGATTTCAGTCACATGAGAAAATGCGACTGCGTTTGTTAGAAATATATCCTCACAAATGTCATTAGATGGCGCTGTTTTGTGCAAAATCAGTTGAGGTGTTGTCATGTTTTGCATTCAATCGTAGAATGTTCGAGAATGTTGTACGGTTCTATCGACCTAAGTGTACCTGTATTTGTGAACGACCAATAAACCATATATACCTATAGACACCAGTAAAGTGTTTGGTTTATAGTACCCCAAGGACTCTTAGGACCTCAAGGTTTTTCAGCGTTCTTTCGCTAGCCTATTATGGGTGATAGAGCATCGAGCGGATTTTTTGTCTTAGCCAAAACCTCAAGGAAAGTGTGAATTATAGTATTCTTATGATGACAATATATTATTAAACAATAAAACTAACACAGCGACTTAAGTTACTGGAAGATTGCTCTTATCTTTGGGCAGGAGCACCTGGATCAGTCGGTCCTTTTAACTCGGTTCAGAGACGTGCTATGAATTGTCGATAATCCCAAACACTCTAGTGGTATCGAACTACTTAGCTTGAGACTTCGCATCGCTTTGTTCTACCGTATATAAAACGGAATCTGTTTTTAAGAATTGTTGGACATGATGCCCATGTCATCCCACACGCTGGAAACTGAGTGGTCTTGGACAGTGCGGTTTCAGAGGAACTTCCTCGCGCGTACACTTAGCTTATGGAATGAACTACCTGTTGAGGTTTTCTCGAGAGACTACAGCACGGGGTTTTCAAGAAAGGTATATTAAGGTTTCTTAAGGGTCGGCAACGTACACGTAATACCCCTGGTATTTCAGACGTCAGACTACGTTAAGAGTTCACAATCATATGGGCAGTATGCTTGTTTGCCATCATGGTAGTCTAAAAATAGAACTGTGTTCCATAGGCTACGGTAACAGTTTACCATCAGATGGGCCCTCGGGCTATATTTCTTAGCCACTATCGGAGTAAAAAAAAAAGAACTGTGTCATAGAGTATGACTCGGCTCTTTGGTATACTACAAGAGTACCTCTAGGAAGGATGGCGCGGCTTGCACGTGCTGGTGCAGCGCTCGCAGCGTCTGCAGGTGTGGCTGCAGGGCGCGGTGCGCGGGCGGGAACGAGCCGGACGCCACTAGGGGGCCGCCCCCGCCGGCCCCGCCCCCCGCGGACACCCCGCACGGCACGTCCACCAGCAGGTACGCCACCGGCACGCGCTTCGCGGACACGCCCACCTCGTTGCCGTACACGTCCTTTTCCTGCAAGCGAATTACTAGTCAGTTTTTGGATCACGATATTTTTAACAATAAATATATATATAGCATGGTGTCTCTTATAGTATTTAATCGAAATAGATTATATAATAATAACAATCTTGAACGATTCTTCCAGCGCCATCTAGTATCTGGCAGAGCAAAGCTTGTGTTATAGGTACTAGACAACTTAATTAATCGCGGTGCTCAAAGCGCCGAGATTTTGCCACCGTCGCCGCTGGAAAACCTACTGCTCAGCGGCATGTGTTACAGGCGTTCATATGCTACAGTAACCATTTAGCATCAGATAGGCCGTATGCTTGATTGCCACCATCATAGTATAAAAAAAAAAACCTAATGTAAGTCTGAAAATGAGCCCTATGTGTACTAAGTCAGCTGACCGTGACGGTACAAAAGAACAGGCGCATAAAGAGGGTCAATCGAAACCATTGTGGCACAGCACCGACAGGGCCCAACTTCTTGTTACCTGCCGCAACACCGACCACGGCAATGTACCTGTCCCGTCTACACTACGCCACCAAGGAACAGGACATTGTTGACTACATCTGGACCAAAAGTAACCTGACATTGAGGGTGACGCAGCTGGAATCGAGTCACAACGCGAGCTTCAAGCACCAACATGCTGCCCACCTTCATGAAGGATGACTACTGGTCGAAGGCGGCCTTTTACTAAGTATCGTTTAGAAAAAGTCAAGAGGTCTTTTATGGGAATAGGTATAAAAAATTACAATAAGATACCAAATGATATACTGGAATTACCCTTAAATAAATTCAAAACATCTGTTAAATCATATTTACTGAGCTAAGCATATTACTAAACGATTACTTGAATGCAGAGCGTGCATGGCAATAGTTGTTCATACACGGGATTTTAATTTAATGTTAGACATACACACGTATATAAATATAAATTGTAAATAAACTGACTTAAAAAAAAAAGGTAATTCAATTGAGTTTCTTGCCAGTTCTTCTCAATTGGATCTATATACATAACTGGAGGACGGTAGGGAAAAAATAAAAATTACAATGTAAAAAAATTTACGTTCATAAGCGGCTAAAATGTCCTAAATGAATAAATGCTCATTCATTCATTCATAATTTAAGAGCTACGCTCTTGTCGGTGGAGCTCTTGCCACTTTCCGCGATCTTCCATCATGCTCTTTAATTCTTGATACGACACGACTCCCATTTTGTCCTCAATTTGTTTGATGTAGCTATTCCTTGGTCTTCCCCTCCCCCTCTTTCCTTCTATTTTCCCCTCAATAATAATTTTCATGAAATCATCGTGCCGTATCAAGTGCCCTAAATGCTATGCTGCTAAATTTTTTTAATTTGAATTTAAATTTGACGGTAGGGAAAAAATCATAATATGTAAAATTTGACGTTCATAAACGGCTAAAATGTAATATTCATTCTTCACAAAATATTTAACAAAACATGTTGCGGTGTGTTAGAAAATTGTAACAATTTGATGGACAATAAAAACATCCTGTTGGCAGCGGTGCGCTCGTACGGCGTACGGCCGAGATGACAATATCAATAAGCAAATAACGCATCTAAAAATAGAGAAATAATACCGCACACCGCACAGACAGACAGATGCTGTGCAAGTCGGGACAGATAGGGCGAGAGTTATGCAAGTAATAGAACAGCAAGTAACTGATACACAATCTATACATCTATACATATAAATAAAATTGCAGTGTCTGTTTGTAATATTGAAATAACCGTTTTTTACTATATGCATACGAATAAATTCAAATTCAAATTCAAAATATCTTTATTCATGTAGGTCTATTACAGACTCTTATATGTCAAATCTACCGTCAGTTCGGAATGATTTCGAGATGAGAAGAACTGTAATTTCTGTCTTGTCTGAACTACAATTTCTGTCTGTCTGTCTGTCTGTTTGTTCCGGCTAATCTCTGAAATGGCTGGACCGATTTCGACGGGACTTTTACTGGCAGGTTGGTGATGTAATAAAGAGTAACTTAGGCTACTTTTATTTTAGAAAAATAAAGTTAATTTCCACGCGACGTCACGACACGAAGTCGCGAGTACAGCTAGTTAGTAATAGTATTTATCCAAACATCCATACCGTACATATCCTTATTACATCAGCTACCTGCAAAAAAAAGTCAGGCAGACAGACAGTCAGTAAAAAATTGTTATTTACAAAAATTGTAAAAAATGTCAATTTGGTGTTTGTACCGTATTTATATTCATATGTATATATACCGTTTTTTACTACATGAGTAAAAACGGTTATTTCAATATTACAAACAGACACTCCAATTTTATTTATATGTATAGATTATTCGTTTTTAAAGCAGTGAACATTTAACACATTAATTTTTAATAGAAATTACCCCATTATAATATTACTGATACAATCTTTAAGATAATTCTGCCATGGCTAGTAGCAAATTAGACTGCAACAACATACTGTCTCTAGGGGACAATCTGCCACTACACAATATTATAACGGTGTATATGGCAGAAGAAGCCATGACGCAAACAGACTGAAGTAAAAACAGCACCAATGTTTATTTTGACTAACAATATAGCACTGTTTCGTTGTTATCTCGGACGCGGCGTCGTGTATGTAGCTGGGGGGGGGGGGTTGGCCTTGACCCGCGGCCGCCGCCGGCGCCCCAAACAAAACACAGTCAATGATCCCACACAGTGTCGCAGTCCACTGTCCCAACGCTTACTAGTTACCTAATGTAGGGGGGAAAGTGGATTGTCAGTAATGTGGATTGGTAATCTCATTGCTAGCAATGTACCATGTCAGGTTGACCTCCACGCGGTACCCCCTGGAAACCATCGCGATAAATTCTTAGTGAATTTGTTACGATGGGCTAACTGACCTGACCTCATGCTCATGCCCCACTGGTGCTCCGCCAGCGTAAACCGTTAGCGTAAGCTATCCTATCTTTCAAGTTAGTTGCAAGATCAAATTGCACACAATGTGCAAATCAAATTTGCAATCGGTTCAGTAGTTTAGGAGACCATCGCGGACAAACATCGTGACTTGTCTTGTGTGATTCGTCTGCGTGGAATTTAACATTATTTTTCTAAAATAGAAGTAGCCTAAGTTACTCCTTATTACATCAGCTACCTGTCAAAAAAAGTCCCGTCAAAATCGGTCCAGCCGTTTCAGAGATTAGCTGGAACAAACCGACCGACAGACAGACAGACAGAAATCGTACAAAATGTTATTTTGGTGTATGTAATGTATTTATATTCCTATGCGTGTAGTAAAAAACTGTTATTTCAATATTACAAACAGACACTGCAATTTTATTTATATGTATAGATGTATAGATAATAACTCATGTACTAAATACGGGAGTTTAAAAGAAACTTAGATAGATAGAATATACTTTATTTGTAACGCACAGTAAAGAAAAGTCATAGACAATATATTAAAGGATACATGTATAGTTACAATAAGGCGGCCTTATTACTGAAAGCAATCTTTTCAAGGCAACCTTAGGGAAACAGATTGACAAATGAACATGTAGTTAATATGTATAATTGGTTAGTTGTAAACCTTTCTAATTATATATCAATTACAACGGCTGCCAAGGCGCTGTTCCCAGAACAACATTACCATCGCCTTACGCGTGCTTTAATTATAAGTGACTAGCTTTTACCCGCGGCTTCGCTCGCATCACATTACTGATTGCTAAATAGCGCTGAAGTAGCAAAATGATGATATTTTTTTATAAAAAATACTAGCTACTCTCCTCGGCTTAGTCCGGGAGTATTATTATTATACTATATATATAAACCTTCCTCTTGAATCACTCTATCTATTAAAAGAACTTCTTCAAAATCCGTTGCGTAGTTTTAAAGATTTAAGCATACATAGGGACAGACAGCGACAGCGACTTTGTTTTATACTATGTAATGATCTGTTTTTTTTAATAAAAAGTATCCTATGTTCATTCTAATACATCCAAGAACATGTGTACAAAATTTCATGATGATCGGTTCAGGAGTTTTTGCGTGAAAGCGTAACAAACATACCTACTTTCATATTTATAATATTACAAGCTACTCGCCCCGGCTTCGCACGGGTGTACATGTATTACATATATAAACCTTCCTCTTGAATCACTCTCTTTTTAAAAGAACCTTTTCAAAATCCGTTGAACTTATTGCTAGCAATGTACCATGGCAGGTTGACTCCACGCGGTTCCCCCTGGAAACCATCGTGATAAATTCTTGGTGAATTTGTCACGATGGGACTAACTGACCTGACTTCATGCTCATCTTATCATCCTCCACTGGTGCCCCGCCAGCGTAAACCGTTAGCGCAAACGGGTGCACCATTCCATTATCATCCATATTAAAAAAAAAATTCGTTGCGTAGTTTTAAAGATTTAAGCACACATAGAGACGGACAGACAGCGACAGCGTCTTTGTTTTATACTATGTAATAATTAGTAAGGATTACTGAGTTGCCTCAGCAGTATTATATCATGTGGTCAGAACAGGTACAGGATCAACAAACTACGTAACTGTCTGTGCATATAAATAAATACACATATTATGTGCATGCAGAGTTACATTGAGACTTAGTTTCCGGGAGGTGTTGGGGATTAGTAACTGTTGCAGCCTCATGTGACTTCTTGTACTGCTTGCTGTCCGCTTATAATGCCCAGTTTACACTCAGCCCGAGTGGGCAGGGAAGTGAGCAGCGCGAGAGTGTAAACGAGTGGAAACACTTCCCATGTCGTTGGCGCTGCCACTCGCGGTGCCCAGCGCACCCACGATACTCGGTGATATTTTAAAAAAAATGTCCGTCTGTTTGTTTTTGCCAACCTCCGAAACGACTGGACTAATTTTAACGAGACTTACACTCGTAGATAGCTGATGTCATAAGGAGTAACATAATTTTATTTAATAATCTAATATATAGAGTTCTCGTGTCACAGGTTCCGTGTTTATACTCCTCCGAAATGGCTTGACTGATTTTCATGAAATTTTATATGTATATTATATGTCTGAATATTTTTTTTTTTTTATACTATTATGGTGGCAAACAAGCTAGCTAAGGTAATTATAGGTTTATAATTAATATTAATACCCCAATAAGTGATAAGTAATAATAAGTGTTAAGGGTGGATAGTTTTACATTTTTTATTATGTAGCATTAAAAACTACATATAATCCAAAATTTTCACCCTTCTATCACCAACCCCTATTTCTTAATAACGATATTAATTTATATGGCAACAGAACGTTTGCCAGGTCAGCTAGTTTATTATAAAATAAAAAAAGTTAATTTTATGCGGACGAAGTCAGGGTACCTGTTAGTTATTATTTGTCTGTGGCTTGTGAAGACTAAAAATCCTTCAAATCGCAACATGGTTAGCAAAGCAAGATGTTTGGCGCCAGACACTGGCGAGACGAGACGGAACTACCCACGCCAACGAGTTTGTATTAAAAAAAACTCCTCAATTTATACGTTAACCAAGCGTCTACAAGTCCATTCTACAGTTTCAAATCCATTATGGCATTTAGTGTCCACTAACTTTTGCCCGCGGCTTTGCTCGCGTTAATTTATCCCCTTAGGGATGAAATTTATCAAAATCCTTTCTTAGGGGATGCCTACGTCATAGTAGTTTTATGCATGCAAAGTCTCAGCCCAATCGGTTCAAAATTGACAAAATTTCATACAATCTTTCATCCCCTATTTTATCACCTTAGGGGTAGAATTAATCACAATCCTTTCTTAGCGGATGCCTACGTCATAACATCTACCTGCATGCCAAATTTCAGCCCGATCCGTCCAGTGGTTTGGGCTGTGCGTTGATAGATCATTATATCAGTCACCTTTGAGTTATATATATTTAGATAAATTGTTATTTTAATAATAGCTAAAATATTTACAGTTTATTCATACTTTATATATTTTGATAAAGAGCTCAAAGTTTAATACATATGAATTTTTTTAGTAATAAGTATAGTATAAGTAAGGAGCCAACAGAATATCAGCGCTGCAGAGTTATCTGTAGCATTATGCTGAGTTGGCTATCTTTTCACTTTTGCGGCACATAAAGTCACCTACATTTCTTTTATTAATTTTTGTTTTTTATGTATCTCACGTATGTTATGTGAATTGTGAATAAAGAATTTATCTATCCATCTAATTTCAATTTTGTCGTTGAAACAAACATATAAAACTTCTTTTTTTATCTAAGTTATATTAGTATAGATACGAAAAAAAATAGAGAATGAATATATATGTTAGAACATATAAATAAAATTGGAGTTTCCGTTTGTAATATTGAAATAACCGTTTTTTACTACATGCATATTAATATAAATATGGTACATACACCAAAATATCATTTGTTACAATTTTTGTCTGTCTGATTGTTCCCGCTAACCTCTGTAACCGGCTGGACCGACTTTGCCGAGACTTTTTTTGGCAGGTAGCTGATGTAATAAGAAGTAACTTAGGCTACTTATATTTTAGGAAAATATAGTAAAAATCCATCGGTCGAAGTAACGAGTACTGCTAGTATATAAATATAACTAAACATTTTATTTTCATCAGATAAATATAAATATGACTAAACAAAATGTTCAATTATATTTATCGGGTATTTTTTTTAAATTTAACTTTTTCTGAATAGATAATTAAAAAAAGTGTTTATTTATCTGCTCTTTGTTAATAGACCTAAATAAACCGATGTCCCATTTTGAGTCAAAGAATAAAACGTCGCGTTAGACGTGATCCATTTGACTGATGTATGCATATTCAATGTAGTGTACGCGTGTGGCTATTGATTCGAGCGGCTATACTGTACTGTACACTGTACAGTACAGTACAGTACGGAACATCAAAGCAGGTGCGGCTTCGAGTAGGGTTGCCAACTTTTTCTGACAAAAAAAACGTACAAACTAGTTTGGATAGGAAAAAACAAAGTATTAGGGAAGTAGTAAAAAAAAGTATTTCAAATTCTGTTTTTATTGCTTTAAAATTTTTGCGCGCTTTTAACACTAGAGCTGTGACAAATGTCACAACTCACAATTGACATTTAACAGTTCGTTCAGTAATAAAATCGTTAAGTACCCATAATTGCACCGCTATACTATCTCTGATCAACGAGTCGGTTGACTGGTAGAGAATGCCATCAGGCATTAAGTCCGCCATGTATACAATTTTGTGTGCAAAAGAATAAATAAATAAATAAATAAATGAGTATTTTGTTTTACGCATCACAGTAAAGGTTGAAAATAAAGTATATTTGCCTACTTTATTTGTATGTAAAAGTATAAAGTATAAATACCAAAAATAAAGTAGGATACGTTATTATAAAGTATGGTTGGCAACCCTAGCTTCGAGGCTGCGTTAGATAACATTGCGTAGTTAGGTGAGGGAGGCTACGCAATACGCGCCGATCGATACCGCCTCCGACGACGTACGACGTACGACGGCGGATGGCGGACGGCGGACGGCCGTGATAAGCGACCGCCTGATAACGCAGCCGCGTACTGACCCGGCCCGCCTTTATCAAAAGAATGTCACGTCACACACCGCTACGAAGTTAGCGCGGACCGACGTCGCCGATCGAGTTAACCTTGTATCGGCGCTCATTGTAATATCTGTACTAGGATATATGAATTAATACAAAGTAAGCAAGAAAATCAGCGCTAGAAACTAAGTTTTTAGCATTATGCTGAGTCCGCATTGACTCTGTTTTATAATGTGTTGAAATTGATATTTGTGTTTTTTCTATTAGGATATATGAATTAGTACAAAATTACAAACAGAAAATCAGCGCTGGAAACTATGTTTTAGTATTATGCTGAGTTGTGGGCCTCGTTGACTCTATTTTGTAATTGTTGCTTGTATTTGTTTATTCTGTTATTTGTGACAAGACGAGTGAATTAAATTCTAATCTATTCTAAGTTTACAGAAACATTATATTAAATTATTATTATAATGTATAAGATACTTTTTGAAAAGCATACTGTGACATTGTGACAATAATTATTCAATGGATAAATTATTACTATTCGTTAACATACAGTTATTTCTTTTGTGACATTTTAATATTCATTATTATAAAATATTGTACTTGTGTAACAAAGTGCCTATTGTGGCGGATTCACTAGATACGAATTAACCACGATACTCTCCAGTAAGAACTAAGTTCAGATGGAGTTGTTGTTATAATTAATATTCTGCTTCTCCTGTGTAAATCTCTATTCTAATTTTAAATATATAGAAATAAATTTCTTGAAGGTATTAATATTTTTGCAGTTCCTACAAATACCAAGTAACAAAGTGAACGCACGAACAAGGTTATGCCAGAAAGAAATAATCTGTTGATCGAGCGACGTGAAGCGCGCCGCAGTAATGAGAAACAACATGGCGTGTGTACACAAAACGTAAAATGATGTGGCACTCCACATCGATTTCATTATTTTAGTTAATTTACGTAGTTCTAATCCGAGCCGGACGAAACGGCGACCGCATATCGTAAAATGTAATCGAATCGACCGAGACACACCCCGGCGGTCGGCACAATAGTTCGCGATATTGGAGCGCGACATTCTAGAGTACAAAGTTCCGCACGATCCCCCGATGCCGCGAGACTTCGACGAGAACACGTAGCCGCCCCGAGAGCGACGCAGGCGGCCCGGCCTCCGGTCCGGCCCCGGGCGAGGTGAGTACCCGGCGCTCCCGCCCCCGGTCCGGGCTCCGGTCCGGCCGAGGCGAGGCGAGCGCCTGGCGCCCCGCCGTCCGGCGACTCCGCCCGAACGCGACCCGACCCTGACTCCCGCTGCTTGCAGATGGCGACGTCCCCGCTCGGCGAGATCGAGGAGCTCGCGATCTGCTCGTGCTGCAAGCGCGCCTTCGACGAGACGGAGAGGTCTCCGAAGGTGCTCGCGTGCAAGCACCACTTCTGCCTGACGTGCGCGCGCACCGTGCTGGGCAAGGGCCGCGAGGTGTACTGCGTGCACTGCTGGAAGCGCACCGAGCTGCCGGACGGGCGCGCGGAGGCGCTGCCCACGCACGGCGCCGTGCTGGCGCTGGCGCGGCGGCTGGCGGCGGCGGCCGAGCCGGCCTGCGCGGCGCACGCGCTGCCCGCGCTCTGGTGCTGCGCGTGCGGCGCGCGCGCCTGCCGCGCCTGCGCCTCGCACGCCGCGCACGCGCACGCGCTGCGGCCGCCGCTCGAGGCGCGGGCGCTGCTGGCGCGCGACCGCCGCGACCTGCTGGCCGAGCTGCAGCGCCTGCACGCGCGCCGCCGCGACCACCTGCTGCGCGCGCTCGACGCCGCCACCGCGCTCAAGCTGCGGCTCGAGGCGGAGCTGGCGGCGCCGCCGGCGCGCGGCGCGGCCGCGTGCGGGCTGGCGGCGGCGGCGGCGGAGCGCGAGCGGCTGCGCGCGCGGCACCGGGAGGCGGCGCTGCAGGCGCGGCTGGACGAGCTGGTGCGCGCGGCGGCGGCGCCGCTGGACTTCGAGCTGCTGCGGCGCGCGCTGGGCGGCGCGGGCGCGGGCGCGGCCGCCGGCGAGGCGCCGCCGCCGCCCGAGCGCCGCGACCCCGTGCTGTTCCTGGCCAACTACTGCACGGCGCAGCTGTACGCGCGCCACTTGGTCGCGCGGCCCCGCTCGCGCGCCGACTCGGAGCCCGAGGCGGCGCCGTGCTCGTCCGCGTTCGAGTGCGACTCGGGCGGCGAGGCGGCCGGCTCCCCGACCGCGACGCCGACGACGACCGCCGCGTCCGCGGTGGGCTCGCCGCTGCCGCGCATCCCCGCCGCGTTCCCGCTCTTCTACTTCAACCTGGAGGTGAACGGCTCGCCGTTCGGGCGCGTGGTGATCGAGGTGCGCGACGACGTCGCCCCGCGGATGGCGCGCAACTTCACGGTGCTGGCGACGGGCGAGCTCGGCGTGGGGTACCGCGGCTGCGCAGTGTTCCAGTGCTGGGAGAACGAGAGCGTCATCACCGGCGACTTCGAGCTGAACAACGGGCGCGGCGGCCGCTCCGTGTTCGAGGAGAGCTACTTCATGCCGGACGACACCAAGATGGTGGCGGTGCGCGGGTCGGTCGGCATGCGCCGCTCCCAGAAGCGGCACGACAACCTGGGCCTCGTGGGCTCGCAGTTCCGGATAGTGCTGCGCGAGATGCGCGGCTTCACCGCCATCTTCGCGTTCGTGGTGGAGGGTCTCGAGCTGGTGGACCGGCTGTCGCGCACGGGCGACAGCGCCGGCAAGCCGCACAGCACGATCCTCATCTCGAGCTGCGGCAAGCTCAACTAGGCGCCCTCGCCGCGGGCGCTCCTCTCGAATTCTCCTCTTCTGCCTCTCGTCGCATCGGTGCATATCACTCTCTCACAAATTCCGATCTCTCGCGATCAAAGTACCTTATATTTCTACTCCGTCGGACCAAAGTTTCGTTTTCGTGTGTGCTCGCACCGTGAGATATTTTTATACGTGTAGAAAAGATTTTGAAGTATTTACGCGACTTATTGAAAGTCAATCGGCTCGAGCTTGCGTAGTTGTTCGTTTGCGTAGTTATACACTCGGCGTCCGGCGTCCGGCTCGCGTCCGGCTCGCGTCCGGCCGCTCTCCCGACGTTGCGTCCGCGTTTAGACAATTATTACCTTCGCGCCGTTCTGTTACTCGTCTCGTTAGCTACTAGTGGGCCTAGACTCGGTATTATCTCATTATAAATGAATATATTTTTGTTATTAGCGTGAGACGGGCGGCGAGGCGTCGCGTCTCGTCGCGACTAGGTTATAGGTTATAGGTTATGACGTTTCGATCGTATGTGTGTCAATATAAATGTTATTACTTTAGAGGATATATTTTAGCTAGGGATGCCGCGGGGCGCCCGTCGCCGGCCGGCCGTATGGCTCGGCTCGGTGACCGGCGCGGCGGTCGTACTCGTATTCGTGTATGTACTGTACATAATAGAACGAACGTTATTTAACATAATAGATTAATATATTTACAAGCTAACGTTACCTCTCGCGATAAAGCGGCGTAAGAGACGATAAACGATTATAACACGAATTATTACAATTTCCGGATGTTTTACAAGACTGTGATGATAGCCGTAGGTAGCGGAGCTAGCGGAGGCGCGGCGCCTCCTACCGGTCAGTGCCTGCTTTAGTATCGATATATTTACTAGGTAATGTTACGGCGCGCTCTCGTCCCTTCCCTCGGCGGAGCCCCGCTCGGGCGCGCCCGCGTTCGTTAAGTTTATTTTTCTATTTACCAAAGTTTATATATTGTAATATAGGCGTATTGCGGTGTTCGTGTGTAGCTTGTTCGTGCCGCGTGGCGGCCTCGTGGCCACTACTGTAGCGGCGCGGGCCCGCTCTAGACATGTTGTAATTCGTGTTGACTATATTCATATTATATTGTAGCGGCGTTTTATTTTCTCGATATATAGTTTATATGACGTGGTGTGGAAAGCAGTTGGCGTCCGCGGTTGCAGCGCTCGCAGCGCTCGCAGCGCTGGCGCCGCCGCGGACTTGTTAATGTTATGTGTACGCGCATATTACTATGTCCGAAGCGAATTCGTGATAATAAATAAGTATATGGAGCAGAAATATTTGTGTTTTATTTCAACACCGCACCCCCCACCCTCGTCCCCGGTGACATAACAATATATACATATACAAACTACACTCACTGTATATTATATTAGAATAGGTTATATCTATATAGATTAATAGCTGACTCCGCAAACGTTGTTTTGCCATATAAATTAAAATCACTATTAAAAAATAGGGGCTGGTGATAGAAGGGTGAGGAATTAGAGTTGTATGTATTTTTAATGCCAAAAAAAAAAACAAAAATAAAACTTTTGTCCAAACAATAAAAAAAAATGTTAGGGGTGAACAACACTTAAGGGTATGAAAAATAGATAATAGCCGATTCTCAGATCTAATGAATTGCATATAAAAATCCATAAAAATCGGTCAAGCCGTTTCAGAGGAGGATGGTAACTAACATTGACGACCTCGGTGGTCTAGCGGTCTAGCACACCGCTTTACGACCGATGGTCGCGGGTTCGATTCCTCGCACGGCACAAACATTTGTATTCATGAGTATAATTGTTTGTATCGGTCTGGGTGTTTTCTCTTGTATAATATGTATGTATTTTACGAAAAAAAAAATTATCTATGTATCTGTATCAGTTATCTAGTACCCATAACACAAGCTTTAGCTAGCTTAACTTGGGACTAGATGGCGCTGTGTGAATTGTCCTGAGATTATTATTATTATTATTATTGTGACACGAGAATTTTATATATAACATATAAATTCTGAAAGTTTAGTTTCTATTGCAAATATATTATAAGTTAACAGAGATGTGACCTCACCAGACACACTAATGTGAACAACAAACACCCACAGTGACAAAATATAATAAACTATCAGACCCGGACACGCGTTGCTGTGGCTAAGGTTCTTGAATAAAATAATACTCTGACTATAAATTGAGATGTAAGCTATCCTATCTTTCAAGTTGGATCAAATTGCACACAATGTGCAAATCAAATTTGCAATCAGTTCAGTAATTTAGGAGTATAAAGATAGTACTCAAGAATGCAAAAAGGAATTGCACACACTAAAAACCACATGAATTATCTATACATATAAATAAAATTGTAGTGTCTGTTTGTAATATTGAAATAACCGTTTTTTACTGCATGCATATGAATATAAATACGGTACATATACCGAAATAACATTTGTAGAATTGTTTGTTCCGGCTAAATTCTGAAATGGCTGGACCGATTTTAACGGGACTTTGTTTGGCAGGTAGCTGATGTAATGAGGAGTAATTTACGCTACTTTTATTTTAAAAATTGTAAATAATGATATTTTGGTGTATGTACCGTATTTATATTCATACTAGCTATACCCGCGACTTCGTCCGCGTTTTTAATGAAAAAATATTTAACTCAGCTTCAAAAATGATAAAAAATAAAAATAAATATTTAATCAATAGGCTAAAAAATAAATTTCAAGCTTCTAGCTTTAAACATGACGATACATCTATATGACCTTGGATCTACCCTTTCAATCCTCTTGCAACCCTTTTTCACATTAAAAAGTAACCTATGTCCTTTCTCAGGATCTAGTCTATCTATGTGTCAAATTTAAATTTAAATCGGTTCAGTATTTTTGGCGTGTAAGCAAGACAAACAGACAGACAAAGTTACTTTCACATGTATAATATCAGTAAGGTATTTAATAAACTAACTCTAAAAAGACAAAGAAAAAAGTTAGACGTTCTAGCTTCCACAACCACACAGACAGCAAATTTCCACAATAACTTTCATTCCCTATTTTATTTTACCACCCCCCCCCCCCCTCCCCAATTTTACAAATATTGAATGTGAAATTTTTTAATATTTAAACAACAGCTTCTAGTTTTAAAAAATGACGATTCTTCCATACAGCGTACCATTGCAACCCTCTTACAATCCTTTTTTCACATTCAAAAGTACCCTATATTCTTTGTCCGGGTGTAAACTAACTGTGTATCAAATTTCATTTAATTTTTTGTTTTGTTTTGGAGCGTAAGACTGACAGAAAGACAAACAGAGTTACTTTCACAATTATAACATTGGTGGGGTATTTAAAAATCTAACCCAAAAGAACCAATGAAAATAGTTTCATCGTTCCAGTTTAAAAAATTACGAATTTACATAATACCTATCATCCCCTATTTTATTTTACCCCCTTAAGGGTAATTTTTTTTACAAATAATGAATGTCGTATTTATTTATATTTAATCAACAGCCTCAAAAATCCGTTTCAAGCTTCTAGCATCAAAAATGACGAATTTACATAAAAACTTGCATCCCCTATTTTATTTTACCCCCTTAAGGGTATTTTTTTACAAACATTGAATGTCATATTTATTTATATTTAATCAACAGCCTCAAAACTAAGTTTCAAGCTTCTAGCTTCAAAAATGACGATTTTACATAAAAACTTGCATCCCCTATTTTATTTTACCCCCTTAAGGGTAATTTTTTACAAACATTGAATGTCATTTTTATTTATATTTAATCAACAGTCTCAACAATAAGTTTCAAGCTTCTAGCTTCAAAAATGACGATTCTTCCATACAATCTTTCATCCCCCCTTTTAACCCCTTACAACAGGGGGGAAAGGGATTGTTAGTAATGTGGATTGACTGATGTGGATTGATGTGATGGGGTTACCCATTGCTAGCAATGTAACATGTCAGGTCGACCTCCACGCGGTTCCGCCTGGAAACCATCGTGTTAAATTCCTGGTGAATTTGTCACGATGGGCTAACTGACCTAACCTCATGCTCATCTTACCATCCTCCACTGGTGCCCCGCCAGCGTAAACCGTTAGCGCAGGCGAGTGCACCATTCCATTATCATCCACAAAAAAAAACCCCTTACAACCCTTTTTTCGCATTAAAAAGTAGCCTATGTCCGTTCTCAGGGTCTGGACTATCTGTATACCAAATTTCATTCAAATCAAGAGTTAATTTCGCAATACAACAATAGTACAATATTAGTAAGGTTTTTGTCTCAGCGCAAAAATATATTTTTGTCGTTTCTGTACAAATAGTAATTTTACAGTATTAATCTACAAACCAACATTTTGTTTCTTACAATCAGCTAAATAATTTAAATAGTTTCATAATACAATACATACAATACACAATGAAAAGGTCATTTATTTTATAAAAAAGGCAGTTAGTTTTTATTTTAGTGAAAAATAGGAATATGCTATTTTGATACAACAACCATATATTTATTAATACCTATACTTTATTAATTTTGTGTTAATGCTTTTTAAATAAACACCCACACATTATTTCTGTATAACCTACAAAAATGGGTAAATAATTTAATTTCGGATAGTTAGTAGGACATTAGTTAAAAAATGTAAATAATAAAATGTGAAGAAATTGTGATTGTTATTAAGCTTTTTTTAATAAGTTCGTCAGAACAGAGAAACAACATTTGACATTGGACATTGACTTTAATTTTTGTAATTTATATTGTAAAACTTTAAGTTGGGCTAAAATAAAACAAATTAATAAAAAAAATTGCCAAATTTGTCTCGCAATCGGCCAATTTCAGGTTTAAAGAAAAAACACATACACACGATATACGATTTTATCATAAAAAAGTGTCAAAAAACAATATTTTCGCTAAATGTCAACGTCATGTTTCCGGCAAGATCTTTCGTTTTACATTATGTTATCTGTGGTTTTATTCTCTGTGAAGGATACCTTATTGGCGCATACGCGATGTGTTGATTGGTTGTTAGCTAGTGAAATGAAAAGATGACGAATAAGTGTGCGATGTATTCAACCGCATAAAGATAACCTTGTATTTCCATTTTGAACCCCTTACAACCCTTTTTTCGCATTTAAAAGTAGCCTATGTCCTTCCTCGGCGTCTAGACTATCGGCGTACTAATTTCATTTAAATCGGTTCAGTAGTTTTGGCGTGAAAGCGAGACAGACAGACAGAGTTAGTTTCGCATTTATAATATTAGTAAGGTTAAGGATGCATGTAGTAAAAAAAGGTTATTTCAATATTACGAACAGACACTCAAATTTTATTTATATGTATAGATTATTCGTTTTTAAAGCAGTGAACATTTAACACATTAATTTTTAATAGAAATTACCCCATTATAATATTACTGATACAATCTTTTAGATAATTCTGACATGGCTAGTAGCAAATTAGACTGCAACAACATACTGTCTCTAGGGGACAATCTGCCACTACACAATATTATAACGGTGTATATGGCAGAAGAAGCCATGACGCAAACAGACTGAAAGAAGAAAGAAGAAAGAAAAAGGACACCAATTGAGTTATTCCATTAAATAATTATAGAGAACAGACGGTCATACTTATAAATATACAAAAAAAGTCTTTAATTCCTTACTTCCTTACTAATATCATAAATGCGAAAGTAACTGTCTGCCTGTCTCGCTTTCACGCCAAAACCAATAAACACATTTAAATGAAATTGGGTACATATATAGTCCAGACCCTGAGAAAGGACATAGACTACTTTTTATGCTAAAAAAGGGGTTGTAAGGGGTTGAAATGGGAGATGAAAGTCTGTATGAAAAATCATTACTTTTAAAGCTAGAACGATGTAACTTTTTCCTTGCTATTTTTTAGTTGGATTATTGAATATTATTTCTTCATTTGTTCAAGGTCATAATATGCGGACGAAGTCGCGGTTATAGCTAGTATATTATACATTAACGACTATTATTTCTAATGGGATAGCTAGATATACACGTTGTAATAGTTTCAACACATCTATGTATCTAAATATATATAACTCAAAGGTGACTGACATAGTGATCTATCAACGCAAAGCCCAAACTACTGGACGGATTGGGCTCAAATTTGGCATGCAGGTAGATATTATGAAGTAGGCATCCGCTAAGAAAGGATTTTGATTAATTCTACCCCCAAGGGGATAAAATAGAGGATGAAAGTTTGTATGAAACTTTGTCAATTTTAAATCGATCGGGCTGAGACTTTGCATGCACATAGCTACTATGACGTAGGCATCCTCTAAGAAAGGATTTTGATAGATTCTACCTCTAAGGGGATAAGTTAACGCGAGCGAAGCCGCTGCCAAAAGCTAGTTTAACATAAGACCTACCTGCAGTATTGGTGTCAGCGTGGCTCCTTCTGATCCGCAACAATTCCATTCAACTTTCTATAGTAACCAGTAGAAAGGATGGAATTCCAGGCATAAATGTAGTCGACCACAACGACTTACTATATTGTCAGCAAAGCTGATTGCATTTGTTAATTTAAAAAGTTTTATCATTTTAAAATCAGCCATCAATACACCAGTGATTTAAATAAGATATCATTACAATGTATTCAATAAGTCAAATGGTAGCGTCGGTGATCTACGGTTTAGCACACCTTGCTTCCAATGGTCGTAGGTTCGATTCCTCGCACGGTAAAATTTGTACTCAATGTATATAATACTAACAGACCCGGCCTAGCGTTTCTGCGGCTAAGGTTCTTGAATAAAATAATATAGCGACTATAAATTGAGATGTAAGCTATCCTATCTTTCAAGTTGGATCAAATTGCACACAATGTGCAAATCGGTTCAGTAGTTTAGGAGTCCATCGCTGACAAACAACGTGACACGTAATTTTTATATTTAAAGATTTATAACTCAAAACATCTCTGCTCTAAGTTTTTCTATGGTTGCACCCATGGTGTGGAGATGATTACTTATTTCTTAAAATTCAAATAACAAGTAATATGCTTAGAAAATCATTATAAACCTGCCTGTTTTATTAACTTGAGCCGCCAAGTAGCTTACCTAGAAGGCTGTGTTTTAGTTTGTTGTAACTGGCTAATGAAGAAATGTTTTATATTCTAAATTTTTATTTGAATTTATAGTTCTTTTATATTACATTCTTGTTTTTTTGATACTTCAATTCCTTCTTTCTATTCCTAATTGTCTGTAGTCTATATTAATATATTTTCTCCGTTTACCTAGTCTTTTTTCTTATTACTACAACATAGTTTAATCCTTCGAACGTTTTGACACAGATCGCTGCACGCCGCTTAAACCGTATACTGTCAGACACAGATCTGTGGCCGCAAAACCGTGACAAAAACGTTCTTTTTAACCAATTTCATCCTTATTTAAAACAAAATAAGATTGAAACGCATTTTAAAAAATACAGCTGGAATTTTCAGTCGCTACGACAGACGACAGACATTCAAAAGGTTAATATATAGCAGTGAAATTATAGTTTACGTCGACGTAACATCTTAATCCTATGTAATGGCAACATGGAGAAAATACGCGTCACGCCGGGTGGTGTAATTAGTTCATCATGTATAGCTTACCATCATTATATAGTATAAATCAAAGTCGCTGTCGCTGTCTGTCCGTTCCTATGTATACTTAAATCTTTATAACTACGCAACGGATTTTGAAGCGGTTTTTTTAACAGATAGAGTGATTCTAGAGGAAGGTTTATATGTATAATACATGTACACCCAGGCGAAGCAGGGGTGAGTAGCTAGTCTATACATATAAATAAATTGGAGCGTCTGTTTGTAAAATTGAAATATCCTTTTTTTGTAGCATATGACTGTATCATATACATACACCAAAATATTTTTTTTACAATTTTTCTATCTATTTGTTCCAGCTAATCTTGGAAATGGCTGGACCTATTTTGACGGGACTTTCTTTGACAGGTAGTGGATGTAATAAGGAGTAACTTAGGCTACTTTTATTTTAGAAATATAAAGTTAAATTCCACGCTGACGAAGTCCAGGTACAGTTAGTTACAAATAAATAAATAAATTGTTTTAAAAAGATACAATCTAAATACAGCGCATTCCATGTTGAGCATAGTAATTCTATCCATAAGTTCTAACAATATAATTAGTTAAATGAAGCAGTCACAACGGCCCTGCTCTCAAACGTGCACAATTAATTATTTGACCGAACAGAAACGGTTTCAATTTACTTTTCTTACCTTGCCAGGTGTGCTTTTGGTTCAGGAAAAGACGTATCAGGTTTTTGAGGCCCAATAACATATACAGTAACACATACATGTTAAGAGAAGCTTCACTCTCTTGATCTACTGTGAGTTTCTTGATATGGATAATTAATTTAAACAATAGGCTGCCAGTGCTTTACTCCATCTTGTCACCTAATCCAAAATGCCGTACCCGATTCTGGCACCTGACCTGATGTCGTAGCGGTTGCATAACCTGTTCATCTTCTGAAGGTCGCAGGCTCGATCAAAGCATAATACGAAATGTTTATAGTGGGTGTTGTGTGTGTATACTGAATAAAGTATTGAAATATTTCTGTCAGTCCTTTAGGTTTCTGTTTTTGAACAAGTTGATGAACCGAGACAGTACAATGCAAATAAACAAAAATAACATTAATTTGTCTATCAGAATAAAAGTCATAAATAATCAAATCTGTTGTTTAGGGTCTTTGGCTCCTAAGTCCTTGCTCCGTAAACTAAAAGCTTTGGTTTTTTTAGACTTGTTAACATTCATGTAATATGTAGACGTGTTACAGCACCAGCGCCTGGAGGTACTGGTGGCACTGGTGACACTGCCCCGACACCTGGTAGCCCTGCAGGTGACACTGACCTTGTAGTAGAGGTCGGGCACGTACTGGCGGTCGCTGGAGTCGCGGATGTAGCCGAGGTCGGGCGCGTCCCTGGTCGGCAGCAGCACGCCGTCCCGCACCAGCGCCTGGCACTGCCCCGACACCTGGTAGCCCTCCAGGTGGACGCGGTTGTTGCTGTCGCCTGCGCACACCACCACACACGCGTTACTATGTGCGACTTAACTCAATAGGCATGCAAATATATTTAAACTAGCTTTTGCCCGCGGCTTCGCTCGCGTCAATTTATCCGCTTAGGGGTGGAATTTATCAAAATCCTTTCTTAGGAAATGCCTACATAATAGTAGCTTTATGCATCCAAAGTCTCAGCCGGATAGGTTTGAAATTGACAAACTTTCATACAAACTTTCATCCCCTATTTTATCCCTTTGGGGGTAGAATTAATCAAAATCCTTTCTTAGCGAATGCCTACGTCATAACAACTACCTGCATGCCAAATATAGTCGTAGTGATCTATCAACGCACAGCCCAAACCACTGGACGGATCGGGCTGTGCGTTGATAGATCACTACGTCAGTCACCTTTGAGTTATATATATTTAGATTTGGCAAAATATAAGACCACAAACAGAAGATTACAACGGACAGTGACAATTAAAAATGATCAACAAGTAACAGCTTTCAATCGATAAAGTCTTTAGTGTCTTCTTGTAGTGAAGAAAATCAACAACATTACATTTACAAATAATTCATGGAAGTTAAACTTCCTTTGTGCAGTTACTATGTATTATTGTAACATTTAAACGTTAATTCAAAGTATGAAATTAGATTAGAAATTGAATGGAAGGTGTGTGACCTGTGAGGCAGACGGTGACGAACTTGGAGCCGAAGTACCCGGAGGAGGCGTGGCGGCAGGCGTTGGGGTGCTGGTCCTGGAAGTGGCCCGCCATGATGCACTCCTGCGCCGACAGGAAGTGCGTGTCCACGCCGCTGTACAGTAAACAATTAATAATTAGCTTTGAAATAAATGTTATAGCAAAGTTAAGTCGTTAAATAAACGTGGTTAAGTTACGTAATTTAAGATGGAGGGGGTTATTTGAAATAATGTATGAGTACAATGTTAGGTCAGATTGTATGCGACTGCCAGGTGCTGCAGTGTGCAGTGTGCAGTGTGCAGCAGGTCTGTGAAGTGTGCAGTGTGCAGTGTGCAGTGTGCAGCAGGTGGGGGAGTGTACCGCAGGTGTCGCACGGTGCCTGCAGCTCTGTCTGCCGGCAGCAGGTCTGTGAAGTGTGCAGTGTGCAGTGTGCAGTGTGCAGCAGGTCTGTGAAGTGTGCAGTGTGCAGTGTGCAGTGTGCAGCAGGTGGGGGAGTGTACCGCAGGTGTCGCACGGTGCCTGCAGCTCTGTCTGCCGGCAGCAGGTCTGTGAAGTGTGCAGTGTGCAGCAGGTGGGGGAGTGTACCGCAGGTGTCGCACGGTGCCTGCAGCTCGGTCTGCCGGAAGCAGGTCTGTGAAGTGTGCAGTGTGCAGTGTGCAGCAGGTGGGGGAGTGTACCGCAGGTGTCGCACGGTGCCTGCAGCTCGGTCTGCCGGCAGCAGGTCTGTGAAGTGTGCAGTGTGCAGTGTGCAGCAGGTGGGGGAGTGTACCGCAGGTGTCGCACGGTGCCTGCAGCTCTGTCTGCCGGCAGCAGGTCTGTGAAGCACCACCCCACCCGGCGCAGTCCGAGCGCGGCGGCCAGCTGTTGCAGCACTTGTTCCTGCGGGTCCGGCTGCAGCGTCACCTCGTCGCGTCCGCCGGCCTGCGGCGGTTCGTAGATCGCACACACGCGCGCGCGGATACCTGTACATATCAATATACATACGGTCATTACTTCTAATTGTCCACTGAGCCCATCCGATCTGATCTTCCGACCAATTTCATTGGGGAACATCGCTCTGAGCTAAAGTTCCCCTAGAGTCTAGAAGATTCCCTAACAGACCAAAGTCGTATCCGTGAGTTAGGAGTGGCCTTTAGCTGCAGCATACTTATGCGTTGTCGACTTTAACAATATAATGAATAGAAGGAAACCAACCTTTTTTTCCTCGACTGGCAACATTACCGATAACTGTCTTTGTCAGCTGGCCCTAATAATTAAATACTTTTATCTAATTTATTATTCAATTTTTTTAGTGTAATTGATATAATTAGTGAGTTTAAGCTATAAAAAGTATCGATTGTTGTTTGTGTTCATTTTTATATAGTATTTGTGTACAAAAATCGACACATAAATATTTCTTACCGGTCAACTGTCAAAGTTCGTAATAAACTTATATTTACATCAATCTTGTACATGTTATCGCGTAATTCAATTTAAATTATTATAACATTCCTTTATTATTACTTATTTTGTAATACATGTTAATTTTGTGGTAACTTTAAAAGTGAATTGTGTGCGTCGAGGAAAAAAAATTACCCACTAACCAAATATTGTAAGTACTAACTGAAATATAATTATATATACACAACAAGAGAGTGAAACTTTCACTAATTTAAATAGTTATTTATATATATTTCAATAACAATACTGAATCTTCTAGAATTGGTTGTTTTTAATTCTATTATTTGAGCTTGTGTAATAAAGAAACCCATTCTTACAAGTAATAATATTTAGTATTGTTATTTATAATTAACAAATTTACTAAAATTACTTACATATTACATAGGTATTATATATTTATAAATAAATATATTGTAAGGAAATAACACACATTCTAAATTCCATTAAGTTCCTTTATATTTAAATTAATTACTCAGCATATTTAATAATGATGTCCCGAAGAGCCTGTGATCTTGATGCTAAACTTAAGGTGGCACTCGTTGAATTAAAGAAAACCCAAGACTTGAATAAAGTGTTGTTACAGGAACGGGATGATAGTGAAATAGAGATGAAATCTCTATTTGACAAATATGTGGCCCTGAAGGGGGAACTTGTAGACATTAATGTGTTCTGTGAGGACCTACGCGTTGACAGGGATAGACTTCAGGAACTTGTTAATGAATATGATCACTGCAGGGATACATATGAGTCAAATTTACAGCGTATCACTCACCTCGAGAGACACCTTGAGGAAGCACAAGCACATAGTGAATCTATGTTGTAACACAAACGGGTGAGTAGCTACAATAACACCTTAGATCTGTATACAGAATTGTTAAATGTCACTTGTGATCAAAAGTCTACTCAGCCGTTGGTGACCATAGATTTAACTAATACACCCAGCTCAAACAGTTGTATTAGTCAATTTAAGAGTGTCAATAAATTAAAAAAATATATAAAAATAAACAAATTTATTAAAAAGTCAGAAAAGTTAGTGAGAACTCATACTAAATGTTTAAAATCTATAAATATTAGAAGACAAAAGTTAGACCTGTTACAAGAACTTCAAAATTGTAAAACAAATTTACATGATAAGGATTTAGAACAAAATAAATTAAAGAGTAAAATTCAAGAGTTAGAATCTTCATTATCTAATTTAACAAAAAAATATGAGTGTGCTCAACTTGAAATTAATAATTATATTAAATCGCTGGATAAATTAATTGAGTTGGGAAATTACAACATGGAGCGGTTCACCTCATTGACAGAGAAATGTTGTTGTGAGACACCTGAATCTCCTAAATCTTGTCAGTATAGCCGTAATGGAAATAACAATAAGTCAATCACATCGGTTTTGACTGAGTCAATCACTCCTTGTTCTAGTTTACTCAATTCTAACTTGTCTTTAAAAACTGATAATTGTAATGTTGCACCAGTACGAAGGACAATTATTTATTCAGATGAATATGGTAAGGGTCTGGGCCGTTCATTATCAGAAAGTCTATATCAACATGTCATAAATAATTGTCTTCCTGGTGCTTCATTGCCTAATATTTTAAATAAGGTGGTTAATGGTAGGTATGATAAATTAACCACATTAGTCATTGCTTTAGGCAACTGTTTATATGTAAAAAAAAGTCATGTAATTAAACTTGTAAACTCTTTGCTTAATATTGCTGAGCTGGGCATAGGTAAAATAATATTATGTGCATTTCCTTACTGTCGTTCTCTGACCATTGAACAAAATAAGTTCATATATTATATTAATAATTTAATTTATAATATGACATGTCGTCATAATGACTTTTTATTTTTTGATAGTAACAAATTTGTTACAAACTTTTGTATGACTGGATATAGATTTTATCTGCCTAAAAAACAAATAACAAATATAGCTAGTTTACTAGCTTATAATATAAATGACCCCATTATAAGTAATATAATGGCTTGCATTAATCCAATTAGTAGTACTTGTACTAATGTTAATACTAAACATACTGAAAATATTGACATAAATATTGATTCTAGTAAGAATCCTTTTATTTACAAAAATTTAAATATGACTGCAGATTTAAACTGCTGAAAAAGACAAAGGGAAAGCTATCAGAATTGAAAATTGTTCACCAGAACATACAAAGTTTTCTCGGCTGTGAATTAATTATTCAATTGTTCTTAGAAAGAAATAATATAGATGTTCTATGTTTAACTGAACATTGGCTCAAAGTGAGCAATATGATGTTCAGCTTAAACAATTATAATATTGTCAGCTGCTTTAATAGAAAAATAGTAAATAGAGGAGGTTCTATGATATTGGTGAAAAATAATATAAAAGTAAAAGAACGTAGTGATATTGGCAATCTTTCTGTTGAATGTTGTATTGAAATTTCCTGTGTGGAACTAGACAATTATATAGTTATATGTGTATATAGACCTCCAAATAGTGATTATAATTTATTTGAAGAGGTAATGGAGGATATTTTAAAAAGAGTATTTAATATTAACAAAAAAATTATAGTGTGTGGTGATTTCAATGTTGACATTTTATCACATAATACCACAAAAACTAAATTAATGAGTTTATTTCAATCCTTTGACTTGAGTAATGTCTTCCACGAACCCACTCGTATCACTGTCACGTCTGGTACTTGCTTGGATAACATATTTAGCAACAGTGAGTATTTAGATAAAATAATAATAAACAACCTTCCTTCTGATCACTGTGGTCAAATAGTTATTTTTCCAAATCACTTAAACAAAATTGGGAAAATTAATTTATTAAAAAGAGACTTGACTAGTTATAAGATAAATAAATTTAAAATATCAGTTCGTAGTAAATTAGATTTTTATCTTCCATCTAATGAACCTAACAAACTTTATACAGATTTCTTCAATATTGTTTCTAACGAATATAATAAGGCTTTTAACAAAAAAACTATCAGTATTATTAACAAAACAAAATTTTCAGAATGGACTACAAAGAGAATTCTTAAAAGTAGAAATATATTATTTGATTTATATGCTCAAAAAAAATACCGTTTCGATAGTACATTCGTAAATTATGTAAAAAGATACTCAAAAACTTTTAAAAACGTATGTAATGTAGCAAAGTCTAATTATCTATCTTTAATATCTAATTGCGTAAGGTTTTACAATAAAATACCAGAGTCTGTTATAAATCTGCCAGAAAAAAGATTTAAATGTCAAATAAAACACTTCCTTTGCAAAAAAGCTTACTATAAAATTGAAGAATTCGTTAACGATAATAATGTTTTTGTAGAAAAATTTTTAAATACATAGCACTGACAATATTATCTGATTACACTAATAATGAGTGCGTAGCGATTTCTATGTTGATTGTCGCATGCCTCTTACTTGTTACACTGTAATTATTTATATAAAAAAAAAACATCTATTAAAAAGAGCAACACACAAGTTTCTTGCTCATTCTTATTGTGATGAATCTGCATTCCGAATGAGTGGTAGAATCAAAATATAACTATTCAAAAGTGCTTGTAATGAGTTTATTTGAATAAAGATTATTTCTATTTCTATTTCTATTTCTATAAAGAATGACTTTGGCAATCGGACACGAACAGTATATTCAACATGGTATGGACATTTCCAATAAAAAAAAGAATGAGATCATTGGCATTCTTTCTTTTATTTACTCGATGGACGTCCTCCAGCATCCTGGTGAACAAGCTTATCGTTGCGGAAAAATTGCCTGATCCGACAACACAGGACATGTCGTCCTGACGCCGAAAAATTAGGAGCGACGATCCCGCATATATCGGGCCACTTAACTGGCCCAATATATGCGGGATCGTCGCTCTATAAGAAGCTTGACAGTACAGTGAGGAGATTACGAGAAGCGTATGTTACCTAAAGGCACATCGGGATGCAGCTCGTACCGGCCGTAGAGGAAGCCGACGCGCTGGTGGCCGGTGGCGCGCCAGTAGGAGAGGAAGCGCTCGACCAGCGCGGGGTGCTCGAACACCACGTTGTCGACGTGGCGGTAGGGCTGCCGGTTCAGCGTCACGGCGCCCGGCTGGCACTTGGAGCAGATGCCGCGCGGCCACGGCGGGTGCTCCTTGCAGCCTGCACACAACACCATTCTCTATACTCGCTATTATCAGCTCATTTTGCCAAGCAAAAGAGGAAACTCCACTACACATCCTATATTGTTGTAGCCCTCTCATGCATAAACGAAATATCTCCTTTGGAAAGTATACACTATATCCTGAGGAGGTAAAGATATAGCTTATATGCTTCAATTCTTGTCCCACACGGGTCTAGGTAGATCATCACAATAGATCTATGTAGGTTGCAGTTTTACAGGTCTTAACACCTGACAATAGCCCAAACAAACCCTAATAAAAAAATACTCTCTATTGTAAACGTTCATATTGGTATCACAACATAACAATTTTAAAAGCTAACAAATTATAGAATGCTGGCTTACAGCAAGAAAGTCCAATGCTAGTATTTGCATAGTTTTTTTTTTTATAATTACATATACATTCATAAAAAATATATATTAGTGAATGAATGGTTTTATTCTATTCTAATGAGCTAATTTCCTTGTTAGAAAAAGTGTGAGAAAACACTGTAATAGTAATAACTAGTTGGGAAGGAAAAGTCTAGTGATAAGAAATGAACTGAAATGAAATAATTTATTTGCGATATATTGGTACAGTAAATATGATGTTACATGAAATTGATTGTTCAGCTATATTTACCATACAGGCATGCAAATTATGTGAAAATGTTTGTGTTACTTAAATCTTCTTGGACACTGTAAAAATTAAATTTATTGTGACCAATTAACTGGTCTTTTACGCCTAGTACTGTCATAATAAAAGTTAAATAAATGTTAACTGTGGTTAATAAATCATTGCTATGTAGCAAAACAGTGGCAGGGAGAGAACAGAATCTTACAGTAATGGCAGAGTTTTAAGAGAACTATTCATCTCGTCTTCCTTCTCGAGTGCTCCACAAGCACACATTGTAAGTGCAAGTGATTGTAACAAACCATAAAAATAAAAGTTAAAACTATTTGGTTTACATACCTGGTTTAATTTTACAGGACATTTCATCTAAGGATATGAACTGGCCAGATGTGATCTTCCTTAAGTATGAGTGGAAAGATATGTGCTTAATATTGTGTTCCTTGAGGTAGCCCTCGTCCCAGGGCTCCAGTGGGGAACAGTGTACACAGCACCCTTTGGAATTGTGTCGACATCTGAAAATGTACAATATTAATCTCAATAAACAATTTATTGCAAGAGATGGATGGACTGTGTGAAAGACGATATGGTAAGAAAGGGAGTAAATAATGAGATGACTACGAACAGGGATGAATGGAAGAGAAAAGCATATTACGCCAACCCTAAATAAAAGCGATAAGGAAGAAGCAGATGATGAAAATTCTTCACAAACAGACTCAAGGAACTTCTGTGATCAAGCCTTTAACAGACCATTTGTATAAACTTTTCTATTCATGAGTATGATTCTTGGTATTGGTCAGTGTGTTTTCAATGTATATTATGTATGAATCACTACTTTGTATCACCATTGTTGGCCTAGATTATTTTACTGTTGTATATATGTTGTATATATATATTAACAGTAAAATTAATTTTCTAGTAATTAATTGCACCAGAGAAATGGTTGTATTAAAATGTTTAGAAATTTATTTCTTTAGCTATACCCATAATATTTTAAAAGCCTTCCTGATCCCGATATAGAACATTAAGACACAAGATTGTCTGTTTAAACAATACTTTTCTTAAAAATTACACCATGCAATCAGTCATCTAGAATATAAGCAGATTCCTGGACAGTTGTAAACAATAAAGTAATGGTAATTATACTTTGTGCGCTGTAGCATGGTGCGGGTGACAGTTACTAAGTTTACATTTAACAATTGCTACATTTAAGTTAATACAATTATTAATAATTTAATATATTATGAATGTGGTACAGCTGATATACTAAGTCATAATTTGTAAATTTATTTGTTCAGACATAAGATCCAATTTGTTAGTAACAATTGTACTTAGCGTATGTTAGTATACTTAAAAAATTACATATTATCATTTAAGAGCCCCTGTAACAATTTGGGTCCAAAAACAAAGTATTTGACTGTCAAATTTCTTGCACAGCATTTTCAGAATACTGTTACTGCTGCCACGCAGTCTGTGCAATAGAGAGGCGATCTGTTTGCGTTTGATGGCATACAGGTCGTAAATAGCGGCAACTTTTAAGAGTGAAACGAAATGGTAATGAAACTGTCACATGCACCATGCTATAGCAATCAATGTAGTTTAAAATATCAGTCTATAATATATAATGTGTGTGAATTTATCATACAAGTGTAGGTAATAACTACTTAGATAATCTAGGATGGACAGGTATACTTACAGTTTCTCGTCTCGTTGCCTTTGGATAGTACCGGAACATTTGTATAATTGCTGATCAACCTCATCTTCCTCAACAGTACCCTGTCGTGGTGCAGCAGCTGTGGGAGCAGACGAAGGGCCTGCTTCGCTCGGCTCTCGAAATGGCTTGTTAATTGTCTGAGGATGAAATGGTCAAAATTTTCAAAGAATGATACTAAAAATGTTATTTGTTAGGAGTTAAATTTTCAGCAGGGGAAATGTTACAATGATAAAAGAATTTTGAAAACTCATACTGATGTCAAAGTATTAGTTCTTTTTTAATTTATATTTCCAATAAAAATAGATCTAGTATATATTGTGAGGAGAAAGTGAAAAATGAATTTAACATCATTCATTAAAAAGCATAAAATTAAAATGAAACATTATCTAAATTGATTTGAGATGGACTTTTAAATTACTTAATACAAAAAAGAAATCAGAAATCTGCTTATCTATACATATAAATAAAATTGGAGTGTCTCTTTGTAATATTGAAATAACCATTTTTTACTATATGCATATGAATATAAATATGGTACATGAACCAAAATAACATTTTTCACAATTTTTGTCTGTCTGTCTGTCTGTCTATCTGTTTGTTCCCGCTAATCTCTGAAATGGCTGCACCGATTTTGGCGGGACTTTTATTGGCAGGTAGTTGATGTAATAAGGAGTAACTTAGGCTATTTTTATAGAAAAATTATTTTATTTCAGATAACTTAAATTCCATGCAGATAAAGTCACATTGCATAGCACACAAGACTTTGTTTTCAATCAAAATGGATCTAGTATATACTTTTAGGAATAAATGAGCAATGAATTTTACATCATTCATTAAAGAGCATAAAAATTAGACTCAATCATTGTCTAAATATTGAAAATGGAACTATATTACTTTCTAAGAAACAATTTTTTTTTCTTATAATATAATCTCCTATATTTTGTCAGATGGAGTACCCATGGCTTTCTGACATAACAAAATTAGTTTTTTCCCTATGCACTTATGCCAGATCAAGAGTTTTTATGTAATAAAATGATAGTTATGTGCTAGTTTCAAATGGTAGTACTCAATTATTGGATTGGGTGTATATTAGTGATTAAGATTAATAGTGAAACATCAATATAAGAACAACAGTGTAACTTACATCTGAACTTGTGGATGGTTGGTCAAACAGCACTGCTCCATTGACTGGGCTCAAGTAGAGCATGTCTCCATGCTGCAAGCCGTACTCGCGCAGCTGCCGGGACTTGCTCGACGTGATCTCCTCTTTGCGCTGACGATCCTTGTGCAGCGCGAAACCGTATGTGGTGAGGTGTAACGAGTCGTAAACACGCTCGAACAGCACCGCCGTAACCTCTGTGTCCAGTACGTCCACGCGAGCAGTACCCTCCGCGGACTGTACACGCAGTGTCTGCACCACACCAACATCAAACATTTTTCCAAATCATTCATTAAACACACATTAGTGATACCTGACATCGAAACTGCATAGTCATTCAAATTAAACCATACTGTAGTACAACGACTGATAACTGATAAATATAAATTTGAGCAATAAATTAACTCTACTAAATAAAAAAGTTACATTAAGTTTAAATAACAATTCAATCTTTTATGTGGTGTTGAGGTTTGGTATCATTTATTGCCTCGTCTATAAAAAGGGTGATACTATTGTGAGTAGTGTTTTGTCTCTACAAAGAGCAGCCTGTCATTGTTTATAATAAAATATGAATTTACCATTTTCTTTGATCCTGACATTTTCAATATAAACTAAAATAAATTGAACAACAGTAACAACAGATGAGTGACATGACATGACATGACACAAATGCCGTTGACATAACAGTGCTACCATATAGGACATTAAAATCTGATTAAAATGAAAAATAACATAAGTAATCGATTGACTCTGACCGTCGCTGTTAAATATAATATTATATGGCAACAGTTATTTTGCTGATTCATCAATTATATTAACGCATCAATAATAGTTTTAAACCAGAGCATTGTAATTTATTCGTAAAACCCCTCAACTCCAAAATATTATCTCATTTATAATTGAGAAGTACCCATTCATGAACCGATGTTATATAGTTTTTATATCTGGTAAACGTATTTCAGTTTTATTCTGAGCTTGTATAAAATTTTATGTATACAAAAAAATATATTCTGCAATAGTAACTAAATTGATAGATGATACAATCAGATAACCCTAAACTGGTTTTAATTATACTTTTTGAAATGAGTTTGATACCTTAAATTGTATACATATATAAAACCATCTATTTTTATTCATAGTAGAGCTGAAACTACGATACCTCAAAAATGAATCGAGTGATTCCTTCGTCGAGCATTTGGCTACTGCGAGACGGAACGTCAATGTCATAATTTAATGTTTCTCAAATTACAAAAAAGATTTACTCTGTAATTTCAAATTTCAATGTTTTGATTACTTATATTTCATCATTATTCATTTTAGCAATATCATGTTCTCTTATAAACTATATTAATTAAAATATACTTGATTGCAAAATGTTTTACAATTGTTACGTGTGATAATAAATAATTAGATAGTAAAAAATAAAAATAGAAGATAAATCGAGAAAAGGCCTATTCATCGACAAAAAAGGTAAAATTAAAATAAATACTTATGAATAAAAATAATGGTATAATCAAAAACTATTATTATACTCGGCACTTCTGTATCTGTACTTTTTGAAACAGAAAGTGTTGTTAATAGTGATTATATCGTGTAAGTGTAGTGTACGTAGGTGTATAGTAGAGCACATCGTTATTTGCGAGTCGACGGCGGTGAGTACACCACCGTAGAGTCGCAGAGGCGTAGGCCCGCAGGTGTCGCGCTGTATGTCTGCAAACCGGCCGTGCGTCCGTACGCTCGCCATACACGCTCTATCTACGTAGTGATTGTGCTGTGTCTCTAATAAGAAAATAACTATCAGTTCTAAGCCCAACCTGAAAGTGACAGTAAAGTCAACACTGATACTACAGGAAGAAATTGTGTAATTGCCAATTGTGTTGATTATTTCACAGATTTCATAGGTATGTAGTAATTTTACCTTACTACCGTATCTTTCAGGACATGACATAGAAATAGAAATAATCATTATTCAAATAAATTTAATATAAGCAGTTTTGAATAGTCACATTTTTTTTATTCTACCACACATTTGGACACATACTCATCACAAGATGAGCAAGAAACTTGCATGAAACTTTTATTGTTTTGTTTATAGTTTGAAATAATTTTTTGGACTTTAGAATTAAATTAAAATTGCCTAAACTTGGTTTCAGTCAACTAAACTGTACCTATAATCTAGTTCATGTATTTTTTTTATATTACAATCATGGCAGTCAAGCATATGGATCACCTGATAGTAACCAGTATAATATTAGTTTTAAATAAATATTCTAAACATACCTAAATTTTCTACATATAATATTGATTTAAAAAAATGTTATTGAATATTTATCCTCTTTACTATACTTTAAATAATGTTACTATGGTCTGAAAGAATAATAATAATTATTATTAACAAGTAAGATAACATAACATCATAGTCGTAGATTACTGACGGATCTGACTATTAATTTAATAGTCAGACCCGTCAGTAATTAATTGTTGGGTGTACTCTGTGGTATTGCTCATGTGAAATACTTCTTATGTTAATCTCTATCTTTATATTAGTACTGTTCCTGCGACTTCATCTGCATGGAATTTAACTTTATATTCTAAAATAAAAGTAGCCTAAGGTAGTCCTTATTACATCTACTACCTGCCAAAAAAAGTCCCATCAAAATAGGTCCAGCCATTACAGAGATTAGCCAGAACAAACAGACAGACAGACAGACAAAAATTCTAAACAATGTTATTTTGGTGTATATCATATACCGTAGTTGTATTCATATGCATGTAGTAAAAAACAGTTTTATTTATATGTATAGATTATTATACAATAATAATAGTCACTGATGTGCACCTTGTTAAAAATATCCACTGTTATGTATAATAAAAGCAATAATTTGTTTCTAAACCTATGAATATGCATGTATATATTTACTTAGTCTAGTCCCAGTGAATATGATTAAAAAATTAACATTAAAAATACATCCAGTATTCTATGGTATTGCCCATGTCGAATACTCGTTACATTAACTTCTTTCTTTATATTAGTATTAATTTCTCTTCTTATATTAACTTCTATAGGTGAGGAAACTTTAAAAAAGTATCAAGTAGTTTTACAGTATCCACTACAAACAAAGAAAGTATCAAAACTTTCTTCTTCATAATATTAATAATATATTCTAATAATATAAATATTATATTTAAATTTGATTTAATGCCAGCAGTGATCAAACTGAGCGGAGATGGCATCTGAAGCAGGTCTGCCGGTGGATCTCTATATTTATGACCTGACAAATGGATTGGCTTCTATGTTCTCGCCTGCCATACTGGGTAAGTTTTTTTTTCTCCTTTTATTTGTTTCACGGTTTTTTTTTAACGTATATATTTTGATTTATTTTAAATCTTAGGCTCCCGCTGCGATTTGATACAGGATTTAATAGAAGTTTTCACTGTAGGGATATATATTATATTATAACACTTGTTATAATTCATTATGGTTAATAAAACATTGTTATAATGCAACCTTAATATTTTTTTAAATATTAGCTGTCCCGACCAATGTTGTTTTGCCATATAAACTTAAGTAGTAATAGTGTTTAAGTACCAAAAAAAATGTTAGTGATGGACAACTCTTATCACTTAGGGGTATGAAAAATAGATAGTAGCCGATTCTCAGACCTACAGAATATGCATATAAAATTTCATAAAAATCGGTGAAGCCATTTCGAAGGAGTATGGTAACTATCATTGTGACACGAAAATTTTATGTATAAGATACACAATTTCAAATGCTTGTACTGTATCACACTGTGTATCTCCATTGTGGTGTAGTGTTTGTGGAGTAGATAGTGAGTCCACTTAATAATTACAGCAAAAAAAGCAATGTTTATTATCCTAAGTTTGGTGTAAAAGTATATATATATATATATGTATATAAATATAAAGTTTAAGTTACCTACAATGAATGTTACCAAACGTCTTAATTGGCCCTTAAACCTACACCCGGGAACTGTTCGGTGTTTCCACCGCAGTCTTAAACTAGGCTGGGGCTCTTGGGCGCACAAGAATTCGGGGCCCTTTTGGAAGGTATAAAAAAAACATTAAGGTAAGAACATAGGAATAGGCAAAGTAATCGGTAGTCGGCGTAGTATGTGCCAGTAGTGTAGTGTGCCCGACAAAAATCTTTTGAGAATAAATGTGTGAGAAAAATCGTCAGTCCTTCGGGGCCCCCCTCAGAAATTTGGCCCCGTGTGCTTACGGTATTGGGTGTTTCCCTAATTAATAAAAATGAAGACCACTGAATTCCCTAACAAAAGCTGAACATTCCAATTAAATAAAAGAATCATAGAAAATATATCGCATAACGTACTTATGAATATAATTCGGTGGAGGTGTGATACCTCCCTGTTATTTGTAAAATTACAGTACCTATACTTGTTAATTTTACAGAAAATCTCGGGTCAAGGTAGGGTATCTTTCTATGCGTTTTTCTAAAAAAACTTATTGTTATTAGTGAACATTTCGCGACCCAATTCCGAGGTGCGATTGACAGACAGCTGGACTCGTCATTTCATTTGTTTCAAGGACAGGCGGTCCACTTACACATCTATACATAGAACCGCTAATAGGAGAATCATTCACTTTGTGACGTCATTCATGTTTACCTGGGATACACTAGATAGTGAGACATCTACATGGGTGCCTCTGTCTGATTCACCTTCCAGCAATATTTCCGAACCGATACGATATTGAAACCTTTCCGATGTTAGCGTAACAATATGGTTTTGCATTGCGTTTGCCACTCAGCGCTCGCGTTAGATAATTTTTTCTTTTGCCACGCACAACCACATTGTGGAATCACCATCCAGCAATGGTATTTTCGAACCGATACGATATTGAAACCTTCAAGAAAAGAGCTTGTTCCTTTTTAAAAGGCCGACAACGTACTTGCAATTCCCCTGGTGTTGCGGGTGCTCATGGGCGGCGGTAATCGCTTACCATCAGGTGAGCCGCATGCTCGTTTGTCCTCTGCGTTATAAAAAAAACTTCTGTCTGTATTTTTGCTGCTAAGGAGCTTGTGTTTCAAACTGTTCTTTTCAATTCAATTCAATTCAATTCAAAATATCTTTATTCTGAATTCTTTGTTCTAGTTTTACGAGTGATTTATGACAGTGAAATTATAGCACACTAGCTGTGCCCGTGACTCCGGCCGTGTGTATCAACAATAAAAACTAAAAGTAGATACACAATTACATTAATCAGTCAACATAATGCAATACAATACAAATATACAGATAAAATACAACGTTACAAAATAAAAAAATATTTTAAAAATTTTTGAGAGTATTTAGTATATGTTGCATAGCCTGTACGCGAAAAGGCAGTACCTCAGTGTATTGTTTGCAGCATTCAGCAGCACACCACTGATATTCAGGCACTGCCCAGAGTATTTTAAACTATATTGGCTAATTATTTTATATGTAAGACCTATATGTTTAAATCTAAATATATATAACTCAAAGGTGACTGATATAGTGATTAACGCACAGCCCAATCCACTGGACGGATCGGGCTGAAATTTGGCATGCAGGTAGATGTTATGACGTAGGCATCCGCTAAGAAAGGATTTTGATTAATTCTACCCCCAAGGGGATAAAACAGGGGATGAAAGTTTGTATGAAACTTTGTCAATTTTAAACCGATCAGGCTTAGACTTTACATGCATAAAGCTACTATGACGTAGGCATCCCCTAAGAAAGGATTTTGTTAAATTCCACCCCTAAGGGTATAAAATAACGCGAGCGAAGCCGCGGGCAAAAGTAGTATTTAGATAAGCTATTTGCAGTGTTTCACTGCAAAAGCATGAATATGAATAAATGTTTTTTGGTTTGATTTGATTCGAAGTGTTCCTCATGAAACCTAACGTCGACAATTACCTACGTCTGACTACCCCACATGAAACTATAGCCGTGAGGTTACATGTGTGATGAAGTGGTACATATGTTGCAGGTAGACAGATAGAAGGCGTGTGGCACACGTCCGTCGTGGTCTACGAGCGGGAGTTCTTTTACGGCAGCGGGGGCGTCACCATCTGCGCGCCGGTTAGTGAACACCCACTCCTCTGCTCACTGCTCACTGCTCACTTGCTCACTGCTCACCTTACAGCCTTAGACACACAAAACCTAGATAGAGAAAACCTCAAAATAATGATAGAAGACAATAATGGGCCACTGGGGAGAAAGGGGATTGATAGTAATGTGGACTGATGATCTTTTGACGACCTCGGTGGTCTAGCACACCGCTTTACGTCCGATGGTCGCGGGTTCGATTCCTCGCACGGCACAAACATTCGTATTCACGAGTATGATTGTTTGTATCGGTCTGGGTGGTTTCTATGTATAATATGTATGTATTTACGAAAAAATATATTGATGTATTTGTATCAGTTGTCTAGTACCCATCACACATGCTTTAGCTAGCTTAACTTGGGTCTAGATGGCGCTGTGTGAATTGTTCTGAGATTATTATTATTATTATTATTGCTAGCAGGTTCCCCCTGGAAAGCATCGTGGTAAATTCTTGGTGAATTTGTTAGGATGGGCTAACTGCCCTAACCCTATGCTTATTTTATCATCCTCCACTGGTGCTGGTGAGCCAGCCAAATTCCTCCCAAAAGCGCCCAGTCTCCTAGTGTCTTCACAGGCTTCACGGAGCGCCTCACCGTTCCGAGGATTTGTTTTCGTTGTGTGGCCACTGCTACGCACTCCAGGATAACGTGAGCAGCCATTTCTTCGGCCTTAAAGCAGCCCCGACAAAGGGTACTGTCAGTAGTATTATATCTATACATATGAATAAAATTGGAGTGTCTGTTTGTAATATTGAAATAACCGTTTTTTACTACATGCATATGAATATAAATACGGTACATACACCAAAATAGCATTTTTTACAATTTCTGTCTGTCTGATTGTTCCCGCTAACCTCTGTAATGGCTGGACCAATTTTGACGGGACTTTTATTGGCAGGTGGCCGGTGTAATAAGGAGTAACTTAAGCTACTTTTATTTTAGAAGATTAAAGTTATATTCTACGCGGATAAAGTCGCAGGAACAACTAGTTAATAATAACTATTGTACTGTTTCGTTTTTGAAATTAGTAAACAAATGTATCGAGCTCCACTTGTCTCGTGGTCGCACACGCTCTTACAACGTAGTTACACTATATAACTCACGTAATTCGTATCATAAATCATATCAGGCTGAAATTGTTCCAAGTACGCGTAACGTAACGCGTAAATTCTATATATCCATTTGTGACAACACCACTTGGCAGCCCGTGCACAGCCGCAGGCCAAATGGAAGCGTCATGTGCTGTACATATAGGTCTTCCAGGTACAAAGATCATGGCGCCGTTAGGGCGTCCCGAGTGGTTGGTAGTATAGTAAACAGAAGCCGGAGTAGAAGCGGTCGAAGACTAGTAATAATATGATAATATCTCTGGACAATTCAACAGTACATACACCATGAGCGCAGGCATGTGTGCCATTCAATATTCGTCGATAAAAAAAGTAGTGTCTTACCGAGAAAGCAAACCCACATTAATAATAATAACCCTGGACAATATACACAGCGCCATCTAGTCCCAAGCTAAGAAAGCTTGTGTTAAGGTTAATTAGAAGAAAATAGAATAGAATAGAAAATTATTTATTCAAATAAACTTATATTGAAGCACTTTTGAATAGTCATTACATTTTTATTTATCTACCGCTCATTCGGAAAGCTGTCTCATCACAAGAAGAATGAGTAAGAAACTGGTGTGTTGCTATTTTAAATAATTTTATTCTTAATTTACAATTTAAGTTGTAAGTGTGTGAATACAAACCACCGATTAGAATTAATTTACATATGTCTCTCAGTTGTCTAGTGCAGTGTTCCGTAATTTTATATGTTCAAAATATATGTACAGAATGAAGTTTTAGTCGTACGTCTAAATAAAACGACCTATGTTTACTTAATATTTAAAAATGTTTGAAGTCCGTAGAATATGAAATAAAGTTTAATTATTGTAGAAACAGCTTAAATGAGCACAGGTGATCAAAATTTGGTGCGAAATTATGAGGTTGTCTCCAATTTTTGGTCTGAACAGCAATTAATCATCATGGTATACCAGAAGATATATTTGTTGTGGTGGAACGGTCTCGTACACACTATGTGCTAAGTTTGGTACTGGATGGCGTCGTGAGAATTTTCCAAGGTTATATATTTGCGTTTGGCACAAAATAGAATTACGACAATTTAGTTAAAAATACAATTATGCTTTTTTTTTGTTGGTACGTACGTACTTACGCCAGATTTAGTACAGTGCGCACGATGCTTATCGTACATGGCCATCGAACACACTGCAAATGGCCCGTGAACCAGCCCTACCAATATGGTACAAAGTGGACGGAAGGGATTGTTAGTAATGGACTGATCACATTGCTAGCAATTTGACTAACATTTGAAAAGAATACGAGCTGAGTTTCTTGTCAGTTGCGTACCCCTTGATGCAACTTCACGTACCCCTGGGGGTACGAGTACCACTAATTGGAAAACACCGGTATAGAACAAAGGTTTGATATCTAGTTTTTGTTTCTTGGCTAGCGGTTGCAATCTCACGTAATGTTTTTTCTATGTTTTTCTTATTAATATTTTATTTTTTCTCGTTTAATTAAAATTATATCAAATTATACTCTGAGCTATTTACATTATTTTTATTATACACACACCGCACAGACAGTCACCAATAATATTGCTCTTTTTATTTTATATTTATTTTAATTTATTATTTTCACGTACCCTCAAATGGGTTGAAAATTTGTGTTTTGTTTCCTTGAACAATGTTCCACGCTGAGCTTCAACTTTTTTGTAATGTTACAGATCACACATAATAACACAATTTTATAAATCTTATGTCGTATTATGTATTGTCTATTCATATGAACATGTGAGTGATTAGTAACAAACAAATAAACGATATATCTATGTATCTATATAGGATTGGCGAATCGTATACATTAAAAAATGACACATCTATAGAGCGATGACGAAAAGAATATAACAAAAATAGAACGTGTACACAATTATTACGAGCGATGTAATATTAGCCGCGTATTAATAAATATCATAACATGCGACGCATACTTTGCACGTTCTTCGGTTTATTTTTATTCGATTACGCGGGAAAATTATTCGTTCTGGACCAGTGTAAGGTATCCTCTCGGCTGGTACATGCCGCTGGAGAAAGCAGATCTCGATACGTTGGTAGTCGTTTGTACGTCGGCTGGCTGTAAACATTGTATTTGTGGCGCGGTGTGCGGCGCCAAACGACACTAACTGTACCATTAAAGCTACGCCTTTATGTCTCGTTTGTGCTGTATTTGTATAATAATGTAGTGTTAAAACGGATGGAATGTTAGAAGGGAGAGGAAACAAGTTGGCCTAACTGATCCTATAAGTTAAGCATCGCCTATATATAGTATACTATCGGTGCCCGCGGTTTTATCCGCCTGAAATTGATAGCCTATACTAGCTGTACCCGCGACTTCGTCCGCGTAAAATATTTAATGACCTAACCCAATAAAAGCCAATGAAAAAAGTTTCATCATTCTAGCTTAAAAAAATCATGGATTTACATAAAAACTTTCATCCCCTATTTTATTTTACCCTCCTACCCTCAGGAGGGTAAACATTTTTACAAACTTGGGATGACATATTTATTTATATTTAATCAACAGCCTCAAAAATAAATTTCAAGCTTCTAGCTTCAACAATGACGATTCTTTCAACCCCTTACAACCCTTTTTTCGCATTAAAAAGTAGCCTATGTCCATTCTCAGGGTCCTGTGTCCAAATTTCATTAAAATCGATTCAGTAGTTTTGGCGTGAAAGCGAGTCAGACAGACAGACAGACAGAGTTACTTTCGCATTTATAATATTAGTAAGGAAAGTAAGGAATTAGTAAGGATGTTATTCTGATGTATAAGCTATAGTACTGTATAGTTTCATCAAAATCGGTTCAGCGTGAAAGAGTATCAAACATCCATCCATACTCAAAATTTCGCAGACATGAATGAAGCTATGAGCAGAACGTAAGCGTACCATGTTACCTCCCTCCACGCGATTGCTCCTTAAAACCATTGTGTTCAATTTCTGGTAAATTGGCCACTATGGGCAAACTGGACGCGACTTCATGCTCATCACTGGTCCTTCGCTGGTGCCATTATTATCATCGCTATTAAAAGAAAAAAGAAATGTGTTGTATGTAACTCCTCGATGCTATTTGCCAAAGCCATTTTTCACAGGAATGTCTCTAAAATGAAATCTATTTAGTGTACAAGAGATTTTATTGTCACATCCACTAAAATAGATTCATATCGTAAATACCACGTGTTTTGCAACGCATTTTAGGTGAAAACGGTACAGGTAGAGATGAAGAGAGGGGACTGGGTTATATCTTCTTATGGATGATAATGGAATGATGGACCAGCCTGTGCTAAAGGTTTACGCTGGCGGGGCACCAGCGGAGGATGATAAGATGAGTAGTAAATTCACCGTGAATTTATCACGATGGTTTCCAGGGTATTAACCTGACATGGTACATTGCTAGCAATGGGGTTGTTACTCCACATTACTAATAATACCATTCCTTCCCTTGATGGTGCTGATATAGCCCCATCAAGGGAACAGGTCTCCTGATCCATTTAGAATCAAATTATTCATGTAGGACATTTTAGCCGCTTATGAACGTCAAGTTTTTTGTATTAATATTTTCTCCTACCGTCCAGTTCAGTATAAAGATTCAATTGAGAACAACTGGCAAGAAACTCATCAGAACTTCTTTTTTTTTAAATTATGTGTATTTGTGTATCGTTATATAGGTGTCTATGTATAACATTAAATAAAAATAATAATAATAATAAATTTATTTCATTAACATAGATGTTTTACAATTTTTTTTTACACATCAACAATCACATATTTTTATTTATATATTTATTATTATATTATTATTAAATGAAAATCCCGTGCATGAACAACTATTGCCATACACGCTCGTCATTCAAGTAATCGTTTAGTGAGTAATGAGCTTTGCTCAATACATATGATTTAACTAATGTTTTTTTATTTAAAGGCAATTCCAGTATATCCTTTGGTATATTATTGTAATTTTTTATACTCATTCTCACAAAGGACTCATTGACTTTTACTAAACGAGGCTTAGGAATAGCAAGTTTGTCTTTAAATATTCAAATTCAATTATCATTTATTCATGTAGGACATTTAGTCGCATTTTTTTTATATTATATTCTTTTCCCGACCGTCCAATTCAGTAGATACTGTTTTTGCAAATGAGAGGTTTGTGCAACGCCGACTGTGTGTCGACTATTAACAAGCCGCAATAACTGTATTATTAGACAGTGCACTCGGCACGTGAGTTCTGCACTCTGTGACACATTCCACGTGCTCTATATACACACTCCCAAAATACGCGGCCATTACGATAATGGCGTCCCGCTTGCACCTACGTGGACTGCAGCAGTTGGAGTGTGATGGCGTATATATTGTCTGCCGGATGCGTTCTTCCGCGCGCGTGTTATACGCTAAAATCACGCGGACTACTCTCGTTAATGTAAATGTCACTGTGTTGAGAGGAACTGTATTCTTTATGATATATTTCCCCTCCCGATCCTCCATCCAATTCAAACGGGGATCGAAATTACGGTCAGAGCCAAGGTACGAACCCCTAGCGGTGTCCTCAGACTAAGTCGTATCAGCGGGCCTTCAGCCGCTCCATAAATCCTTCATCTGGTTTGGAGTGCTATCCGAACTCGTCCGGTGAAGCTGTAAAGCTCAGCTGCGGCCGACAGCATTAGAGTGGTCATATATTTTTAACCATCTTCATAAAAAAGATATCAATTTTTTAATTCTAAGTCATTATGTACTTTATAGGCATGGTACCTATTGTGAGGTTTAGATGTTGATAACTCCGGGAAGACATGTTTGTATACGAACTGTTTAAAGATTCTAAAGTGATATTAAAGAAAAAAGGTTTTACATTATGTTTGCAATGTATAAAATGAAAAATATGCAACCGATTTAAAACGTCTTTTGTAATAAGTAGATTTTTAATATTATGGTGTTGACATATCCACATTTTCATTTACTACTAGCTGTACCCGGGACTTCGTCCGCGTGGTATTTAACTTTATTTTACTAAAATAAATGTAGCCTAAGTTACTCCTTATTACATCAGCTATCTGCCTATAAAAGTCCCGTCAAAATCGGTCCAACCTTTCAGAGATTCGCCGGAACACACAGACAGACAGACAAAAATTGTTATTTTGATGTACCGTATTTATATTCGTATGTAGTAAAAAAACGCTTATTTCAATATTACAAACAGACACTCCAATTTTATTGATATGTATAGATTTCGCGTATTATGTATGAAACTTTGTCAATTTTAAACCCATCGGGCTGAGACTTTGCATGCATAAAGCTACTATGACGTAGGCATCGCCTAAGAAAGGATTTTGATAAATTCCACCCCTAAGGGGACAAATTAACGCGAGCGAAGCCGCAGGCAAAAGCTAGTAATAGTATATCTCTTTGATGTCTCTAAAGCGAGGAATATAAAACAATTACAGTTGATAATGGCACCTGCAAACAGTGTTTGTGTTACAAACAGAAATCTATTTTCCCTGTAATGTTTACTCAATCTATGAAACTAGCACAGTTTTTCTGAAATCATAAACAAACAGTAGTGTGACTCACTGATCATTTAGACTAATGAAATTGTAATAATTCATCATCAGATAATGATGAATTTCTTCCTTATCCCATTTATTTGTGGTCGTCGTAATGTTTTTCTCTTCCATTCATCTCTGTTCGCAGTCATCTCGTTATTTACTTCCTTTCTCGCCATATCATCTTTCACACAGTCCATCCATCTCTTTTTCGGTCTTCCTCTACCCTTATAACCATCCACATTCATATGTAACACCGTTCTTAGGATATGATCTTCATTCCTACGCATTACATGTCCATACCATGATAGACGATTACTCTTTAACCTCTCGGACATGTAATAATTAATAGCAGTAATGTCTAGTAATTGGGACCTCTTAAAAATTTTTACCCAAAAAAAAACTGAAAATAGTATTTTCAATGTTCAAGAGCTTATTTTTTTCTTTTCTGTACGACTATTTTTCAATGAAATAGAGCTTGTTGAAAATCACCCATAAATTTAGAAAAAAAATTCTCTTCCCTTAATTTTTGCAAGAAGTGTATAAGTATTCAGACCAAATAGAAAGAAAGAAAGAAAAAATTAAAAAAAGAAAGGAAGGAAGAAAGAAAGAAAATAGTTTATTTGGTACATAACAATATTAAAAATAATTTTAAAATTTTAAATTACATTATATAGGTTTATATTAAAATACAACTAAAGATACTCATAATTACAAACGTTTGAATCATGCGAGGAATCGAACCCGCGACCGTACAAAGTAAAGCGGTGTACTAAACCGCTAGACCACTGAGGCCGTCATTTCTTCGTTTTTTATGTGTATGTTTGTTTTTTTTTTGTTACAGGGCAGCACCCGTCTGGGCGCCCCGCGGCAGGTGGAGCGGCTCGGGGAGACCTTCGTGCCGTTCCAGGTGTTCGTGGACTACATCCAGGGGCTCGCGACCACCACCTACACGTCAGTATTCATATAAAACACCAGTGTTTTATGGTGTTGACTAGTAGTAGTGGAAAATTGTATAATTTAAACATAACAACTTGTTCCTCATGAATCATAATAATGAGTAAGTCTGATATCGTTAGTACAATCTCAAATTTGTTTGGGATTCATTAACGCTGTGAGGATTATTTATAATTGTGTACAAAATTAATCATTAGTTTATAACTGTTGTCCTTGAATTACCAACGTTAACTATTGTAATATTTTTGATACAACACATCATTGTATAATCATTACATTTTTTTATACTACTATGGTGGTAAACAAGCATACGGCCCGTCTGACTACCGTACCGTACAGGGTACGGTACCCTATGGACGCCTGAAACACCAGGGGTGTCACGTGCGCGTTGCCGACCCTTAAGAAACCTACTAGATACAAAATAAACTACAAAATACCCTTCTTGATTTTTCAAGTCCCCATCCTGTAGTCTCGTGAGAAAACCTCGGCAGCAAGTTCATTCCAAAACCTAAGTGTACGCGTGAGGAAAATATACAATATTATAAAACAAAGTCGCTGTCGCTGTCTGTCCGTCCCTATATATGCTTAAATCTTTAAAACTACGCAACGGATTTTAAAGCAGTTTTTTTTAGTAGATAGAGTGATTCAAGAGGAAAGTTTATATGTATAATACATGTACACCCGTGCCAAGCCGGGGTGGATATCTAGTATTATATATAATCTATACATATAAATAAAATTGGAGTGTCTATTTGTAATATTGAAATAACCGTTTCTTACTACATGCATATCAATATAAATACGATACATACACCAAAATAACATTTTTCACAATTTTTGTCTCTCTCAACATACAGACGTCTGTTTGTGTCGACTAATCTCTGAAATGGCTGGACCGACTTTGACGGGACTTTTATTGGCAGGTAGCTGATGTAATCTGGAGTAACTTAGGCTACATTTATAAAAATAAAGTTAAATTCCACTCGGACGAAGTCGCAGGTACAGCTAGTATAATATTAACTCAGGACAATCCACACAGCGCCATCTAGTCCCAGACTAAGCAGAGCTTGTTATATGTGTATAAATATATATATTTTTGTAAATACTTAGAAAACGCTCAGACCTATACAAACAATCATACTCCTGAATGCAAATGTTTGTACCGTTCGAGGAATCGAACCCGCAACCTTCGGGAGTAGGGCTATGTCGCTGTCGTGTATGTAAGAAGGTTTGGTTGTGTGTGGTTGCAGCGGCGCGGAGTACCGTCTGCTGGAGCACAACTGCAACCACTTCAGCGAGGAGCTGGCGCAGTTCCTGTGCGGCGCGCACGTGCCCAAGCACATCGTGGAGCAGGCCGACAACGTGCTGGCCCCGCCGCAGCGGCGAGAGCTGCAGGCCCTCGTCGACAGCCTCCTGCCCGGAGACGACGCCACGCAGGTCACAGTCACCACCACTGATGAACACTATCACCACATAACATCTACGAACACCACCTCGACTACCACCTACGAACACCATCACCGCATACCACCGACGAACGCCGCCACCACATACCACCAACGTGCACTGCCATCACCACCTTATACCAGTGACCAACATCACCTCGACTACCACCACTTACCACCGACGTACACTACTACCACATACCACCTCAACCATCACCATACAAGCGTATTAATGTAGTTAGATACAATTGATCAGTAGCATTACTTTGAAAAAATTAATAAACAAAGTATGTATATACGTTTATATATATATGACAGTTATATATGTGTCGTAACTTCATCAGGCGGTGTACGCGAACGGTGTGCGGCAGAGTCGTCGCGATAGCCCCGACTTCCTGACGCTCAACACGCAGATCGAGGAGGCCAGGTGAGTGACGCCGGGCCCGGCCCGCGGCTTCAGTGGCCCGTCCCGACCCGTCCCGACCCGTCCCGACCCGTCCCGACCCGTCCCGACCCGCGGCTATAGCGGCCTGTCCCGACACCGCAGGAGGCGCGACAGGCCTGCGTGGGTCACTGCAGCGCGCGCAGTGCTGGCGGCCGTGCGTCTGGTTCGCCGCGTGCGGGGCCCCCGTGACCCCCGTGACCCCCGCGACCCCCACGACCCCCGCCGGCCCGTGTGAGCTCGCAGCACGCGGCTCTCAAACCCCTGCCTTCTGCAGTGCACTTCGCGGAACATAGCCACAGAGTAACTTATAAAAAACGAAATATTATTGAATGAAAAATAAACATTTTACATTTCAACACTAAAGGATGTTTTATAAGTATGTTGTTAGCATAATTGTTTCAGTAGTCATTTATAAAGTAATTAGCTACTCGCCCTGACTTCGCACGGGTGTACATGTATTATACATATAAACCTTCCTCTTGAATCACTCTGTCTATTAAAAAAACCGCTTCAAAAACCGTTGCGTAGTTTTGAAGATTTAAGCATACATAGTGACGGACATGCAACGACAGCGACTTATAAACAAAGTAACTATGTTATGACTACGTTCAGAAAACATGCAAATGTTGTATAAACAAGATAACAATAAATAATAATAATAATCTCAGGACAATTCACACAGCGCCATCTAGACCCAAGTTAAGCTAGCTAAAGCTTGTGTTATGGGTATTAGATAACTGATTAATAATTTTATGGCAAATAAAGGTATTTATCTCTCTCGACGTTTAACGCCATAAAATTATTCATGTTAAGACCCGGTTAATAATTTAAATAATGTATATTAAACACGAAAGTTTAAAATTAACTGTTGCAAACTGATACTAATACATAGATATTTTTTTTTGTAAATACATACATATTATACATAGAAAACATCCAGACAGATACAAACAATAATATTGCTAAAACCAACATACGTCTGCATCAGTGCGTCGCCGTGTTCGTATTGCGTCTTCATATAACGTCTTAGGACCCGTAGAGTGAGTAATAATGTATGTAATGAAACCATTTCGATGACAGTGCATGCTGTTGTTGCATGCTTGCATCTTGGTCGTACATTTTAATAAAAAAATAATTAAATGAAATGATAAAAAGGATATGGATGTAGGGATGCGGTGGATAATGGATAATTGAATAAGTGGAGGAATATAAAGTCAAAACATTGTTTTTTTATCAATTATCAAATGATTTATAACATTATTTAAATTATTAGCCGAGTCTTAACACGAATAATTTTATGGCAAATAAAGGTATTTACCTCTCTCGACGTTTCGACTAGGTTACACTAGCCATTAAGACGTCATATAAAAAAAAATATCGATATTGGAACTTTGTTGCCTATGTCCACCAATTTTCAATTTAAGACTGTTAAAGACAGAGCGCGGCTTTATAGTTTATCACGGCGTCGCCTTAAGACCCGGCTTTATAACATGTTTTTTTAGAATACCCTAAAATGGAATTGAATAGTAGATTTTTAAATAGGATTTCTGTTTGTATTGTTGATGGATATTTTTAAAAGAGGTAACTCTAAATTTTCATTACTGAGTCATTCTGTTTCTTCAAATAAACTTTCACACAAATTCTTACGCTTTTTGTGTAGGTATGGGTCAGTTGAGTAGTTCGTATGTTTTATATTCACAACTATATTACTTATTGATGTAGTTCGGTGTTTTCTGATTACTGGTACGCGTACCCCCAGGGGTACGTGAAGTTGCATCAAGGGGTACGTGCGGCTATCAGTCAAACAAACATACACACACACTCACAAACTTTTACATTTATAATATTAGTGTGATTGCTACAATAAGGGGTACGCAAGGTTTTGAAGTGCAGCAATAACTATTTGGGAACCACTGATGTAGTTAAACAGAGAGGTACATAAAGGCGACACAGGCTACGCTTCCAGCGATCGCTCCTTCGGTTCCCGTTCAGTACAAACATTTGTATTTATTAGTATTAATATTTTTTTTATCTCTGATTGATTTTTTTTTTGTAATTATGAATTTAATAAATATTAAAATATACTGTCTTATACAAATTGTAACGGAAACCCTGTCTGATCGTGTAGGTATTATGGAGTATCCAAATACTAAATAGTAATGTACGTAAAACCCAGGAAAAAATTAAACAACTCTCGAATCGGACAGGAATTTTTTTTACACTCTGTATACACTCTAAAGCTGTACATTTTTTAATATATACTTTTTAATCGATTTGTTTAAGATTAAAAACGTCAATTAAAATTAAAAAGTGGTATAATAAAAATGTGTGGTGAGTGTAAAATAACGCGCGTGGTGGTGTGGTGACGGCGGCAGGCAGCAGAGCGCGGAGCTGGAGCAGCGGCGCAGCTCGCTGGCGGAGAAGCTGGCGCGGAAGGAGCGCCGCCGGGAGAAGAAGCGGAAGAAGCTGCAGCGGGACCACCCCGACGGAGACGCGCACTCCTACGAAGGTACCTACTCATAAATAATTATGGCACTAGTTCTAAAGTTAGTCAATTTTAACACGTTAAGAACTTCTTAGCGTGAGATACATATGTCTGACATGGCGATCTACATGAGCCATGTCAGACATATATGTCTGACATGGCTCCTGTAGAACTTCTTAGCGTTTTCGTGTTTGCTCGTTGCTCAATTAGGTGTATATTATTAATAATACTGCAGATGTATTATATATGACTCTTTTATTATATATGATTATATTACTTATATTTAACACGACAACCCTTTGTTATATGACTCGACTCGACACACAGACAGACCATAGACCAAGTAATTAATCATAACCATAGACACATATTTTTATGGCTCTGAATACACAACAAGCGTGAGACACATATAACTGACATGACGATCTACATGAGCCATGTCAGACGTATATATCTGACATGGCTCATGTAGAACTTCTTAGCGTGAGACACATATGACTGACATGGCGATCTACATGAGCCATGTCAGATATATATATCTGACGTACCCGATTTGGTAGAAAGCGCTGTGTTCAAAAGAATAGGTTAATACTTGTTGTAACTTGTTTGGATGCGTCAGACATATAAGACTGACTCGGCTTGTCGAGAAAAAAGTTTTAATATAGGGTCATGTCAGTCATATATGTGTGAAATAAAATAGGACCTTCCGGGAGTTTTAGCAAAAAAAAAATTATGTGATAAATTAAGTTTCCTTGATACATTTTTAACTAAATCTAAATATATATAACTCAAACGTGACTGACATAGTGATCTATCAATGCACAACCCAAACCACTGGACACATCGGGCTGAAATTATGCAGGTAGATGTTATGACGTAAGCATCCGCTAAGAAAGGATTTTCATTAATTCTACCCCCAAGGGTATAAAATAGGGGATGAAAGTTTGTATGAAACTTTGTCAGTTTTAAACCGATCGGGCTGAGACTTTGCATGAAATATATTTGCATAAAGTTACTATGACGTAGGCATCCCCTAATTAAGGATTTTGATAAATTTCACCCCTAAGGGGATAAATTAACGCGAGCGAAGCCGCGGGCAAAAGCTAGTTATCTAATAAAGTTACCAGGGCCCATGTGAATTTTTTTCTGATATTATCGTGGCGATTAATGTGTTTATATTCATATGTATGTAGTATAAAACGGTTATTTCAATATTACAAACAGACACTCCAATTTTATTTATATGTATATGTTAATTAAAGCATATAAGTTAGCTGGTACAGCTAAATCTAATAATAATCCAGTAATTATTTTCAATAAATGTATTTCTGACGGTGTTTTTCCCAATTTAACATCAAGGGAAAAAACGTTAATCTCATTACCCAGGGGTTGATGCCCCCCGAGTCAATGCCGGGGCAAAGAGGTTCGTTCACTCTGAATTTCATCGACTACGTTTATTATAGAACTAGCTGTCTACCCGCGACTTCGTCCACGTGGAATATAACTTTATTTTTCTAAAATTAAAGTAGCCTAAGTTACTCCTTATTACATCAGCTACCTGCCAAAAAAAGTCCCGTGAAAATCGGTCCAGCCATTTCAGAGATTAGCCGGAACAAACAGACAGATAGACAAAAATTGTAAAAAATATTATTTTGGCGCATGTACCGTATTTATATTCATATGTATGTAGTATAAAACGGTTATTTCAATATTACAAACAGACACTCCAATTTTATTTATATGTATATAGATTAATATACTATAACTATGTCGTTTGGCTAAAGTTAGTAATTCGTTTTATCCGGCAATAAAATACCAGAGTCTGTTATAAATCTCAGAAAAAAGATTTAAATGCCTGAGTGTACATGTATTATATATATAAACCTTTCTCTAGAATCACTCTATCTATAAAAAAACCGCTTCAAAATCCGTTGCGTAATTTTAAAGATTTAAGCATATATACCGACGGACAGACAGCGACAGCGACTTTGTTTTATACTATATAATGATAACAATTACTGATGTGCACCTCGTTAAAAATATCCGCTGTTATAGATAATAAAAGCAATTTCTATTCTATTCTATTCTATTTTAATTTGTTTCTAAACCTATGAATACGCATGTATATTTTTACTTACTCTAGTCCCAGTGAATATGATTAAAAAAATAGCATTAAAAGGTTGGGAAATATAGACAATATAACGTAACGAAAGTACAACACAGCGCCATCTATAAGTTTAGTATCGTACCACGTCGGTAGTCTAGTAAATATCATCTCCCTGCTTTCGTAGTGTCAATTGTAGGTAATTCTTTACTTTGATTATGAGTTTTTTTTTATACCACTTAGGTGGCAAACAAGCATACGGCCCATCTGATGGTAAACGGTTACCGTAGCCTATGGACACCTGAAACACTAGGGGTGTCACATACGCGTTGCGACCCGAGTTGTGCAATTTGACACCTATATAAACAACGTGCGTCGCGATTGCAAACCGGACCTATAAAATAAAAATATTAATAAAATACACACACAAATATATACAGAAATAACCATACAAATATATATATGATTACTTACTAATATACATATATATTGTTTGTAGGGTGTATAATATATATATATATATAAGATTCTGTATGTTACTTACCTGTAAACCTACTTATTTGGTAATTAAATTGATCCCACCGCTTGTCCGTAGATAGCGACCTCTATGCAGTTCTCACTTCCCTCTCACCGCAGACGAACGCGTCCACTATCCTCGCGCTATATATGCGTAAGCGACACGGACAGGTGTAAACTTCAATCATTGTTTAATTCCTGAGTGTTTCATCACTCCACGCTTACCTGTAAGCTTACCAACCTACTTGGTGTATACTTCTTTATTAGTAATAAAGAAGTAAGCAGGAAGCGACTCGTCCCGGCTTCGCACGGAATTACAATTCTTTGATTTTTTCTACTTGTTCTTTTTATAACGCGTATATATTATACATATAAACCTTCCTCTTGAATCACTTTATTTATATCTGAAAACTGTATTAAAATTAATTTCAAATGGTAGCGAATAGACAGCGACGTTGATTTATTATATAAAATTATGTAAAGATACGAAAACTATACAAAAACATTAGTAACAATTTGTTAAATAAATTGTGTCATTAACAGCTTTAAAATAAGAACAAAATAATTTTGTGAAAATCTGTATCACATGTTATCCAAATGCAACACAAAACGGGATGACAATGTTGCGATAAAATTGTCATGTACGAGTACCACCAGTTTGTTTAATTATGACTCCGTCATACTCGTGAACGGGTGCTGCTCGGGGGCCACGGCCACTGATACGACTTGCTTTTGCAATAGCATATGCTGGTGATCACTCTGTTCTCCCAAATTTGAATTTAAATGAATCTGTATTATTGTAAACATTTATTTGTAAAGAATACGAGCTGAGTTTCTTGTCAGTTCTATTAAAAAGTGCTTATATTAAATTTATTTGAATAAAGTTTATTTCTATTTCTTCGAATGCTATGTCCATTGTCTCCGATAAGGAAAACTTTGAAATAATGACTGTAGATTAAGCTATCTGTCAGTAACACAGAGAATATAACGATGATCCTAATTACTGGTTTTTGAGAAATCGACCTAAAAATATTATTGAAGTCAATAATGAAGTCACGTGGTTTGGCACGTTTTAGTGATCCGTTTATGGTTCAAGATTGTTTATTTGTAAAACATACGGAACACAAATGTATGGGTGCCAGATATGGGCGTGAAGATCTCAGGGTTTTTATGGTGTGAGTTAAATGCTCGCTTTGGAAGCTGTTTTAGATAGAAATAATATTTATTCAAATAAACTCATTACAAGCACTTTTGAATAGTCATATTTTGTTTCTACCACTCATTCGGAATGCAGATTCATCACAAGAAGAATGAGCAAGAAACTTGATTGTTGTACTTTTGAATAGATGTTTTTTTTTATATAATAATTACAGTATAACAAGTAAGAGGCATGCGATAATCAACATAGAAATCGCTACGCACTCATTATTAGTATAATCAGATAATATTGTCAGTGCTACGGATTTTAAGTTTTTCTATAAAAACTTTATTCTCGTTAACGAATTCTTCAATTTTATAGTAAGCTTTTTTGCAAAGGAAGTATTTTATATGACATTTCAATTTTTTTTCAGGCAGATTTATAACAGACTCTGATATTTTGTTTTAAACCTTACGCAATTGCCATAAAACGAATTACTAACTTTAGGTAAAACATTTAGGTAAAATCAGTTTGTTATTGTTGCCTAAGCTTTTATTAGTGTAATCACTAACTCTTTCGAAATTGTCTATATTCTTCCTGGCATACATGATATTTTCATAAATGTATTGAGCAACGGTGAGGATATTTGATTGCTTAAAGCACTCTCGTAAAGACTCCCTGGAACCCATACTATAAAATGTTATTTGGTAAATACACAAAACTTTATGCCGACCAAGTTACGTGTGTCTTAAGTAACTGCAAGGAATATACTAGTTATTACTTAACCTATGGTACACTTGACATATTTATAAAATAGCGAGCGGCCGCACGGCCGCAAGTTCCGGATTGGTTGGCCTGTTCCTACAGTGGTGGCATTGTTTGTAGTGATTGCCACAATTTTTTTTTTTAAATAGGTGATATTGTCTATATGTATAGTAATCGTGCTCCGGCTTGAACTAGCGGTTCACGCGGTGGGGCACCAGTGGAGGATGATAAGACGTGTATGAGGTCAGATCAGTTAGCATATCTTAAGAAATTCAACATTGCTTTTATCATGATGTTTACCAGAAGTAACCGCGTGCAGCCTGGTCGTCATTACTTTTCTTTAGAGTTGATGTTGATCCCTTTAGGTAGGGTTCTGTAGGGTAAATTATTTGATAGACTTTGGTAAAGAGATGAGAGAAGAATTCTGGTCTTGCCTGCAATAACAGTTGTGGTGCATCAGTGGAAAATGATAGAAGGATAAAGTGAGGTTATTTACCTTATCCTGGCCCATTTATGTTGAACTACCTGTGCCCGCGGTTTACCCGCCTTAAATGTCAATATATAAGTTTTATTAAAAAGTATAACCTACAATATTCATCTTATCACGTAAACCGTTAGCGCAGGCGTGTGCACCATTCCATTATCATCCTCTAAAAAAAAAAAAACCTATGTATTAGGGGGGAAAGGGGATTGTTAGTAATGTGGACTTAATAACCCATTACTAGCAACGTACCATGTCAGGTTGACCTCCACGCGGTTCCCCCTGGAAATCATCGTGATAAATTCTTGGTGAATTTGTCACGATGGGCTAACTGACCTGACCTCATGTTCATCTTATCATCTTCCACTGGTGCCCCGCCAGCGTAAACCGTTAGCGCAGGCGGGTGCACCATTCCATTAACATCCTTAAAAAAAAACCTATGTATTATTCTAATGCATAAGCTATATCTACTACTGTAACGTTTCATCAAAATCCGTTCAGTAGTTAATCTCTGAAATGGCTGAAGCGATTTTGACGGGACTTTTTTTGGCAGGTAACTGATGTAATAATGAGTAACTTAGACCACTTTTTCATTAACATTAAATTCCACGCGGACGTAGTCGCGTGTACAGCTAGTACCAACTAAAAATCTAATAATATTATCCAAAGTTACAGTACGGTAACTATTTACCATCAGATGGGCCGTATAATAAAAAAATGGTACGTGTAAAGTAAAAAAAATATATAAGAAAAAAAAATCATAAACCTATAATGAGTAAAATAATCAGTCACACTGTCCAATGCAGATCAGTCTCAACGACCCGAACAAGTTTACGAGTATGACAAATGAGTCACCCGTCATTTCATTCAACCACACATAATCCGACCCATCACATCGCCGCATGTCTGAACATTTTAGCGAGCGACTTACTCAACACGCCAATTAAGATTATATCTATTCTATTTTTTTTTAATGACTAGCTGTTCCCGCGACTTCGACCGCGTGAATTTTAACTTTATTTTTCTAAAATAAAAGTAGCCTAAGTTACTCCTTATTACATCAGCTACCTGCCTAAAAATGTCTCGCCAAAATCGATCCAACCATTTTTGAGATTAGCCAGAACAAACAGACCGACAGATAGGCAGACAAAAAAATTTATATTCATATGCATGTAGTAAAAACGGTTATTTTAATATTACAAACAAACACTTCAATTTTATTTATATGTATAGATGTATAGATAATGGAGTAGTGCGCCCTTCTGCGCCAACGGTTTACGCTGGCGGGGCACCAATGGAGGATGATAAGATGAGCATGAGGTCAGGTCAGTTAGCCCATCGTGACAAATTCGCCAGTAATTTATCACGATGGTTACCAGGGGGAACCGCGTGGAGGTCAACCTGACATGGTACATTGCTAGCAATGACATCATCAGTCCACATTACTAACAATCCCCCTATTTCAATTCTATTGTCAGCGGGCATCGTTATAGGAAGTCGCGAGTGGGCATCGAAGTTAGATTCCAAACCTATTTAGCGGAGCTTTATATGCGGCTCGGTCGGTTGGCACGACTTCAAGTCTCGTTGATCGATAAACTAAAAAAAAAGTCAAGAGTTCCACAACAATCGCTCGTCCACCCGCGGCACGCTGCCGAGAGGAACGCTCCTCAAGTGGGTCGGTGGCCGCCGGCTCGCTCGCCACCTCGTGCGGGAACACTTGCGAATCGGAAAGTTCACGAGCGTACTCGGCAGATTATAAATATATAGGGCGCGTGGACCCCTCGAGGCGTTGGCCGCCCGCCAGCCGCCCGCCCGTCATTCCTGCGCCGACGCTCGCCGCCGCCGCTCGCCGCCCCACCAGTGCCCCACCAGTGCCCCGCCAGTGCCCCGCCAGTGCCCGCAGGACTCCGGCCCGCCCTCACCACGTGTATTTATAGCGCCGCTATTTCACAAGTTGCGCCCGCGTTCTCCGTCGACCTCGTTCCGCGCTCCCATACATTCACCATCTGCTCATATTTTGTATACAGCCCGCGTTATTGACCCGGTTGGTCGACGGCCATAGTGAGGAACACCAGGTGACCGTGTTGTTAGTAGTGAGTGTAAGGTGAGCCGGTACACAGGTGCGTGACGGCGTGTGTGTGCGCAGATAGCGAGATGGCGGAGGCTGTGGAGGCGCCCCGGTCGGAGGAGCTGGCCAGGGCGGGCGGCAGTGCGGCGGACGCGCTGCAGCTGGAGGCCGAAGAGCGCCGTCTGGAGGAGCAGCGCAAGCGCAGCCGCGACCCGCCCATCGTCTACAAGGACATCGACGTGAGTACCACACATTCCTGCACTACACTGCCACTGCACTGCACTATCGTGATGCCAGTCTTCACTCTAAATTTTTTTGATGGCAATCAAATACATCTGATGGTAAACGGTTACCGTAGCCCATGGACGCTTGAAACACCAGTGGTGTCACATGCGCGTTGCCGATCCTTAAGAAACCTTAATATACCCTGCTTGAAAAACCCCATGCTGTAGTCTCGTGAGAAAATCGCTGTAGATAATATATATATTTGCAATTATTAATATTCACATTGATAATTGAACTCCTAATGAACGTATCACATGGCGCCGTTTAATCTAGTTCGCATAGATTTTACTGTATGTACTAAAATATAGGATAATAATAACCCTGAACAATTAACACAGCGACATCTAGTCCCACTGTAAGCAGAGCTTGCATTATGGGTACTAGGTAGACAACTGATATACATACATAATATACATAGAAAACACCCAGACCGATACACACAATCATACTCGTGAATACAAATGTTTGCACCGTGCGTGGACTCGAACCCGCCACCATCGGAAGTAATGATGTGCTAGACTGCAAAACCACCGAGGTCGTCAACATATAAATATATTCTTTTGTAAATACACTCATAACATTGAAATACTCAGACCAATACAAACAGTCACACTCATGGATACAAATGTTTGTATTAAACTATAATTTAACTCACAACCATAGGAAACTGTGAGTTAAATACTACATCCTCGGCATCTAAAGTACAGATTTCATGTTTATGACGAATTTAAAAAAAATTGCTCAATTGTTTCAGTTTAAAAGGTTATTCTCGTCTGGGAACAACCCACGATACCAACAACTCTAGTTATATATCACCAAAATCTTGTACTCGTATTTTTTGATATATGTTATTGATATATTGAAGTATTTTTAAAAAATATAAAGTACTAGCTGCTATGCGTAATGTCTGCATGACACTTACTTGACATTTATCATTATATTTCGCCCAATTTACATAATATATTTTTAATTGTAGCCTATATGTTATTCTGATTTATAAGCTATATTACTGCAAAGTTTTATCAAAATCCGTTCAGTAATGTTTGCGTGAAAGAGTAACAAACATCCATCCATACTGCTAAAGCTTGTATTACGAGCACTAGATAACTGATATAAATACATAGATGACACCCAGACCGATATAAACAATCATACTCATGAATTCAAATGTTTGTGCCGTGCGAAGAATCGAACCTGCGACCATCGGAAGAAAAGCACTGTTCTTTACCGCTAGACTACCGAGGCCGTAATAAGTTATAGAAATCACAATTCTGCCAAAATTTTGTTTACAAACACAACTCTCAATGTGTCATGAGATCAAGTTATGAGTTATGTTATGACTCATAACATAACTCATAACTTCTCTTATTTCTATTCTATTTAAAGAGTCGCGCTCTTGTCCATGGAACTCTAGTGACTTCCCAGGTTTTTCCAGCATTCCATTCCAGCTTGATTGCTGGATCGATGAGGGGTTTTTGCTAAATAATATAATAATCTCAGGACAATTCACACATCGCCGTCTAGACCCAAGTTAAGCTAGCTAAAGCTTGTGTTATGGGTACTAGATAACTGATACATACACATAGATATTTTTTTTGTAAATAGGTACATACATATTATACATAGAAAACACCCACACCGATACAAACAATCATACTTATGAATACAAATGTTTGTGCCGTGCGAGGAATCGAACCCGCGACCATCGGTCGTAAAGCGGTGTGCTAGACCGCTAGACCTCCGAGGTCGTCATAAAAATGTACCGTCCCATTATGTTTTGCCTCATAAGGCATTAATCAAACTAAATTAAATTAAACTAAATTTTGATTTAATAACAAATATTACAAAGCAATACTGTTAAACTATGATATTTATTTTAGCATGATCGCTCATACACGTCATATTTTGTTTATGTTTCGGTCGATGTGAGTGTGAGTTCACAGTGAGTCACATTTGTGGTTGTTGTATCGGAAAAATATGAATTTGTTTTTTGTTTAATATTCTACAATACGTGTTATGAACAACTTTATTTAAAAGAGCAACACACAAGTTTCTTGCTCGTTCTTGTGATGAGACAGATTGTATAATTTCTATATAAATGTAACTGGCAGCCTACAAACATGTGCGTTGCCATGTTCGTAAAACATAATAAAAAAGAAAGTTAAAAAAGAATAAAATTAACCGAGACATTAACGCAACATTGCATTTTTATTTCATAAATATCTATCAAACATACCTCAAATCCTCGATCAGGTTTCCGAGTGAACGGTAGATTAAAAAAAAATGTTACGACTATTCAAAAGTGCTCAAATAAACTTAATTTATTTGAAGAAAGATTTTCTATTCTATTCTTTTATAACAAAATTAACAAATAAGATTTTAACACCATACAAGATTGTTTTGTAAATAAACTTTAAAAACTTTATAAATATGCATGTTTGTGAGTATGGATGGATGCTTGTTACTCTTTCACGCATAAACTACTGAACGGATATTTAAGAAACTTTACAGTAACATAGCTTATACATCAGAATAACAAATACGCTATATATTATACGCGGGTAAAACTCGGGCACAACTGGTATAGAATATAGTACGTTTACTGTTTTATTAAAATGACTGTAAACATGTATAAATAAATATAAAACACAATTCACTTTCAATTAACACGTGTCTCGCAAGCGTTCGACCGATTTAACTCGATGAAGCGAATATACCACGCGGTTTTATGTTCCTTGCAAAGTGTGGCCGCCGAGTGCGTTTAATGAAAGTATTTTTAAATAAGTACAACGTCTCAAATAACATGCGCTTCGATCACTAAACTACATAACATTCATTCATAATTTAAGAGCTACGCTCTTGTCGGTGGAGCTCTTGCTACTTTCTGCGATCTTCCATCATGCTCTTTAATTCTTGATACGACACGACTCCCATCTTCTCTTTAATTTGTTTGACGTAGCTGTGCCTTGGTCTTTCCCTTCCTCTTTCCTTCTATATTCCCCTCAATAATAATTTTCATGACATCATCGTGCCGTATTAAGAGTCCCAATATTTTTCGTTGTCTATTTTCTATTCTGTTCAATATTTGCCTTTTTTTAAAACTACATATAGGACCAACAAATTTTGTTTCGATGATAAGGGGCCGTTCTAGTTTTACGTAAGCACTGTGGGGGGCTAGGGGTCTTTACTTTGTTTATTTTGGATGACATAGAGGGTGGGGGAGTCTAGATGATGATTACGTCATCGCTAGTTATTTACTTTTTTACACGAATGGCAACCCTCACAAGACAATCTTTGCTAAAAAACAATACATTAATTGAAAAATGTTTACGTAAGAATGGGGGGGGGGGGGCTAAGAGCTTTGCTTACTTTTGCTGACAAGGAGGGGGGGGTAAATAATTGTAATATATCTGCTTACGTAATACTTGAACGGCCTCCGATGGAATGGTGCATCCGCCTGCGCTAACGGTTTACGCTGGCGGAGCACCAGTGGAGGATAAGATGAACATGAGATCAGGTCAGTTAGCCCATCGTGGTAAATTCACCACGAATTTATCACGATGGTTTCCAGGAAGAAACCATCGTGGAGGTCAACCTTACATGTTACATTGCTAACAATTGAGTTATAACCTAACGTGTGTATGTATATATGTATATGTGTATATGTGTGTGCATACATATATATATGTAAAATGTACCTATGTCAAATGTGTAAATGTATATTTATATAAATGGTTTTCTTTCTATAATTTTTTTTCTTTCTTTCAATTAGTTGGCCCTATTCTTGAGGGAGGAGCCCTGAAGAATCACCATCAGCATTGCCTTGCCTTTATCCCATTATTCGTGGTCGGCGCAGTATATCCTTCTCCACTGCTCTCTATTGGCCGTCATATCTGAACATACTCTTCTTTTATTCATATCATCTTTCACACAATCCATCCATCTTTTCTTAGGGCGTCCCCTCCCTTTACATCCATCCACGTTCATATTATACACTCAAGAATTCTAAGTTTGTACTATTCTAGTTACTAGTTATTACAGTGGTCGATGTTCGTGATAATTTCAGCTATGACTCGACCATATTATTTATTATTGTTGATAGTTAGCCAATTATTTATATGTTTAACGTTTCACATTAGAATCGTACATTAGCTGTGAAAACTGCAACATTCATATTATATTTCTCTCCTTGTATATCATCAACAGCTATTGTATTTCATGGATGCATGGAACTCACTCAGCACAGTTTCTAACAATATAATAGAACTAACTGTTCCCGCGACTTCGTCCGCGTTAAATTTGACTTTATTTTTTTAAGATCTAAAATTTTTTTAAATAAAAGTAATCTAAGTTACTCCGTATTACATTAGCTACCGGCTAAAGAAAGTCCTGTCAAAATCGGTCCAGCCAGTTCAGAGATAAGCCGGAACAAACAGACAGACAAAAATTGTAAAAAATGTTATTTTGGTGTATGTACCGTATATATATTTATATGCATGTAGTAAATAACGATTATTTCAATATTACAATTGATAAGATAATTATAAAAACCATAGAATAGCATGTGGTCATCTCACTAGAGTAGCCAGTTTTTTAGCGTATAAGGGGCAAATGCTTAAGTAGGAAAAAAAATAAGGGAATTTAGTTTTTTACCCGGGACAAATAAAAAACAAAATTATATAGCGACATTCTCTATTTTTTATATATTTTTCTGAGGAGCAAGTCAGCTTTAACATTATTTTTATTGGTTTTAACATATTTATTAAAATCAATACAATTATAATCGTAATAAAAGACGGTCATCAATTCGCTTTTTATTAAATTAGTGGTCGAACGTTGCGTGCGTGAGTATTTTTGTCTAGCGTAGATCGATCGATTTAATAATGAAAAAAAGCACGGATAGAATACGGGACATTTAAAACTAAGCCTAAACTACGGGACGTCCCGGGAAGTACGGGACGTCTGGCAAAGGTACATCTCACGTTTACGTGTACATAAACGTGTAGGACGTTTCTGGTGCATGAGTAAGCGTGCACTGGAAGTGGCTGGACGTTAGCTGCGTCGGCGGCGGACACGCTGCCACGCAGCTCGGTCACACGCTCTATTTTCGGCTCTTACATCCCGTCATATAACCATAACACACTCAATGTCAAAGACAAACGGAGATTTAGCTCATTTATGATCATGCTAGTGACTGCTTGCAAACATGGTTTTGAGGAGTTGATTGGTCTGTAAATGTAGTTTAAAAATGGGATCCTACAGTATTAAAAGTTTTAAACATATAACTATTACTGTTTTACTACCCATGATTACATTTATACGTATAATTAGTAAAAATCACGGGATCTTACCACGTTTTATATTTATTTGTTGAGTTCCCGATATTTCGGCAGTGTTTCAACCACCATGATCACGGGTAAATCTGGAACTCAGCAAATAAATATAAAACGTGGTAAGATCCCGTGATTTTTACTAATTATACGTATAAATAATGACCGCTACAAGTTTAAAACAGATTACATTTTTGTTGATAAAAATTGTTAACTCGTTATGTTAGACCGAAAGTGTAAGAAACTTCCTTTCGGGGAACATCTAACTGCCTGGAAAAGCAACGCCACCATTCGGGTCCAATTGTGTTCTCAAACCCCATTGGAATATACACACAAAACTTCAACCAATTCATTTAGGACAATTTACGTGATAAACACACGTACAGGAAAATACATATATTATGATATTGTACATTTAACTATATGTAATTACAGTTGTAAAGTTTTAATTTAATATATTTACATTTGTGTTTGCAAAGTGAGGTTAGGTCGTTCACTCACTTTTCATCTCATCTTCGTCGCCGAGTGTTATACTTCTGAGACAAATCAAAACACTAATTAATTAAAAGAAATTTTAATTTCTGGAGCTACTAAAACATGCAATTACATTGAACGAGATCGGGTGGAAAAGTGAGTGAACGATGTAATCACTCACTCGTTCACAAGTGTTTATTCGTAATGTATACCACTGTTACAGGGCACAGTGGAGTTTGAGAAGCTGTCCAAAGCACTGGAAGGCGTGGAGCTGTCGCCGGAAGAGCTGCAGAGTCTGGACGAGCTGCAGCAGTACCTGGTGCAGGGCGAGGGCAGCTGGGTGCTCGGGGATGAATTCCTAGCGTTCATCGGTAACACATTACGCTATTTTTTTAACAGATTTCAATAACGTCAATGAATAAGTTTAATTTAACCATTATTAAGTAATGGATTCTCAAAATGTTAACCATATAAACCTATGTGGGTGATATGTTTTTTTTTATACCACGTAGGTGGCCAACAAGTATACGGCCCATCTGATGGTAAACGGTTTGGATTGTTTGGGCTATTGTCAGATGTGTAACACCTGTAGTACTGCGACCTACATAGATCTAATGGTAAACGGTTACCTTAGCCTATGGACGGACGCCAGAGATATTAGGGTTATCACGTGCGAGTTGCCGACCCTTAGAAATCTTAATATATCTTTCTTGAATAACCCCATGCTGTAGTCTCGTGAGAAAACCTCGGCAGGTAGTTCATTCCACAATCTAAGTGTACGCGGGAGGAAGCTCCTCTGAAACTGCACTGTCCGAGACCACTTAGGTTCCAGCGTGTGGGAATGAATTCCCTGTCGATGGCGAGCGGTGCGGTGGTTCATATACATTGTAATACTTTAATTATTTAATAGTGTACTTATTTAATATTAAACTTTATAATTTACTAATAAAAATACGGTGTAAATGAACGCGTAGTGTTGGTTTCTTATTTTTGTTTTAAAGATTCTTTAAAATTTCACGTCGTTTGGTCCATCACGATTTCTAAGTGTTTTTTTTGTTAACATATGTATCTTACAGCAATAGACTACATACAGTCATAATGCTTGATGTTATATTTTTTTAGTCCGACTATACATGAGAATTTCTCTGAGGTTAAAAAATACAGTTCTATCTTTTATCCGAGTTGAAGTTTTATTATCTGCAGTGGAGTGTGGTATGGAGTGATGAATCTCGGGTTCTGTGCAGGCCGCGTCCTCAACGACGGCAACATCAGCGGCGAAGCACGGGAGGCGGCCCTGAGAAGCTTAGCTGCTGCCGCGCTGCGGGACGACGTGTCGCTGCTGCTGCACCAGGACCGCCGCCACCACGCGCTGCTCAACTACGCGCACGGCATCGACGCCCGCCCCCTGCCCGAGCAGAGAGCCACCGCGCTGCTGGTGAGTGACGACGTGGAGCTGCTGCTGCACCAGGACCGCCGCCACCACGCGCTGCTCAACTACGCGCACGGCATCGACGTCCGCCCCCTGCCCGAGCAGAGAGCCACCGCGCTGCTGGTGAGTGACGACGTGGAGCTGCTGCTGCACCAGGACCCTCCACGCCCGCCCCCTGCCCGAGCAGAGAGCCACCGCGCTGCTGGTGAGTGACGACGTGGAGCTGCTGCTGCACCAGGACCCTCCACGCCCGCCCCCTGCCCGAGCAGAGAGCCACCGCGCTGCTGGTGAGTGACGACGTGGAGCTGCTGCTGCACCAGGACCCTCCACGCCCGCCCCTGCCCGAGCAGAGAGCCACCGCGCTGCTGGTGAGTGACGACGTGGAGCTGCTGCTGCACCAGGACCCTCCACGCCCGCCCCCTGCCCTGCACCGCGCTGGTGAGTCAACTATTTCACCTGACGACGTGGAGCTGCTGCTGCACCAGGACCCTCCACGCCCGCCCCCTGCCCGAGCAGAGAGCCACCGCGCTGCTGGTGAGTGACGACGTGGAGCTGCTGCTGCACCAGGACCCTCCACGCCCGCCCCTTGCTGCTCAACTATTTCACCTATACTTATTACCAAGCGGTTTGTCTTCCAGTTATGTTCTGGTTGGACTGGCAAACTTATCAGTGAAATCACGGTGTGAAGCCGTAACACCTTAATTCTATGGAATAGCAACAACATCTTACATGGTACAAATTTATACCGTTATGACCGTCACGGTGCTGGTCTGGACTGTTTTCCATAAGACGTGGGTAACAAATCGTTTGCTGTTCCAACTAAATTAAATATAATTAAACGTATAGTTGCAAAAGACTGTGCTACTAAACTAGGTCAGCTATTTGTCTATCATCTCAGAAATCCAGCTGTACAATCAAACGGGATAGTGTTTATTTATTTTTTTAGTTTTACAACTGTATCACTAGATGGCGTTAGTAAGTCTTATACACTTTTTATAGATCTCAATGTTTTGTTATCCGCAAAAATCGGATTAAACGTTTTGTTATTTATGATATGTATACAGCAGGGTTTCCCAAACTTATTCATAATATGACGCCCTTGGGACTTTGCTATTTTTTGCGACTCCCCTCAACCCTGCTCACAAAAATACTTACCAATTTTAGTACTAGTTTAGTTTTCGAGGTTAACAGAAAAATATTGTTCAAATAATGATTGTTGTAACTGGCTAATGAAGAAATGTTTTATATTCTAAATTTGTATTTGAATTTATAGTTCTTTTATATTACATTCTTGTTTTTTTGTTACTTCAATTCCTTCTATTCCTAATTGTCAGTAGTCTATATTAATATATTTTCTCCGATTACCTAGTCTTTTTTCTTATTACTACAACAGTGATTTTCTGTTAACGCGCCCGGCGCTGTCTCGACTCGGTCACAATGTCGCATCGACACGTACCCCTATGAACAACGACACGACGCCCTGGGGCATCGCGACGCACAGTTTGGGAACCCCTGGTATAGAGAACAACCATGATTTCTGTATCATAGTTTAATTTATTAACTACCCTCCTTGGGTATCCATGAATAGAATAGAATAGAAAATAATTTATTCAAATAAACTTACATTGAAGCACTTTTGAATAGTCATCACATTTTTTTTAATCTACCGCTCATTCGGAAAGCTGTTTCATCACAAGAAGAACGAGCATGAAACTTGCGTATTGCTCTTTTAAATAATTTTATTGTTACTTTACAATTTAAGTTACAAACTACCAATTAGCACTAATTCATGGATAAGCTTATTCACCCGTCTAAATATCGTGTAACGTGTGTGCAGATGTGCAACCTGTTCGAGAACATCTCGTCGTCGGAGTGGCTGCTGTACATCAGCGAGTGGGACTACAACGGACAGCCGCTGTCCAACATACGGGCCACCACTAAGGTACCTATTATAATCTAAATATTTATAAGAAAATAATTTAAAAACTACCTCACAATAATTGCAATACAATTTCAACTAACTCGAGTAATAAGTAATTCAATCGAGAATGTAAAACTTATGTTTTACATTCTCGATATTAAGATATTATATCTTATATATAAAATTCTAGTGCCTCAATGTTGTTTTTTATATACGGAATCAGCTTGACGGGTTTTTATGAAATTTTCCATATTTAGTAGGTCCGAGAATCGGCTACTATCTATTTTCCATAAGCGATAAAGGTGGACAAACCCTAACATTTTTATATTATTTTTTGTACAATATTTTTATAATGTGGCATCAAAAGAAATAGAAATAATCTTTATTCAAATAAACTTAACATAAGCATTTTTGAATAGTTAAGTTTTTTTATTCTACTGCTCGAAAATATATATAAATAATATATAAAAAATACATGCAACTCAAAATTTTCACCCTTATACCATTAACCCCTATTTTTTAATAGCGATGTCAATTTATATAACAAAACAACGTTTGTGGGGTCAGCTAGTATAAATATAAAACAAATATAATGTGTAAGAAAAAAAGTACATGTAGTAATTGTACATGTATATAGACGACTAAGAATATAATATATAATATAATATATATGTAATATAATATATAATGACGTACAAACTGACGTGCGGTCGGTGCGTGTTCAGGTGTGCGTGCACAGCTGCCTCAGCGAGGACGGAGACCTCCGCGAGATGGGCACCGCACTGATGCACAACATCGCCACCAAGGAGGTAAAGACCGTGGTCTGTATCCTCTCACTACCTACTCTATAGCACTCTTAACACCATGGAAACTGTCAAACAGGGAATGTAGCGTATAATACAGATGATGCAGCAAAACCTTGTTCAAACGAGTGATTTTTTTATTTTAATTCGTACGTAAATTTGCACCCAGTGTGGTCATGCTAATTTTGACAAACGATTGTTAATATTTATCAAAATATTGATAATTCTTTGTCAAATTATATATGAACGTAAATGTATCGCCAGAAAAACATTCCTAAAGAAAAAAATTTAGATAACGTAAAACTCCAAATAATTAAATAATATATTGTAACGTGTTTGTATGGTCAGTTCTTTACTAGGTTTATTATCTTTGTATATAAAAATTTCTGTCACGTTGTTTGTCCGCGATGGACTCCTAAACTTCTGAACCGACTGCAAATTTGATTTGCACATTGTGTGCAATTTAGTTCAACTTGAGAGATAGGTTAGCTTACATCTCAATTTATAGTCGCAATATTATTTTATTGCAAATTATTATAGTAGATATATATAAAAAAAAGTAATTCAATTGAGTTTCTTGCCAGTTCTTCTCAATTGGATCTATATACCTAACTGGACGGTAGGGAAAAAAATAAAATTATAATGTAAAAATTTGACGTTCATAAGCGGCTAAAATGTCCTACATGAATAAATTATTTTTGAATTTGAATATATATACTATAGTTATTTAAAAAGTATTATTACATTACTTTCATACAAACGTATATACATTGTTTTCCTTATTGACATTATCCATGGTCTTGCAAGATTATTTTTGTACGAAATCTCATGCACGGTTACTCTCTCTCACCTTGTCCTGCAGCAAAGCATTTTACTCTACAAATTATCTAGTTTCAAAGATAAAACATGGCACATGGCAGTTAATTTACAAAGTATGAGCACAAGAGTTTAAACTTCAGCAATAGTAACGTATGGGGCTACCACGGGCGTCAAGGTTACGACTCCTTTTCACTGAGGTTTTTTTAATTTTATAATTGGGGATTTGGGCTATTGTCAGGTGCTTGGACCTGTGGCACTGCGACTTGCATAGATCTATTGTGCTCGCCCTTTTTCTGAGTTCTCTACCTACATCCGTCAGGGACAAGAATTGAAGGATATTCTTAGGAGCGATGGTTTTTATCACCTCAGGATAGAGTGTAAACTTTCCAAAGGAGATATTTCGTTTATGCATGAGTGGGCTACAACCACATAGGATGTGTAGTGGCGTTTCCTCTTCCGTTTGACAAAATCTGCAGATTTTTGTCGTGCACAGTCCTAGGTTTGCCAAATGTTTGCTCAGTATCCTGTGAGGACACTAGTTGATGCATAAGTTGTTTTTACTCAATAGCAATAATCTATTGGAGTATTTAGAATAGAATAGAATAGAATAGAAAATCATTTATTCAAATAAACTTACATTGAAGCACTTTTGAATAGTCATAACATTTTTTTAATCTACAAATCAGTCGATACCTCTCTGATCTCATCTAATTCAAAGAAGAACAAGCAAGAAACTTGTGTGTTGCTCTTTTAAATAATTTATTCTTACTTACAATTTAAGTTTAAGTGTGTGAATACAAACATTTGTTCGAGTAGCCTGATATTAGTGCTTTTAAATGCACCAATCCTGGCATTTTCTGCCAGTGATTCAGTGCTTACTCAGGTAGGTTCCAGTAGTATAAAAAGAACTGCTACAAATCTGACGATACCTCACCGATCAATCTTTTGTTCAATTCAAACGGGGATCGAAATTACAACGGTTTGAGCTGAGATTCGAACTCCTATCAGTGCCCTCAGATTAAAGTCGTATCCGTCAGGCTAGAATTGGCCTTCAGCCGCTCCATAAGTCCTTCCTTTGGTTTGGAGTGCCATCTGCACTCGCCCCCTATCGCTTCGGACAAGTCGTATCTGTGGGGTTCGAATTGGCCTTCAGCGGCTCCATAAGTCCTTCCTTTGGCTTGGAGTGTCATCTACACTCGCTCTTTATCGTCCGGTGAATCTGTAAAGGCCAGCTGCGGCCGACAGCATTAGAGTAGTCTGAAAAATTATGACGATCACTCACAACTGTAACCTCCTCTCACATTCTTCCTCCTTCGCTTTGTCATTGCATCGTAACTATTTTCCCCTATCGAGTTCTTACCACGGTTTTCTTTTTATATCGAACACTTCGTAGAATCGTGACATTCAACAAGAATAAATAACCGGTGACGCCATCACTGTTTGTCGAGGTGACTTTGGAGCGAGTTTTAGTACTGTTGTTTATGGCCAAAATAAATTACGTATATACTTAGGTAAACATATTATAGTAATATATTTTATGTACAGTAAACAATGGACACAGTAAATATATATATACCACGTTTTTGTTCACTACTGTTACATAATATGTGATTTCATTACATAGTATAAAACAAAGTCAATGTCGCTGAGTGTCCGTTCCTATGTATGCATAAATCTTCAAAACCACGCAACGGATTTTGAAGCTGTTTTTTTAATAGATAGAGTGATTCAAGAGGAAGGTTTATATATATAATACATGTACACCCGTGCGAAGCCAGGGCGAGTAGCTAGTATTATATAAAATCATAATTATGTTTTATATATATTGTATTGATATAGTTTATTATTATTTTATAAACATATTTTTATTTCACGACATGATTACACATTATATACATGGGGCCGTCAATTAATCACGTGATCTTTTTTAAACATTTTTAACCCCCCCTAGTGATACGCGGTGAGATTTAAAACAAACCCTCCATCCCCCCGTTCCCCACTTAACGTCACGTGTATTTTTAGTACCTACAGAGAATCTTAAAATTTTTAGAATATTGTTGAAGTACAAGTATGAAATATAATCTTATTTTATTCTAAATTAAGGACCACGAAAAAAATGTCTAGACAGAAAGGTTGCAGATTGTTTTTGATTGGCATAAAATAAATACACGTGATGTCTTATTAGATCCATCCTTGTGATATTTCGTGATTTTTGTCAAACATCTCCCCCCATTTCAAGCCTCGCGTGATTAATAGATGGCCTCTATTTACTTGTATATTTAATAATTTTACATTTTTAAATAGTTAATTTCTATATAATTTGATACTGTATTTATTTTTGATTCTGTTGATCGTTTTAAAATACATGTACCATTAGAGTAGACAATATTATAATTTAATACATTACGTTCAAAATAAGATTTATCATTCACTATTTTACCCCAATCAAGTCGATGTAAAACTTATAGGACTGGTTTCGAATGCGCACCAAGTCCTCATAAATTAATGATATAACCCCCCATGTACGGAGGGGTGGGGGTGTGAGTGTAGCGTGTCGTGAGATAGGAATATGTGTGTGAGCGAGTGCGCTGCAGCGCGGACACGCGTGTGTTGCAGCGCTTCAGCGTCGGACGAGCACTCCGCGACCTGCTGCCCACACACGCCAAGTCCAAGGTACCACCACCACCACCATCACGCCACCACGGCCACCACCGTCGCCACACCGCGGCGACTCCACTCCCGGTCACATTACATCTTTAATTTTGCTTTCTAACTCGTGTGATGATGGTCAGTCATGCTAGTGAACTAGTACTGCTTGTAGGTGTCGGTTGACTTTGATCACTGTGATTGATTTATGTTGTTACTGACTGTAGTTAGCGTCCTCATAATGATGAAATTAACACGATAATGTGCTGAAATGATGATAAAATAATTGCTATATCATAAAATACATAATTTCGTACGCACTTTAAGTTACTTTATTTAATATGCCGGAACCAAGTTGTTATTTTCTCTATATACATATAGTTGCCTAAGTTACTCCTTATTACTTCAGCTACCTGCCAATAAAAGTGCCGTCAAAATCGGTCCAGCCATTTCAGAGATTAGTCGGAACAAACAGACAGACAAAAATGATAAAAAATGTTATTTTGGTGTATGTACCGTATTTATATTGATATGCATGTAGTAAGAAACGGTTATTTGAATATTACAAACAGACAAACCAATTTTATTTATATGTATAGATTAACTTTAGGAATGGTTTAAATCTCAATCATATAGACCACGCTTCGTCCCAGTTTTAACAGATTTTTTAATAAGATTGAAATAGTTTTTTCGTAAATACATAATATTCATAGAGAACACCCAGACCAATATAAAGATACAAATGTTTGTACTGGGCGAGGAATCGAAACCGCTACCTTAGTGAGGTGCTACCTAGACCATCATAATATAAATGATCTGCTTCTTCCTTATCCCATTTATTTATGGTCGCCGTAATATGTTTCTCTCTTCCATTCATCTCTGTTCGCAGTCATCGCGTTATTTACTCTCTTTCTCACCATATCATCTTTCACACAGTCCATCAATCTCTTTTTCGGCCTTCCTCTGCCCTTATAACCATCATAATATAAAATTCTACTATTATTCCATATACGCGGAATAATAGTAGAATTTTATATTATGATGGTTATAAGGGCAGAGTCTCACAATAGTGACACAGTATTGTGACAATGACAGTATCGACACTACATCAGATTCATGCAAACTGCTATCTGTTACTCATTAAATAACGAGAAAAGCTTACCGGCGACTCTACATGTATGTATGCTTACGGCTTATAGCCACAGTATCGGGTTTTTTTTTATGAGTGCATGCCACTTATTTCCGCCGCCCCATCTATATATTGCATCTGACTATTTTTTTTTTATTTATTCATTTATTTCAGGCAACTAGGCCCATATTATAAATACCTTATAGACTAACATACATATAATATAATAAAAACCAATACAACTATATTGTCTGTGTGATCACGGCACTGAAGACGGCAATCTGCCACGGTAGCGCCGATACAAAACACCTTTCGTATTATATAGTCCTCTTTCATGAAGGTGGGCAGCAAGTCGGTAGGGACCAGGGCCACAAACGCTTTGAAACTCGCGTTGTGACTCGACTTCAGCTGCGTCACCCTTATTCTTTATTTAAATTATTAACCGCTTAATAATTTAAATAATGTATATTAAACACGAAAGTTTAAAATTAATTATATTCTCTAATTGAATTCCTTGACTTTTATCCTGTGAAATCGAGAGGCCGTCCTCTCTCTGAAATCTGCTGCCCCTAGGACGCTGCCGCCTATAGGTCGCGGCCTATATGGCCTATTGATAAATCCAGGACCGCGCAGCCATGTATGTATTTGTGGTGTACCAACAGGGTATCAGCCTATTACCGTATTTACCGTATCTATATATAGTGGACCCCCGGTAGTCCGACAATCATTTTGCAGGGCAGTGTCGGACTATCGAATTTGTCGGATTATAGAGTACTGCCTAAGACCCCTTATAGTCCGAATTTTTTTACAAAAGAGTACCTTGTAATCCGACAAATTACAGATCCAGTGATAAGATTCTATGTTATATATGTATGTATGTATATGCACTCTGAAGTATATTGTCAAAGTAATATTCAATAACGTCGGATTACAAGGGGGGCCGGATTACCGCGGGTCCACTGTACATCAAAATAAATAGAATTAATCGTATGGGAATCGGTATTAAATTTTAAAATCGGTATCATTTACTGAACAAAGCCTATTACTCACTAAACGATTACTTGAATGACGAGCGTGCATGGCAATAGTTGTTCATGCACTTGATTTTCATTTAATGTTAGACATAGACACCTATATAAATATATATTGTAAATAAACTGGCTTAAAAAATATATACTGGACGGTAGGAAAAAAAAACATAATGTAAAAACTTGGCGTTCATAAGCAGCTAAAATGTCCTACATGAATAAATGATTTTTGCATTTGAATATATTCAATTGAGTTTCTTGCCAGTTCCTCTCAATTGGATCCATATACTGAATTGGACGGTAGGGAAAAAATATAATATTATAAAATTTACGTTCATAAGCGGTTAAAATGTCCTAAATGAATAAATGAGTTTTGTATTTCAATTGAATGTGTTACAACAACGTACAAATTATAGAGATTACGAGTACTTGCCCTTGGTTCTGTGTTTGTTTTTGTGCATAAATAAGTATTTAATGCACTCCGTTAGGCTTAGTAGATATTATTGTATGAGATGCACAATAATTGTATTGTTTGATAACCGATGCCGATTCCGTTGATTATATATACATATACTAAATATATATTGAGATGGATCTGTGTGGGGTAACCCGGACTGACAGAATAAGGAATGTATATGTTAATAATATTATAAACGCGAAAGTTTGTAAGTACGGATGTTTGTTACTCTTTCACGTAACTACTGATCGGACGGATCTTCAAATTAATAAATTGACATTTTTGCCGCTTATGAACGTCAAATATTTTTCTCTACCGTCCAGTTCAGTATATAGATCCAATTGAGAAGAACTGCCAAGAAACTCAATTGAATTACTTTTTTTTTAAGCCGGCACGCACGGCAAAAACTGCCGAACTCAGTTGATGAAACTTTACAATAATGTAGCTTATACAGCAGAATGACATATAGGCTATATTCTTTATTGAAATTTAACCCGGGTGAGGCCGCGAGCACAGCTAGTACAGTATAGTTTGAAAGTTGCGCCAGTTATAGAAAAGTTGCGAAGTATGATATGTATAAAACGAGAGTGAGGTATGAGGGCCGATGATCAGTGGATGAAGAGAACATATTAACACATGTATAATAGGATAAAGGCAAGGCTTTGAATGATGCCTACATATATATATTATATATCTACAATATATATGCCTGCTACTGGATTTAATGTCGCAATGTTTGATAATTAAATGAGAAGCTCGTACGATGAGCAGGAACGTGGAGAAGTAAATTCCTAGACGGACGAAGGTTGCGGTAGGAGATGTCCCCATATTAACACATGTATAATAGGATAAAGGCAAGGCTTTGAGTGATGCCTACATATATGATTATATATCTACTAGCTGTGCCCGCTACTTCGTCTGCGTAGAATATTAATAGTAACCTTGACCACATAAAAAAAAAACAAACAAAAAAAAAATTTCATATTTCTAACCTAAAAAATAATTACAATACAAACTTTCATTCCCTATTTTATTTTTATTAAAGGAAAAACTTATGCAACTTTAAATGGCATATTTATTTATAAATGAAATGAATGTTTATTTACAAAATACTGGTAATTGCATAGAGCAGATCTTACACAACAATTAATAAGTTGTTCAGCAATATTTACCATTCAAGGTGTGTAAATTATTTAAAATCATAAAATTATTTACATTACTACCAATATAAATAAATTTTTAAATTATAATTTAATTAGATTAATAGATATATTTAATATAAGGCCTAAAAATAAGTTTCAAGCTTTAAAAATTACGTTACTTCCATACATTCTTTCATCTCCCCTTTCAACCCCTTACAACCCTCTTTTTCCATTAAAAAGTAGCCTATGTCCTTTCTCAGGGTTTAGACTATCTGTACACCCAATTTTTCTTTAAATTAGTTCAGTTGTTTTTACGTGAAACGACGCGATAGACAATCAAACAGACACACACACAATCAAAATCGGTCCAACCATTTCAGAGATTAGCCGGAACAGACAGACAAAAATTGTTAAAAATAATATTTTGGTGTATGTACCGTCTTTATATTGATATGTAGTCAGAAACGGTTATTTCAATATTACAAACAGACACTCCGATTTTATTATGACAATATGTCAGGATAATCACTGGCTAAAATTAGTTACAATATTTCAGCATAGATGGCGCTCTAGTGTTAAGTAATTGAAGCATTTACTTTTTTAATTATGATTATTGTAATGGCAGTTCTTAATACAGATACGTCAAATCTACACGGGTGTTTTAATTAATAACAAATTAGGAAGTTAAACAATCACAATGACTCTATTTAAATACATTCAAACAATAAAAAATCCTACAACAATACATAACGAATTAACACAGGGAGCCTGTTTCCACAAACTGTTTGTTCATTTTACACACTGTTATTTCAAATAAGCAACAAAAGGAAAACAGAGTTGTTTCACAGAGCTGCAATTAAATATTTATATTGTATCTATAATATTTTTCATTTAGCAGTTAAACAAACACATTTATCAGTATATTCATATGGTTATATGTATATTGTTACATATTTTAATATAATTTCAAATTACACAATTGATATGATAATGTCCATCACAATTCTTGGTGCCGCGTTGTGTATTATTTGTCTTCACGTCGCAGATGTCAGACAAAACGTTCACACAAAAATATAACTTCCTACAAGACGACGTTACGACTGCAGTAGAACGTAACAATAAACTGCGCCGACAAATTACCCATATTTTATCTATACATCTATACATATAAATTAGTTTCTTGTCAGTTCTTCTCATCTCGAAATCATTCCGAACTGACGGTAGATTTGACATATCATAACAGTCTGTAATAGACAGGAATAAAGATATTTTTAATTTTTAATTTGATTTTTTGAACGGAATGTCAGACAAACTAACGACAAGTGGTAACCATTGCCTATCTATACATATAAATAAAATTGGAGTGTCTGTTTGTAATATTGAAATAACCGTTTTTTACTGGATATGAATATAAATACGGTACATACACCAAAATATTTTTTTCACAATTTTTGTCTGTCGGTCTGTTAGTTCCGGCTAATCTCTGATATGGCTGAAGCGATTTTGGCGGGATTTTTTTGGCAGGTAGCTGATGTAATAAGGAATAATTAAGGCTACTTTTATTTTAGAAAAATAAAGTAAAATTCCACGCGGACGAAGTCGCGGGTAGAGCTAGTTATCATATAAAAAGGTTATGCACAATGTGAGACGCCACTCGTAAGCGCAAACGTGTGTATGTATTGGCATAGCGTTTGTGGTTTGGACTGCGATGTCCTAGGTCGATGGTTCAAACCCTGCCATATTATATTTAATCGAATTAGGTGTTATTTTGCGGAAGTCCATTTCACTACTCGATGGATTTATTTTATTTTGTTTAATTCCGCTACAATTAACATGTGTGAGACTACGAATATTCGGTGTAGAAACCTGACCAGCGCTACGACCTTCTCCAGTGGCGATCAAATTCCGACCGTTATTGAGTCTACACCTATATCGCGACACGTGTTTCGCCTCTGAACGAGGCATCATCAGGCGTTAATTAGAGTTCGGGTACAGCTCGGAAGCCTAGTGTTGACTCATCGGCGACCAAACCGCGACTGCTGTTGTCTTTTTTTTTTTCGGACTACTCTAATGCTGTTGGCCGTAGCTGGCCTTTACAGCTTCACCGGACGTTATGGGGCGAGTGCCGATGGCACTCCAAACCCGCGGAAGGACTTATGGAGCGGCTGAAGGCCAACTCCTGCCCGACGGATACGACTTTAGTCTGAGGGCACCACTAGGGGTTCGAACCTCGGCTCAGGCCGTCGTATTTTCGATCCCCGTTTGAATTGGACGGGGGATCGATCGGAGGGGCGCCCGGGGGCGCCGGTGTGGAGCGCCCGGGCGCGCCCGGTTGAATGCGCGATAATGTGTGTTTGAGGTCGTCGTCTTCGCCGGCGAGGACGGTGTCGTGTGTGTGTGTAAAAGTGTGGTCGGGGTGGAATGCTGTTGTCTGTTGCGCGGCCGTATTTATACCCGTTGTACAGCAAGGGGGCGTGGCTTGTGTTGAGTCATGCGCTTGTGATGAATAATGCAAACTTCGAACCCGCCATATTACTTTTTCTTCAATCGATCCTCCAGCCTATTCAAATGAATATCGAAATTACGAGTCTGAGCCGAGGTTCGAACCTCTACAGGTGGGGGAAAGGGGATTGTTAGTAATGTGGACTGATCGTCTCATTGCTAGCAATGTACCATGTCAGGTTGACCTCCACGCGGTTCCTCCTGGAAACCATCGTGATAAATTACTGGTGAATTTGTCACGATGGGCTAACTGACCTGACCTCATGCTCATCTTATCATCCTCCACTGGTGCCCCGCCAGCGTAAACCATTAGCGCAGGCGGGTGTAACATTCCATTATCATCCATTGGAAAAAAAAAACCTCTACAGGTGTCTTTCAGATGGAAGTCGTATCCGTTAGACAGATATTGGCCTTCAGCCGTTCCGTCCTTCCGCGGGTTTGGAGTGCCATCTGCACTCACCTGTGTAAAGGCCTGCTGTGGCCAAGTATTAAAATGTAAAAAAAAATATGTAAGGAGAGTCTTAACGCTCCGAGGTTATATCTTTATCGTCGGATAATAATTATCTTATCCTGTTTTGTATATAAAGACAGATAGGGTGTTCCGTACCCAGTAATTTCACTGCCATGCGTCATCCTGACAATTAAGGGAGACAGCTGAGAAACTTTATACAACATCCTGTAGTTACGCCACGTCATTTAAATATACAGGGGCTCTGTAATAAAGAGGATAAAGATTGTAATAATATCAATTAAAAATTGAATTTGTATATACATGTTGTCCAATATTACTTTGGCCATATGTGTTGCCAACATACAATATGTGCCGCAATACTTTTTATATTTTATCTCTTGATAATTGTGTAAAACTGAATTTACTTTGAAATAGTGTTTGCAAGTTTGTCTTTAAAAAAAACTGTTTATTCAAAGTAAGAAATGATAGACCATTTGTATGTGAGTGGTAACCGTCGCCTATATACATGAACAGCATTACAGATGTCACGTGACAACCGTGATACCCCTCAAGTGTTGCCATTACAGAAAACCCTATTGTAACTAAGAAAATATAATAAACGGTCTAAACTAATATGGAGCGTATCACGTGTCCTCCGGGCCGACTGCGGCGTGGGGCGGCGCAGGTGTTCGACGAGGTGTGCGTGGAGCTGGCCATGGCGCTGCTGCAGCTGCTGCAGAGCGCCCCCGCAGAGGAACACCTGTACAGGGCGTGCGGCGCGCTGGCGCGGCTCGCGCACCACTCGCACGACGTGCCGCAGCTGGTGGCCGTCGTGGGGCCCGACCCCTCCGCCTACAGGTACGGGGCCCAGCCCCCCGCCCCCCGCAGAGGAACACCTGTACAGGGCGTGCGGCGCGCTGGCGCGGCTCGCGCACCACTCGCACGACGTGCCGCAGCTGGTGGCCGTCGTGGGGCCCGACCCCTCCGCCTACAGGTACGGGGCCCAGCCCCCCCCCCCCCCCCGCAGAGGAACACCTGTACAGGGCGTGCGGCGCGCTGGCGCGGCTCGCGCACCACTCGCACGACGTGCCGCAGCTGGTGGCCGTCGTGGGGCCCGACCCCTCCGCCTACAGGTACGGGGCCCAGCCCCCCGCCCCCCGCAGAGGAACACCTGTACAGGGCGTGCGGCGCGCTGGCGCGGCTCGCGCACCACTCGCACGACGTGCCGCAGCTGGTGGCCGTCGTGGGGCCCGACCCCTCCGCCTACAGGTACGGGGCCCAGCCCCCGCCCCCGCCCCCCGCCCCCGCAGAGGAACACCTGTACAGGGCGTGCGGCGCGCTGGCGCGGCTCGCGCGGCTCGCGCACCACTCGCACGACGTGCCGCAGCTGGTGGCCGTCGTGGGGCCCGACCCCTCCGCCTACAGGTACGGGGCCCAGCCCCCGCCCCCCGCCCCCCGCCCCCGCAGAGGAACACCTGTACAGGGCGTGCGGCGCGCTGGCGCGGCTCGCGCACCACTCGCACGACGTGCCGCAGCTGGTGGCCGTCGTGGGGCCCGACCCCTCCGCCTACAGGTACGGGGCCCAGCCCCCCCCGCCGCCCCCGCAGAGGAACACCTGTACAGGGCGTGCGGCGCGCTGGCGCGGCTCGCGCACCACTCGCACGACGTGCCGCAGCTGGTGGCCGTCGTGGGGCCCGACCCCTCCGCCTACAGGTACGGGGCCCAGCCCCCCGACCCCTCCGCCTACAGGTACGGGGCCCAGCCCCCCAACCCCGCCGCCTACAGGTACGGGGCCCAGCCCCCCGACCCCTCCGCCTACAGGTACGGGGCCCAGCCCCCCAACCCCGCCGCCTACAGGTCCGGGGCCCAGCCCCCCGCCGTCCAGCTGGTCATGGCGCTGCTGCAGCTAGCTTTAACCTGTATGTCGATCCATATTCAACATATTCTATGACAATATCATAGTAACTTCTCTACGTATTATTATTTGAAACACACAGATTTTCCCGAGTTTAAGGTACGTATGTTTAAACATGCAATGTTTGAAAAATCATATGAACAAATGAACTGTACTTAATTTTTATTAAAGGATTACTCTGTCCCTAATATAGTGTTTTGTTCACAGAGGAACGAGTCAGCGCGTGGATGAACAGATAGATTTAATTATGAAGAAGATCAAGTAACTGCAAGTGCGAGTGCGGCGGGAGAGTGCGCGGGGCGGTTTGTTATGTTTTATATCACATAGGACATTGTATTGACACGTTCTATTTTGTTACTGCTCAAATACCATATGTTCTCTTCACTTGACCATCGTAACCAATCAGATGCGAGCGTTTTGTTGTTCATAATTAATATAATCAGCGGTGTTGGGTTAGGATAGTGTACGGTTGCCAAGCCCCGATCCGAAGATCACCAAGGAGGCATTAAGATCCGGCGGTGGCGTGCGGAGGCTATTCCCTGCTCGCCTAGATAAAAGGTCCTTTCGATGGGAACCGTGACGGTGGTTTTGGAGAATGCATATGCGATCCCATGGCTACGCCGACATGTTCGAGGAGGAATAGTCGTTAGGTTTTTGGCCGATATGAATCCGGCAGTCCCCATTTGGCCCCTAAGCCGGTGGGTCTCTATGAAGATTTTCCTGACGTTAAAACGTTGACGTTGCCAGGCCCAAATTTAAAAAACTAGGATTGAAAGTTCAAAAGCCAGGACTATCCAGTTTAAAAACAGAACGCAGTAATATTATTTAGTATTGCAATCGTTATATTACTATGTAGTAAAATTCAAGTAATTAATACAATCAGGTGTTTAATAAAAAGTATTTGATAAAATTATACTGTTGATTATCAGTCATTAAGAGGCGCGCATACTTTAAAAACCCGGGACGCTGACAAATAACTATTCAGGATTTTCCAGGACATTAAAACTTGGACATGTTTTGGGAAAACAGGACGGTTCGGAACTCTAGGATAGTGCAATATACGTACATATATCTAGTATTAACAGCAATCGACAAAAGAAACACGCACCTATTCTTATATTTGATGCTTATAATTAAAAAAGTGTCGCCTTTAATTTCTATCAGCGAAAAATGGTCTTTAAACATCAATATTAAAGTCGATAGTCAAATGTACAGTTTGATTGATTAATTGATCAATAGTACAGTGCCTACGTTCTCTTCAATAGACGAGTCTGTAAGTGTAAGTGTCGCCATTTGTTTCTATCAAAGAAAAATAGTCTTTAAACATCAATATTAAAGTCTATAGTCAAATGTACAGTTTGATTGATTAATTGATCAATAGTACAGTGCTTACGTTCTCGTCAATAGACGAGTCTGTAAGTTTTAGGGGTATTTTAATTTATTTGCAAAACGCTCTCACAATTTCTAACACAGCCAGTGAAGAAAGTGAAGATAATACAGTACACCGTTAGTTATACAGTAAATCGTTAGTTAAATAGAAAAATGCGAGTATTCAAAATGTAACTTTTTTACAAGACAAGCAATCAAAGTTTTTTTTTAATTTATTTAATTTATTTTTTCCTTTAAAGTTTTAAATTTACACAAAGTATTATATATCATTTTAAAAGTATTTAGATAATGATTAAGACGGCGTGGTTAATTGACTTATATACAAGGAGGCAATTGTAGCTTGTAATTTTGAAAAATGACATTTTTCTGTTTAATTGACGAAATAATACCTATAACATATATATATATATCAAAATATAGTTATAGTACTTTAAAATATATCAGAAAAAGAATACTATATTTGTTGTTGTATTGATAATTTTTTTTTATAATAAGTCTGATATTTTTGTGTTATGACGTGTACAGAATAATTTTGTTATTTTGTATTACATTATGTCGTATGTACGTGTTGAAACATGTACAAAAAGTATTTATTTCAAAAAGTTTTTATTTCGCATGGAAAAAAAAATGTATTTGGTGTTAAACTGTATGGGCCTACGTAAGACGAAAACCTGTACTACGAAGCTACGTATGTTAGGACTTGCATTATTCTGTGATGCAGGGATTGTATATTCTATAAATTTACACCTCAGAACCAAATATTATCAATAATTATTTATTATGAACTGTCGATATTAAAACCAATAACTTTATATACCTACCAATATATATAAATATATAAAACATGTGTTAAAAACGTTGCCCTAGAAGCACTAGTATAGAAAATTGTAGGTTTATAATTGCAACCAAATCTACGATGGCGGTATTGTGTTGTAAGTAAATTATAGTGATGTTAGTACTAATAGACTGCCTTTACACGTACGCTCTTTTACACGCGAAACGCCTTACACGCGGTAAATAATGTGCGTGTAAATGTAGCCGGATATCGCTTTACACGCGGGAAATAATGTGCATGTAAATGTAGACGCAGTGAAGGAGAAAGACCGCGCTCGTAAACTGTGAGCGCATTCTCGCGTCCTTCAATCGTGCGTGCTTTAGCGCCATTTTGAATTATCATTGCAAAATGGCGGACATATGTCACTATTTAGCAAATACATATGTATACAACTGCTTCCAGAAACATTAAAAAAAAACTTATGTCTACTCTGTATTGTGTTCATATCTGCAACAAATTATCTATTGTCAATTGCGTGCGCTGATTTTCCCGCGCTAAATCACGTGCGGTGGTGATTGCGCGCTAAAGAAGTCGTAGTGTAAAGGCAGTTAACGTGTCTATTGGACAAATTTAGCGTAAGTACCTGAGCTTATGACGAGCCTTTTGTTTTATAATATTATTAATGGAATATAATTTATTATATATTATGTGATTGTACAATAGTTGTGTCACTTATATCTGTCGGCAACACTAACACGAGACTATGTACGGTGCATTTACAACTTATAATATATTTATAGTGCCTATTTACAGACGGTGGGCAGATGTTTAACAATTAAATTGTGCTATTATTACAATTTTGTATTATTTAACTCATCCTTAGGGACTTATTACCCGATTAAATGTATAGAGACATTAATGACTCGGTTCTGCACTGATTTAGTGCATTTCCATACTTTTTTTATTATAATAATAATAATAATCTCAGGACAATTCACACAGCGTCATCTAGACCCAAGTTAAGCTAGCTATGTTATGTTATGTTAGCTATGCTATGTTATATTGGTGTATGTACAGTATTTATATACATATGCATGTAGTAAAAAACGGTTATTTCAATGTTACAAACAACCTCTAATTTTAGTTATATGTATAGATAGGCAATGTTTACCACTTGTCGTTAGTCTGACATTCCGTTCAAAACATTCAATATTCAAAATATCTTTATTCATGTAGGTCTATTACAGACTCTTATGGAAATGAGAAGAACTGACAAGAAACTCAGCTCGTATTTTTTTCAAATAAATGTTGTACATGTTTACAATAATACGCAGTTATTAAAATTCAAATTTGGGAGAATAGAGTGACCATCAGCTTATGCTATCGCAATTTATCAGTGTTCGCAACCTGAACAGACCAGTCCCCACAAGCAGCACCCGTTCACGAGTATGACGGATGAGCCAGCCATCATTGCACTCGTCTTCTTAAATTGACTATATTGTAATCTAGGTGACCCGTGTCAACGGACTGTAAGCATTTCAGACTGCCACGAAAAATTTAAATTTTTCGAGTTATATATATGTATAGCTCACACTCACTAATAACGTATCTTTCTATTGGTAAAATAATATTCAAAATCATTTCATTCAGAAATTTGACAACCTTGGTAGTCTAGCCGTTTAGCACACCGCTTTACTCCAGACGGTTGCGAGTTCGACTCCTCGCACAGTGCAAACATTTGTATTCATGAGTATGATTGTTTGTATCGGTGTTTGCTATATATAAATATGTATGTATTTACAAAAATATCTATGTATTTATATCAGTTATTTAGTACACATAACACAAGCTTAAGCTAGCTTAACTTGGGTCTAGATGGCGCTGTGTGAATTGTCCTGAGATTATTATTATAAAGACATTAGATTATTAGACTACAACCTCACAGACATTACCTCTTTATGATATTAGTGTATGTAGATAAATATAGATATATTGAAACAATTTTTAACCGTTTTTTTATCATTCAAACGAGTTTCCTCATCTAGTTACACCAATGTCAACTGTCACCATTCTGTTGACCAATTTCATAATCTATGTATAAATATTGAAATGCTCATTACGAGTTCCACATTCAACAATTCATAAATAAAACTGTCACACGCGTAATCCAACGGCAAATAGATTGTGACGGTTACAAATAATATTTGCCGTGTTGCGCTGATTTCATCTAGTTTATGGATAAATGTATATTAAGTAGACGGTAAGTACGGGGCTTACGAGGAACTGAATTAATCATTGTTAGGTGTACGACTATACTGAAACCAAACCAAACATCTATTAAAAAGAGCAACACACAAGTTTCTTGCTCATTCTGCTTGTGATGAATCTGCATTCCGAATGAGTGGTAGAATCAAAATATGACTATTCAAAAGTGCTTGTAATGAGTTTATTTGAATAAAGATTATTTCTATTTCTATTACTGAATGATGATACATATTATTAGGTACGTACAGACACCCAAAATTGAAGTTTAATGAACAAAATGGACCCAAAATTCTTCGCTATAGAGAATATTATTGTATGATGCATTAGTTGCAGACCAAAATTGAATATACCAAATCTAAAACATTTTTTTCCAGTAGATCTATTCTATACATATAAATAAAATTGTGGTGTCTGTTTGTAATATTGAAGTAACCGTTTTTTACTACATGTATATGAATATAAATACGGTACATACACCAAAATATCATTCTTAAGTTATAGAGTACCGGAACAAACTTGTATCTGAAATCAAAACTTCACTCCATCAAGTTTCGGTTTGGGGTCGGAAAAATTGTGTTCAATTCAACCCCAAGAAGACGCGCGTTTACCGCTAAAAAGATTCCATTTATCGTATACGTATCAGTTTCAAGACACTCTCCTTGATGTGAAGCCCAATCTCGAGGTCCTTGGCGTTGATATATCCAGTGACATTCAGTTTTGCGGTCATTTGGAGGACAAGGCTAATAACAGTAGAGTGAGACGGTATTTCACGGCGGCCCATTGCTTGCAATTATACAAGGCGCAGATCCGGCCGCATATGGAATACTGTTCTCATCTCTGGGCGGGAGCACCACAATACCAGCTACTTCCATTTGACCGCATTCAGAACCGAGCAGCCAGAATCATTGGTAATCAACGTCTATGTGACAGACTCGACCCATTGGCTCTGCAGCGAGATATTGCATCTCTGTGCATTTTCTACCGCATATATCACGGGGAGTGTTCTGAGGAATTGTTCGGATTAATACCAGCTGCTGAGTTTCACCACCGTACCACCCGCCAGAAACTGAAATACCATCCTGATCATCTGGATGAATGGCGGTCTTCCACAGTACGGTTTTCTAGAAACTTTTTGCCTCGCACAACCACATTGTGGAATCACCTTCCAGCAATGGTATTTCCGAACCGATACGATATTGAAACCTTCAAGAAAAGAGCTTATTCCTTTTTAAAAGGCCGACAACGTACTTGCTATTCCCCTGGTGTTGCGGGTGCTCATGGGCGGCGGTAATCACTTACCATCAGGTGAGCCGCATGCTCGTTTGTCCCCTGTGTTATAAAAAAAAAAATTCTTTACAATTTTTGTCTGTCTGTTTGTTCCGGCTAATCTTAGGAGATGCCTACGTCATAGTAGCTTTAAACATGTAAGGTCTCAGCCCGATCGGTTTAAAATTGACAAAGTTTCATACAAAGTTTCATCCCCTATTTTATCCTCTTGGGGGTAGAATTAATCAAAATCTTTTCTTAGCGGATGCCTACGTCATAATATCTACCTGCTTGCAAAATTTCAGCCCGATCGGTTCAGTGGTTTGGGCTGTGTGTTGATAGATCACTATGTCAGTCAGTCACCTTTGAGTTATATATATTTAGATATCCCTCAAGGTAAGTGCGTGCGATCATTGGAAGTAAAGCAGTATAAGAATAAAGAATAAAAGAATAGAAATCATTTATTCAAATAAACTTACATTGAAGCACTTTTGAATAGTCATAACATTTTTTTTTTTTAATCTACCGCTCATTCGGAATGCTGTCTCATCACAAGAAGAACAAGCAAGAAACTTGTGTGTTGCTCTTTTAAATAATTTATTCTTACTTACAATTTAAGTTTAAGTGTGTGAATACAAACCACCGATTAGCACTAATTCAATTAAATACTCAAAAAGAAAAAAATATTGAATACATAACCAACTGGTTAAACAATTAATAAGAGGAAATCAGTCATAGTGATTAGAGCAGACCAGTCCCTACAAGCAGCACCCGTTCACGAGTATGACGGATGAGCCAGCCATCACTGCGCTCGACCATATTTTAGGGAGCCCAATGACCCGGCCCACCACACCGCCACAAGTCTGGACATTTTAGTGAGCATGACTACTCAAAACACCAGACCACGTCATAGCTACTCACAATTGCCATCTGATGTTTATAGTATTCACATTTCACATAAGAATGCATGCGGCAATTAATACAAAACCCGCTACGCTTTCATATTTCTAAAATAATTGAATCAAGAAAGCAATGAGATAAACAAATTATAACGTTGTATGCTAATAAACTAATTATTTACTTGATATGTTGTCTTCTATGAATTCGTCTATCCTGTAATAGGCTTTCTTACATAAAAATTGTTTAATATAAGATTTGAATTGCCTCTCTGTCAGATTTAGTGCAGATTCTGGCAGTTTATTATAAAATCTTACGCAATTACCATAGAATGAATTACTGACTTTGTGCAGGCGGCATTTAGGTAAAATTAGCTTATTTTTATTGCGTAAGTTTCTATTTGTACAGTCTTTAAGTTTTCTAAAACTGTCTAAATTCTTCCGTGTATACATGATATTCTCATAAATGTATTGTGAAGTAACGGTGAGGATATTTGAATCTTTAAAACACTGACGTAATGACTCTCTTGAACCCATACCATAAATAGAACGTATGGCTCTCTTTTGTAAAATAAATATAGTATTTATATCGGCTGCTTTACCCCATAGTAGTATACCATATGACATAATGCTATGGAAATAACTAAAGTATACAAGTTTAGCCGTCGCCACGTCTGTTAATTGCCTAATTCTTCTAATTGCATATGCAGCTGAACTGAGTCTATTGGCCAATTTTGAAATATGGGGCCCCCATTGTAATTTCGAGTCCACTGTTATACCTAAAAAAACTGTATCATTAACAAAATTTACTATTTCGTCATTAAGCAATAACTGTGTATTTATTGGTCTTACATTAGGAAGTGTAAATTTTATACACTTTGTTTTGCTGGAATTTAATAATAGGTTATTACATGTAAACCAATTTAATATAGCAGACATAGCACAATTTACATCGTCTAATTGATTAGTTTGACGTCCAATTTTAAACACTAACGAAGTATCATCCGCAAACAGCACTATATCTGCAATTTTCTCTACCATAAAGGGAAGGTCATTTATGTAAATTAAAAAGAGAAAGGGGCCTAAGATTGACCCTTGTGGAACGCCCATCCCAATATTAGCTCCCTTAGATTTTATACCGTCAATATCTACAGTTTGGACCCTATCCTCTAAATAAGTTCTCATTAATTTTAGATCATTATCTTTTATACCATAATGTTCGAGCTTGTACAAAAGTGTTTTATGATCCACGCAATCAAATGCCTTTGATAGGTCTCCGAAAAAACTCCGAGTGCATCCTGTGACTTCTCCCATGATTGGAAAATATGTGTTATCAGCGCTACACCTGCGTCAGTAGTAGACTTGCCGGCGGTGAAACCATATTGTTGACTGTGAAGCAGTCGGTTATCCCTGAAGTGTTGTAACATTTGATTTAACATTATCTTTTCAAACACCTTACTTAGAACTGGCAAAATAGATATAGGTCTATAGTTCCCTGGCTCAAATTTATCTCCTGATTTAAATAGTGGGATTAATTTGCTAAATTTCATTAATTGTGGAAAAGTCCCATTATCAATACATTTATTAAAAATAGTAGCTAGATATGGAGCAACAATATCTATGAAAGAACTAACTACTTTTACAGACATGCCCCAAAGGTCTTCTGTATTTTTTAAATTTAGATGTTTGAATATTTTTATGATATGAACGGGGCTAACATGTGAAAATTTAAATCTTAAAGCACAACAACCGATATTAGACTCTAGTAATATTTTTGCTCGAGATGGAGATGAGTCCAGAGAAGATGTAATATTAATCGGAATATTAGCAAAAAAATCTTCAAAAACATTAACTACATCTTTTGTTGCTGTTATTAATTTATTATCATAATTTAATGTAAATTGAGTAGTTCAGTATGTTAAACCACTTCATCACCAAGTGCGTCTAAGGGCGTGTAGATAAATAACATTCGGAAATTGATCACTAATGAGGAAGGACCTGAAGGGCATAGAAGCGCTATGTACCTCGTGATGATCTGACCTCCATCTGACTGTGTGTATGGTCTCATACAATAATGATAGCGGAATTAAACAAATTAATACAAAATGTGACATAATCATATGCACCTTACATAAGAGAATGCGGTAAAGTATAGTTAGGTATGACATTTATCAATGAAATATAGATTGTAATCAATATGATTGATTACAAAAGTATTTTGATGAATTCCACCCCTAAGAGAATAAATTCAAATCGAAGCCGCGGTCAAAAGCTAATTATAACATGTAAATAAAAATAATAAACAATACAAATCATTAAGAGAAAAAAAAGCGAACAAGAAATTCAAACAAAAGAAAACAAAAAATATAAACACATACCAAAACCATAATAACAAGGCAAAAAAAATGTGTAACCACTACTTCGGAGCATCGTCACCGAGTCGCTGTACTGATGTGCGTGTAGGGGGCCCATCTCAGCATTATGCCATGACAAAAGCCACGACGCTTATAGTGAAATATGATATGATAGTTATGAAAGAATTTCATTATAAGATAACTGTACCTATAGTATAGGTACCTAGATCTTAGATCAGCTCACCGTTCGTCATTTTAACGCTCTAAAATAACAATTTTACAATGCTGTTTCAAATTTCTTCATGAATATCAAAATAGCTGAACTTTCAGGTCGTTGAATAATTTCATGTTAATTTTTGTTTTTATAGAGACTAGTGTAAGTTTTCGAAAAAGGATATAAGGTCTCTAAAAACTTGTCAGTGCTTCTCATAACTGCATACCTATCTGCTGTAGGCATCCGATGGGCCGTATGCTTGTTGTAATTATCATAAAGAGAAACCAGACACTTTTAATTAAAATACCATAACATCTTGAACAAATATTACAACAATGGTAGGTTATAACTTTGCACGTACACTGAATACCTCGGTGGGCTAGCGGTTTAGACTACCGAAGGTGGTTTGATTCCTCGAACAGTTCGGTACAAACATTTGTATTCATAGGTATGATTGTTTATATCGTTCTGGGCGTTATATATGTATATTATGTATGTATTTAGAAATATATATATATTTAAACATTTATATCAGTTGTCCATCACAAGCTCTGCTTAGTTTGGGTCTAGATGTGTCGTGTAAATTGTACTGGATTCTGACTATTATACTAGCTGTTCCCGCGACTTCGTCCGCGTGGATATTAACTTTATACTTCAAAAATAAAAATAGCCCAAGTTACTCCTTATTACATCAGCTACCTGCCAAAAAAAGTCACGTCATCGGTCCAACCATTTCAGAGATTATCCGGAACAAACAGACAGACAAAAATTGTAAAAAATGTTATTTTGGTGTATGTACCGTATTTATATTCATATGCATGTAGTAAAAAACTGTTAATTCAATATTACAAACAGACACCCCAATTTTATTTATATGTATAGATGTATAGATGTACATTGTGTATGTATTTAAGAAAATTTATATTTAATTATTTATATCAGTTGTCTAGTACCCATAACACGAGCTCTGCTTACCTTAGGACTAGATGGCGCCGTGTAAAATGTACTAGATTATTATTACATAGAACTACGCTATCTGTTGAACTAGCCAATAAGTACTTAAGAGCACAAAAATAACCTGCAAGTATACGATCGTATAATGCGCGTTTATACGTGACATTATCACTATTAATGAATTAATATTGTTTATTGATACTGAAATGTTTATACGCGAGTAGGTTCGCATGACGCTGAGATAACGAATTAAATTATAAAGTGTGATATGACAGCAGTCCGTCGACGAGGTGCGCGAACAGACAACGTCCAGAGCTGCGGCTTCGATACCCGGGACTGTTAGCTACAGATTCTTATTACTTTTGGAAGATAATATCAAAACAAAAATAAATTTATTTATTAGTGAATTACAGTATAATTAAGTCAAGTTCCAGTCCTTTTTTTAATAAATGTGTAAAGTATAGAATTCCATTTGAAAATGGAAATAATAGAAGAGACTCCGTACTCCAAGGGTGAGAGTGCGTGGTTGCGTATAGCCCGGCGCCGGCTGCCGATCCTGGAGTGGGCGCGGCGGTATGATCGCATGGCGGCAGTGGCGGACCTGGTGGCGGGAGTAACCCTCGGGCTTATGCTGGTGCCGCAGAGCCTCGCGTATGCCAGCCTCGCTGGTCTTCCGCTGCAGTATGGACTATACTCTTCATATATCGGTAATAATATAGACTAATCTATACATCTATACATATAAATAAAATTGGAGTGTCTGTTTGTTATATTGAAATAACCGTTTTTTACTACATGCATATGAATATAAATACGGTACATACACCAAAATAACATTTTTTTTTATTTTTGTCTGTTTGTTCCGGCTAATCTCTGAAATGGCTGGACCGATTTTAACGGGACTTTTTTTGGCAGTTAACCGATGTAATAAGGAGTAACTTAGGCTACTTTTGTTTTAGAAAAATAAAATTTAATTCCACGCGGACGAAGTCGCGGGTACAGCTAGTATTATTATGAAGTTGAAAGATTTGTTTGAATATTTTTTTTATACTACGATGGTGGCAAACAAGCATACAGCCAATCTGATGGTAAACGGTTACCGTAGCCTATGGACACCTGAAACTTCGGACCAGGGGTGTCACGTGCGTTGCCGATCCTTAATATACCCTTGATATAATTCTAATATACAAAATTCTCGTGTCACAGTGTTTGTGACTGAAGTTCGTCGTAACGGTTTGACCGATCCTTATGAGATGTTGTGTCTGTATGCAGTACGTCTGAGCTGATATAAGTGATCCATACCCAAAAATCTTTTAATTATTTTTGGTCAATTATTTTTTATTTTTTTTATACAGAATTAGAAAAAAAAAATACCTCGAAATATAACACCAATCCCTATTTTTAACAGTGATAGTATATTAATAATTCGACTCTCGCCGGTCGATAACTATGTAGTTTATATATAAAATACTATTATATACTAGCTGCACCCGCGACTTCGTCCGCGTGGAATTTAACTTTATTTTTCTTTTAAATAAAATAAACGCAGCCTAAGATACTCCTTAATACATCAACTATCCGCCAATAAAAATCCCGATAAAATCGGTCCAGTCATTTCAGAAATTAGTCGGAACAAACAGACAAAAATTGTTAAAAATGTTATTTTAGTGTATATACCGTATTTATATTATATTATTATATATATAATATATTATTATATATATTTGGTGTATATACCGTATTTGTCATATGCATGTGGTAAAAACGGTTATTTCATAACCGTTTTTACCACATGCATATGACAGTTCAATCACTTCAGACACTTCAATTTTATTTATATGTATTATCAACGATTAACATGAACTGAATCTTAGTTTAGAGAAAATTAGAGATTTCAACAAGATTCAGACATCGTGAAACCAAACCGAGTATTTAAACCTACCCTAACCTACCAAACCGAGTACCTAATATAGATATATCCTGAAAAAAATATAAGTTTTATTCCTATAACCTAAGTAAATTCAAAGAAATAATTATCAAAAATGCACATACGAGTACAGCCGCAGGAAACAGTTACAGCATAATGTTAATAATCCATACTTCGTAAATACTATACTGTACCTATGCTGTATGTTTCTTACCACATGACTACTAAACGGCTAAACGGATTTTATTGAAATTTGAGATAAAGATAGATTGCTTGTACGGAGTGGTCTGCTCTAATCACTCACTGATTTCCTCTTATTAATTGTTTAACCAGTTGTTGTGTATTCAATATTTTTTCTATTTGATTGTTTAATTGAATTAGTGCTAATCGGTAGTTTGTATTCACACACTTAAACTTAAATTGTAAAGTAAGAATAAAACTATTTAAAAGAGCAACACGCAAGTTTCTTGCTCGTTCTTCTCGTGATGAGACAGCTTTCCGAATGAGTGAATTTTAATAGTCATTTTTTTTAATCTACCGAGATTAAAAAAAAATGTGATGACTATTAAAAAGTGCTTCAATGTATGTTTATTTAAATAAATGATTTTCTATTCTATTCTGTTCTATTGTGTATAACATTCTGACTCTAATGAATTAGACGCTTGTAGTTTGTACTCACACATTTCAATTTTTAGATACAATAATTATTTAGTAGACAGCAACACACAAGTTTCGGGCTCGTTCTTCTTGTGATGAGACAGATTTCCGAACGAGCGGTAGATTGAAAAATATGTTATGACTATACAAAAGTACTTAAATTTATTTTTAATTAAAACAATATTTTTCTTTTCTATTCTATTCTATTGTGTCACGAAAGCGGGCAGTTTCTCATACGGATATATTTATCTCAAAAAGTAATCAGAAAAGAGGGTGAAATAGGGGATGACTGTACGTGCAGAGGAAGGCATGGGTAACAGATATTTACTCGCGCTTATCCACGCACATATTTTTAGAAGTCATAGGTAACGTATTTAATGGTGCTTAATTGTCGACACATATATGTAGTTTAGCTCAAAGAATATTCTAGAAGGGTGTGGAACAGAGGAAGTAACAGGTATTTTATCTGTTGTCTATATAACATATAGTGTTGCCAGGTCCGATTTGTTTTAAATCGCTACATGAGTCAAAAAATCGGAATTCAGTGGTTGCAACAAGTAATCAGTGTTGTTTAGTCTAGTCTTAATCAGACATTCAGCGTCCCGATCAGGTACAAATCGGGACGCGTCCCTAGACCCCTAAAAAACGTCCCGCGTAAATCGGGACACCTGGCAACACTAGTAGCATATAGAAGAACGCTGATGTAATGACCGCAGGCACCATACTGTACGTGTTCGTGGGGACTGTGAAGGAGGTGTCCATCGGTCCTACCAGCCTGATGGCGCTGCTGACGCTGCAGACGTGCCGCCACCTGCCCCTCGAGTGCGTAGTGCTACTCACCTTCCTCTCTGGCTGCGTCGTGCTGCTCATGGGCGTGCTCCGACTAGGTAACGCTTAAAATAAATAAATAAATAATATCAGGACAATTTACACAGTGCCATCTAGACCCAAATTAAGCTTGTGTTATGGGTACTAGACAACTGATACAAATACATAGATATGTTTTTTTTCGTAAATACATACATATTATACATAGAAAATACCCAGACCGATACAAACAATCGTACTCATGAATACAAATGTTTGTGCCGTGCGAGGAATCGAACCCGCGACCATCTGTAGTAAGGCGGTGTGCTAAACCGCTAGACCATCGAGGCCGTCGAAAAAACAGCTTACTTCCGATGGTCGCGGGTTCGATTCCACGCACGGCACAAACATTTGTATTCTTGAGTATGATTGTTTGTATCAGTCTGGGTATGTTCTAAGTATAATATGTATGTATTTACGAAAAAAAAATGTATCTATGTATTTGTATCAGTTATCTAGTATCCATAACACAAGCTTTAGCTAGCTGAATTTGGGTCTAGATGGCGCTGTGTGAATTGTCCTGAGATTATTATTATTATTATTATTCCTAAAAACTGATTTAAAAACTGTTGCGTAGTTTAAAAGATTCAAGCGAACAGACAGCAGAAGCTTTCATTTTATAGGTACTATATATAATTGGTTATTGGTAAATAGTAAAATACTATACTATAATATGTTACTATTTACCAATCACGGTAGACAGACTCTAAGTTGTACGACGGGTATCTGCTTATTTTCAATACGTTATTAGAACCTGATCTAAGGTTTTACGTAAATTCTGGCCGGGTTAAACTTAAGTTACTACATTTACCAATGATTTAATATATTACGAAATTGGTACAGCTGAAATACTAAGTCATAATTTGTAAATCGCTGCAACTTGTAAGAGTGAAACGAAACGTTAATGAAACTGTCACTCTACCATGCTACAGTGCACATGGTATAGTCTAATATTTCCCTGCCAAGTATTAGAAGATATAAAGTTTTATTTTCAACACTGCCCAGGTTGCCTGGTGCAGCTGATATCACCCTCAGTGACGAGCGGGTTCACGTCAGCCACGGCGGTGATCATCATGGCCTCGCAGGTGAAGGGCCTCCTGGGACTTAGTTTCACCGCTGAAACTCTGCTCGAGAACGTGCAGGAGATCATCGCCAGGTGGAACGACATACGCTTGGGAGACTGTTTGCTGGGAGCGACCTGTTGTACAGTGCTTTTAGTGTTGAGGGTAAGGTTTATCATTTAGAAATCATGAGTAGAAATAATTCATTTATCATAATAACTATAGCCCTGAACAAACAGCTAGAGAATTTTGAGGAGAACCGTCTGAAGAGTTTGGACGTGACACGCACCACCCGCAAGACTCGTGTGAGGCACTCCTGCATCTCCACCTACAATGATTCTGGCACACAATGCGACCGAGTCTTTATGAATAAACTTGGTTTGGCTAGTCACATTGACCGCATGGAAGGAAACATTTGTGAGTCGCTGTTGTCAGATTTACGACAAGGAGGATATCATAGCCCTAAATAAGAATAATAATACACACAGAGCCATCTAAACCCAAGCTAAACAAAGCTTGGTTTTTTTTGTGGATGATAATGAAATGATGCAACCGCCTGCGCTAACGGTTTACGCTGGCGGGGCCTCGCCTAGTGGAGGATGATAAGATGAACATGAGGTCTGGTCTAGCCCATCGTGACAAATTCATCAAGAATTCCACGACGGTTTCCAGGGGGAACCGCATGGAGGTCAACTTAACATGGTACATTGCTAGTATGTGGTAATTCACGTCCGTCACATGAGGTTTTTGATGATTTAGAAATTGCTCAAGTCAGTTTTTTCGTGGACTTACCAGTGATGAAATCATCCGTCAACATTTTCTAATATACAGTTAATGAGTATAAAAGTATGTCTGTTATAGAAATTAAAGGACCTGAAGGTGAGCCCGAAGCGTCTCAGACTGCAGAAAACACTGTGGCTTATTTCAATAAGTCGAAACGCGCTGGTGGTGACCGTTGCCGCTATATTCGCATACTGCAGTTACAACCCCAGTAAACTTCTTGTCAAACTCTCAGGTAAGTGTCGTTTGGAAATTACTATGTACTTTAGCTTTAACAAATAGAAATAGAAATAATCTTTATTCGAATAAACTTAATATAAACACTTTTGAATAGTCACTTTTTTTTATTCTACCGCTCTTTCGGAATGCAGACTCAGCACAAGAAGAATGAGCAAGAAACTTGTGTGTTGCTTGTGTTTATTGTTGCTTGTAACTTCATCAGATCCCACTTAATTACTCACGCATTGTAAAATAGTACATACATAAAGGAAGAGGTGAAATGTACTTCAAAACAACCGCCAATTCGTTAAAATAAGTATATGTCCAACAATTTCAATTTCAATTGTTGGTGGCTTCAAATATTTGTAAAAATTTTATACTGAGTGTTCGTGTACTTGAATAAATAACAAATACACAGACAGACACAAACAGAATAAAGTTATCCTGATTTTTAGCACAAAGTAATTAAGATTTGCAAATATTTTTAGATGTTCTTATTGCATGAATAATGTAAACTGTGTCAATAACAATTCTTCTGGTCAACATTTCTATAAATGGGAAAGGAAACAAACACCTCTTGTTTGTTATCCAATCACCATAAAATATATGTAGTATTTGGAATCGCCATAATGTCAATCAAACATGATCATGCGGACGGTGTCGTGTACAGAGTCTAGTATTGAAGAAACTAAAGAAACTGATAAGGAATTCAATGTAAACCTAGGTTACGTAGAGCCTGGTCTTCCGTCGCTGGCGCTGCCGCCATTCAGCGTCACCTCCGGAAACCACACGCTCTCCTTCTCGGAGATGGTGCACGAGCTCGGCTCCGGTCTCCTCATGATACCCTTTGTCATGGTGTTGGCTAACATCGCTATCGCTAAAGCCTTCTGTGAGTATAATTCAGTCACCCTTTATAATATAGTTAAATTGTAATAATTAAAATCCAGAATATTTACAATAATAACACTGTTGGTATTCAGTGGCAAACAAGAGCAGTGAATCATAATTTATTTTCAGACAACGAGAGTCCATTTTGTTAGTTACATTTGGGACAACCCGTCAATGTCCCAAATTACAGTCAATACCACCCAGTGTCCCAAAATTGGACAGTATTTTACAAACAATTGTCTTCACGACACCGCAATTGTAGAAGTCGTAGGTTCGCTCTTGCGCAAACATGAGTGACGCGCTGCAATGGCGCGACAGCCTCAACAGCGCCCTAAAGAGCACGAAGATCATTGTAGGTTTTTTTATGTATAGCTGCTACACCCGACATAAACTTTGACAAAACTTAACTCGTTGAACACCGAGTAAATCTGCGAACTAACATATTAATTACTTCTAACTGCCAATGTACTTCTTTCAGCTCAAGTCATCACATTAGCATGTATACCATTTAAGTTAAATAAAAACTAAACAATTTCCAGCTGGCGGCGGCCGCGTGGACGCGACGCAGGAGATGCTGACGCTGGGGCTGTGCAACGTGGTGGGCGCGCTGGTGCACGCCATGCCCACGTGCGGGGCCTTCACGCGCTCCGCCGTCTCGCACTCCAGCGGCGTGCGCTCGCCCGCCGCCGGCCTCTACTCCGGTTAGTATCCACCACCGCACCGTCTCGTGAGAAAACCTCGGCAGGTAGTACATTCCACACTCTAAGTGTAGGCGGGAGGAAGCTCCTCTGAAACCACCCTGTCATCATCGTCATATCATTTATACTACCTACTCGCCCCGACTTCGCACGGGTGTGCATGTATCTTATATATAAAATTCTCGTGTCACAGTTTTCGTTCCCATACTCCTCCGAAACGGCTTGACCGATTCTCATGAAATTTTGTGAGCGTATTGAGTAGGTCTGAGAATCGGCTAACATCTATTTTTCATCCCCCTAAATGTTAGGGGTAGTCCATCCCTAAATTTTTTTTTTATTTTTTTGACAATATATTTAGTTTTTATTTTTTTATGATACAACATACAAAATACATAAATTTTCCTACATAAATTTTCACCCTTCTATCATCAACCCCTGTTAACATATATAACTAGCTGTCCCGGCAAAACAACGTTTGCCGGGACAGCTAGTTATATATATAAACCTACCTCTTGAGTCACTCTATCTATTAAAAAACCGCTTCACAATCCGTTGCGTAGTTTTAAAGGTTTAAGCATACATAAGGAAGAATAGACAGCGACAGCGACTTTGTTTTATACTATGTAATGACTATATTGTATGCGTTTGCAGGCATCATCACGTTGCTGGCCCTGATGTTCATAACGCCGTACTTCTATTATATTCCCAAGGCGTGCATATCGTCCGTTCTAATTTGTGCCGTCATGTTTATGGTGAGTTATGACCACGTCTACTACGTCTGTGCACTGTTAGTACTTGGAGTAGTTTATTTCCTTCCCCAAGGTCTTATCCATCTTTATACAATAACTAGCTACTTGCCCCGGCTTAACACGGATGTACATGTATCTAAATATATATAAATCAAAAGTGACTGACTGACGTAGTGATCTATCAACGCACAGCCCAAACCACTGGACGGATCGGGCTGAAATTTGGCATGCAGGTAGATGTTATGACCTAGGCATCCGCTAAGAAAGCATTTTGATTAATTTTACCCCCAAGGAATAAAATAGGGAATGAAAGTTTAATGAAACTTTGTTAATTTTAAACCGATCGGGCTGAGATTTTGCGTGCTTAAAGCTACCATGACGTAGGCATCTCCTAAGAAAGGATTTTGATAAATTCCACCTCTAAGGGGATAAAATAGGTGATGGAAGTTTGTATGAAAGTACTATAAAGCTGCAAAAACTATACCTAATAATAATACTTTTTATCGCGAGCGAAGCCGCTGGCAAAAGCTAGTATGATATAAAACTTCATATCTTTACATTTGTTTCAAAAGAGGTACAGCTATACTCACATGCTGTACATAGAAAACACCCAGACTGATACAAACAAATTAATCAGAAATAGAAATGTTTGTGCGAGGAACTGAACCTGCGACTATTAGAAGTAAAGCGATGTGCTAAACCGATAGACCACCAAGGCCGTCAAATCTCGACTAAACTTACATGATGCGTTGCAGGTGGACTTCGATATAGTAGGGCGGCTGTGGCGGACCAGCAAGAGCGAGCTGATGGTGCTGGTGTTGACGTTTGTGATAGGTGTGACGATGACGGTGGAGCTGGCCGTGCTGGCGGGCGCGTTCGCCAACCTCGCCATGCTGCTGCGAGCGCTCATGGTGCCGCCGCTGCATCTCCATACCGTCAAGGTGAGTCACGTCAATTCTAGTCTCCCTCTCACAGAAGGCCAGAGATTTGCGAATATTATAAACCTACTCGTCGGTTCCATTTGCGAGCTGATTTGGTATAATGCCCTTACTGTCCGAGTCACTGCTCAAAGACCGCCATCTTGTGCTGTCTGGAAAAACCAGAAGTGATAATACAAGAAGACCTACTCCCGAATTGTGCGTTCCGTTCGCGAGCTGCTCTCTTTTTGTTCGCATCACTGTTCATAACCGCCATCTTGTGTCCTCTAGAAAAATCTGAATTAATACAAGAAGATCGTTTTAAATTTTTAGAATAAATTCAGAAGTAATTTGGTTTCGTACTGTGGGCTCAACTGAAAATTAGCGCTGGAAACTATGTTTCCAGCATTATGCTGAGTTGTGGTCCACATTGCTCTGTTTTTTTTTATGTGTAAATTATTCTAGTACTTCTTATGTTATTACTGTATAAAACGAGTTAATAAATTCTATTTTATTCTATTTTAATTTGCATTATTGAAATAAATAAATTCAAATTTCATATTTAACAATCTGCTTCTTGGTTAACATGACTTCTTATTTGTTAGGCTCTATGTTAGCTCTGGTATGATACATTTTAGTCAGTCTGTTCATAATCCTTATCATTGGACTTGACTTATTGGCTTTTTGCCTAGTTAAATAAAAAAGAAGTTTATTTAGTATTGTGCAGAAAATCTCTATCTCTCTGTTAGAGGGGTGAAGAGGAGGTGTGTAGGATTTGAGTTTTTACCATCTGCCTCTGACTGCTGGTGTGTGTACAGACTCCTGGTGGGGTTGTAGTTAAATAGAAATAAACCGTTTTTATCGCGTGGAAAAATCTTTAAAAATCGTCTCTTTGCCCGAGGGGTGATGAGGGGGTGTGTGGTATTCTTACCCACTAAAAAACCACTCGGTGTACGAGCGCCAGAGCCGGGGCGCGGCGTTTCGGAGCAGTCTCTCTGACTGCTGGTGTGTGTGCAGACTCCTGATGGATGGGTGGTGTGGGTGTAGTTAAATATAAAATAAGTTTTTTTTATCCTGTGGAAAAATCTTTAAAAATCGTCTCTTTGTCCGAGGGGTGATGAGTTGTGCAATTCTTATCCACTAAAAACTCGGTGTACCTACGAGCGCCAGCGTTTCGGAGCAGTCTCTTTGACTGCTCGTGTGTGTGCAGACTCCTGGTGAGGAGTGTAGTTAAATAGAGTGGAAAAATCTTTAAAAATCGTCTCTTTGTCCGGGGGGTGATGAGGGGGTGTATTATTCTTATCCATTGCTACCTACGTGTGTGACTGCTCGTGTGTGTGCAGACTCCTGGTGAGGAGTGTAGTTAAATAGAGTGGAAAAATCTTTAAAAATCGTCTCTTTGTCCGGGGGGTGATGAGGGGGTGTATGGTAATCTTGGCCACTAAAAACTTAGTGTACCTACGAGCGCCGTAGCCGGAGCGCGGCGTCCCTAGGCAGCCCCCTTGAGTGGTGGTGTGTGTGCAGAGTGGTGGTGGTGAGTGGTGCGCGGCGGCGGTGTGCGCGCCGGCGATGATGTTGGTGTACGTGAACGCGGAGGGCGTGTGTCGCCGCGCGCTGGCGGCGGCGGCCCGGCTGGCGCCCGCGCCGCTGCTGCTCGACTGCGGCCGACTCGCCCGGCTCGACGTCTCTGCAGCACAGGTACCCACATACTCTACACGGCCTCTGTGGACTTTTTATTTTTACTTGTTTTTCTACTGTTTTTATTATCACATTTTTCTATTTTTTATTATAAATATATTATCTATAATAGTACTACAGCATTGATTTGATACGGCCAAAGTTTTAATTGCTTAATGTGTTACTCTGGAGTGGGCTTCGGTGTTCTTCCAACTACACTGAACAGCAGCACGGACTATAAAAAAAATCTTAGGACAATACCGTCTAGATCGAGGTTAAGCTAAATAAAGCTTGTGTTATGGGTACTAGATAGTGTGATATAAATACATAGATATATATTTTTAGTAAATACATACATATTATACATAGAAAACACCCAGACCGATACAAACACCACGGTGGTCTAGCAGTTTAGTACACCGCTTCCCTTCCGATGGCGGCAGGTTCGATTCCAAGCACGGTACACACGTTTGTATTCATGAGAATGATAGTTCGTATTGGTTTGGATGTTTCTTATTTATGTGATTACAAAAAAAATTACAAGTATTTCTATCAATCGTCTAGTACTGGTAACACAAGCTCTGTCATATTATATTCAAATGTAGAAAATACGAACTAGACAGATTATTACTCATTCACGAGATTCAAGAGCATAGTAATGAAGTACCGAAGTCTCTAGAAGAGATCTTATCAAGGCCTGCACTATTCAAGACTTTATATAAATTTATTTCCAACACTGTGAAGAAATTGTATTTTTTTTTAAGTTTTTGTATTTTATGTTGGGCTAAAAAGGACTTGTATCCAGATTAAATAAAAAAAATTTGATGGCACTAGAATAATCCCCTGACATATTTATCAATCATATTTATAGAAGCAATCCACTTTTTGACACTTGATAAACACGTTCAAAAGTTGTCCATTATGTATAACTTTTAACTTAAATATCAAAATAAAAAAATAAGAATCAAAATATCTTTATTCATGTAGGTCTATTATATACTTTGCTTTACAAATATTTTTATAAATATGTGCAAGCATTTTTGAAAATCAATCTATCGTCAGTTCGAAATTAGAGGTAGGTATTGACGATAGATTTGACATATTATAATATGTCAAATCTACCGTCAGTTGGGAATGATTTCGAGATGAGAAGAACTGACAAGAAACTCAGCTCGTATTCTTTTCAAAAATGCTTGCACATATTTATAAAAACATTTGTCTTTTGTTGTTTTCAAACAGTTGCGTACAGATCCATTCTTAAATTTAAATTAGTGAGAATAGGTCGACCTAGTATATGCTATTACAATTATGCAAGAGGAAACAGTTTGATCACAATATTATTAAATATTCTTTATTGCACTTAAATACATTTGTAAGTATATTAATTACAACTAATGTTAACAAAGGACGACTTATCTCTAAAAGAGATCTCTTCCAGTCAACCCAATAGAGCGTGGCATAGGAAGTGTTGAGTGGGTCAAAATGTGCAAATAATATTTTTTATAAAAATGTCATAAATAATTAAAACTAAACATAAAAATATAATGTCCAAAATACAGATACTAATACAATACACATAAAGATAAAAAAAAATATATATTAATATATATGTACTTGAATACCTAAATTATTATATTATATACATTTTCAGATTTTACAGCGTCTCGCAAAAAAATTAAAAACCACCAAACAGCAGCTGATCATATTCAACGTGTCCCCGGAGGTGGCGCAGGGGCTCGAGTGCCTCCAGGACATCGACAAGAGCGCCTTCCGCGCGACCACCGCCTCCGAAGCACTAGCAGCCGCCGCCCGCCCGCGGGACGACGAGGCCGGCCCGTTGCTCGCGGACGGGCCCGAACACGCTTGACGATAACCCCGAACTTAGGAATTACCTCCTCTAGCTTTCTCGTTTCCTAGTCGAATTATTTCGGAAAGTAAAATTATGTTATTAGCTACCTTTACACGTTATTTCGTGCTCTTTCACGTTGTTTCGTCTCATTTCACTTTCTTAATGTATATAATTAAAAACTGACGGCTGTATGAGCTTAGACTCTTTGCCTTTCCTATAAGGATAAAAAAAAAATTAAATAAAATTTTTATTATTAGCTACCATTACACGTACGCTTTCAGGCAGGAAAGAATATTTAAGGTCTACACAACGGCGGATCTGGGGGGAGGTCATGGGGGTCATGACCCCCTGAGCCCAGGACTTAGGTGGCCCACTAATTGAACGTAATAATTTTATTTAATATTTTGTCACCATACAAATTTTATCAATATTTTTAAGTACAGTACTTACGTACATTAATAAAATACCTACTTTTTACTCGAATCTATTGTTATCAAAATTAAATTATAAGTTCTTGACTTGACCACAACTATGTGACCCCCTCCTGGCGCCAAAGCTGGATCCGCCCTTGGGTTTACATTACACATTCTTATATATATGCAGTGCCTTTTTGTTTTAGGTTACAAAATTAGGTCTACAAAACTGGATGTCTTACAGAGTACCTAACTTCACACAGATGAAATAAACTAAATAAATAAATAAACTATTCAAGTGAAACATCCTACTATACACAGCAGCATTGCTTAATTTTTAAACACACAAATTGACACTACACAGTAATTATTATTAAAATTACAATAAAATTGTATTAATAAAGAATTAGGTTATAAAACTTCTTATATTTCAAATGCAATTTAGTGTCTATTTAATATTACTGACTGATGCGCTAAAAATATCAAATATATGTCTAACATTCTTGTAATATTCACACATCCAATAATCTTAATCTTGTTTTAAAAGAAAAAGATAGTTAAATTTAAAAGAAAATTTCTTGGCGGTAAATCGCGAACGCATCTGATCGCGTGTCAAAGAACGCGTAGTGTAAAGGAAGCTACTGACCGAGTTTGTATTAATATAGTGATTAGAGTAGTTGAGTTTTTTAATTACAATTTGGTCGCCAAATAGTCAACAAGGCTCCAAGCTATATCCGAACTCTATTCAACGCCTGATGATGCCTCGTTCAGAGGCGAAACGCGTGGCGCAACATGGGTGTAGACTCAATAACGATCGGAATTTGATCACCAATAGAGAAGGTCGTAACGCTTCCAGTAGTGGTTAAATTCAAATTCAAAAATCATTTATTCATGCAGGACATTTTAGCCGCTTATGAACGTCAAATTTTTACATTATAATTTTATTTTTTTTCCCTACCATCCAGTTCGGTTTATAGATCCAATCATAATCGTTAGCTTTCCGCACTGAATATGTGTGGTCTCACACATGCTAATTGTATGCGGAATTAAACAAAATAATATAAATACGTTAAGTAATGGAATATATGAGTTATGTGATATTTTATAACTTTAAAAGTGTGTGATTATATGTAAACACGTTACAAGCAGTTCTATACCCACATTCCGCTTTGACGGCCTCGGTGGTCTAGCGGTTCAACAGGATCGGAATTTGATCACCAATCCGATGGTCGCGCTTCGATTCCTCGTTAAATTCAAATTCAAAAATCATTTGTATTCACGCGTGTAATTGTTTGATCGGTCAGGGTGTTTTCTATTATATTTTTTTTATAACACAGCGGACAATCGAGCGTGCGGTTCATCTGATGGTAAGTGATTACCGCCGCTCATGACCACATGTAACACCAGTGGAATTCACAAGTACGTTGTCGGCCTTTTAAAAGAATAATATTTAGTTGAAGGTTTGGAATATATCGAGTTCGGATATTTTATACCATTGCTGGAAGTGTGTGATTACAATGTGGCAAAAAGTTTCTATAAAATGTAGAGATGAGTCAACTCGAGTTAGCGAGTTACCTGAATTTTATCTCGATGTTAACGCGAGTCATGTTTATTACGAGTTAAAACGTCTCTAAAATGTATAATATGTATGTATTTACGAGTTATCTTGTACCCATAACACATGCTTTTACTAGCTCAACTTGGGTCTAGATGACCCTGTGTGAATTGTCCTGAGATTATTATTATCTTATCTATTATCTCTCTGGTCAATAATATTTTCCAACTAGCTGCACCCGCGACTTTGTCCGCGTGGAATTTAACTTTATTTTTCTGTAATAAAAGTACCTAAGTTACTCCTTCTTAAATCAGCTACCTGCCAAAAAATGTCCCGTCAAAATCGGTCTAGCCATTTCAGAGATTAGCCGGAACAAACAGATAGACAGACAGACAAAATTGTAAAAAAAGTTATTTAGGTGTATGTACCATATTTATATTCCTATGCATGTAATAAAAAACGGTTATTTCAATATTACAAACAGACACTCCAATTTTATTTATATGCATAGATGTATAGATGATAAAAATTGTTTAAATATTTTTAGACCCCTAAAACTCTATCCACACTCATTTGCATCTGATAATACTATTGCCAGGGTGACTGTTTTGTTTGTAACATGTAAGTAATATATTTGTTAAGTATTAACTTAAATTAATTTAGTAATAAGTACCCATTTACTGACGATGTTAATTAGATACGGTATATCAATACAATCCGAGGTTGTACTCAACAATTGTAGGTACACAATGTATAGGTACACAATGTGTAGGTACACAAATCATAATTAATAAGTAAGTAAGCTACATTGTAAAATGTAGCTAGTATTTATGTTCAGTGTACATATTATGTGGCATATAATAAAATTGTATATAATATATGTAAATATGAATTATTGTTTAGTAGTTTCATTTTAGAATTACAATTATCTTTATATATAAAAACTAGCTGTTCCGGTGACTTCGTCCGCGTGGAATTTAACTTTATTTTTCAAAAATAAAAGTAGCCTAAGTTGCTCTTTATTACATCAGCTACCTGTCAAAAAAAGTCCGATCATAATCGGTCCGGCCATTCCAGAGATTAGCTGGAACAAACAGACAGACAGACAGACATTGAAAATACAAGAGAAAATTGTAGAAAATGTTATTTTGGTGTATGTACCGTATTTATAATCATATGCATGTAGTAAAAAACGGTTATTTCAATATTACAAACAAATACTCCAATTTTATTTATATTTAGGGGTAGATGTAGGTAAGACAGGGTAGCGGGTAAGACGGGGTACCCACCAAAATTCACAGTTCAAATTGATCAATCACGCTCTTTCAATCATCGTGCGACGCGCCACCATGATACTTAACAGTCGCCGGGTGTTTAGTGATTCACAAGTGCAGTGTCGATAAAAATGCAAAATAAGTGTTTTATTGCAAGTTATTTATAACATTTTCTTCTAGCTTGACACGTGACTGTGGTTTGTTAAATAACGTTAGCTGGTGAGGTGTTGTTGTGATTGATGCTTAAACTAATCTATAAAAAAGTAGGCATTTTGTTCCTTTAATATTATTGACTGTTTTGTATTTATTTATTTTTTTATATAAAAGGGCTCTGCAGGCGAGATAGGGTAACTGATGAGAATAATTCTGTTCTGGTTTGTTTTTCGAAAAATGAGTTCGTTTTTTGTGAGTTTGTGATTTTAGAATGGTTCGTGAATACAAACGCACGACTAACGTCGTCGGTCGTGGTCCGAAGAAACCATGCAGGAAGCGAAGAGTTCAAGCGGTTTTGGATGAAAAAATGGGTTATAAAGAGAAAAGTTAAGGTTTCCTAAGAAATCCTCTCATGTTGCTAAAAAGCATGGAGACACAGCAATAATCATGTCGCCTCCTACAAAAAAGAATTAGAAGTCATAGCTGGAGCAGCAGTTGAAGCAGCTGGTTTGATGTGTAACTTGGATGTCGCTACATAACCCATGCTTACCGTGGGACTAGATGAGGCCGTGTTAATTGTAGAAGCTTATTTATTTTTATTTTCATCGAGACGCCAGATCAGCAGGGTTCTCCTTGGATGGTACATGAAACCAATGATGACTACATAATGAGGTTATTATCTCCGATATCCTGTAAATGACTTTGGTCTTTCGACAGCCGGATTCTGTACATCGCGGCACGGACGTGATCATCAGGGAAAAAAGGGCTTAAAGTATGACATCATAAATTACCATAATTATATGAATATTTTTAAATAGGATTTTAATGTCCAAATATTAAAAATGTATACATGAATTCTATCGATTAGCATATTTACTAAACCACTGTCCTTTCTTTATAGTTTCGAGCCAGTGCGGGTCGTACCGATGTGCTGTCTTATTTTGTAGAGCTGTATATATATTTCGTAACCTAAAGATGGATTTGGCAATATAGCAAGATAAGTTTAAATTGTGTGCTCTCTTTAAACTTAGAACAACCTTCAATTGTAGTAGCTTCCCGCTCCAGCGAGGAGAGCAGACTACTATGCTTGTAAAGCTCATATTGCTGTTCATATGTATAGGTCTGGGCTTGCCGAATATTAAATTTAAGTAAATTACAAATTTGTGTTACACACAATTTCGATAACGCCTACAGAATTCGTTAAAGCAAAACCTTTTCACGTGTGTCATTACTTTTAAAACAGGAGTTTTATCCGAATATTAAGTATTTTGTTTTGTATTATTAAAAATTAACAATAAAAACAGACAAAAATGCTATGAGTTATATTTATTATGTCCTATATGATATAACCTTTTGCCGATGATTGTTACATACTAATAGTAAAACCTGTCAACTATTTGAATTAAATACTAACTAATATTATGTTTCCGTGGCATATTTTTAATATATATACATAATGAACCGGAAATAGTAGCCTATTACAGAAGGTATAATGGGTAATAATCTACGTACATATATTAAATACATAAACCTTTTAGTTTCCGAGGAGATGATTGAATTGATTGGTTATGAGTGAATGATCAGCAGAAAACTTCAGCTTAGTTCAATTGCTCAGCAACGTCATGTGCATTCTCGTAAATGTTGCCAAATAATTAATGGTAGAAATCTGAGTTCTACAATATTCATGGAATAATATACAATAAAATTTAAAAAGATTATTATACATAACTTTCTTTCTTTTATACTCATACATATTTAGTTATTTATAATTTGTTTGAGAAATACAATTTTTTTACTTAAATTTATGTAAAATGATAAATACGACTTCGTAAGGCAATATGACAAATAAATTTACAGAGCACATTCTATTTTTTTTTTTAATTGCGTAGAGTTAGGTTAAAAATTTAGTATAACGTCCGGGATGTAAAATGACCATATACCATATTTTTATTGCTTCTTTAACAATTTATATATATTTTATGACTCGTACTAAATTGAATAGTAACCCCACAGATAAGACAATAATACCTACACGTAATATTAATAAATGATTATATATGAAGACGATTTTACTTGTGTTACAATGCCACTTTGCATGTGCGTAGTTCAATATGAAGTAAGAAAGCATGACTAATATTTGGTCTGTTTAATACTTTCATTATATTTACTTCAGACCAATACATTTTTAAATATTTTTGTTGTTTTTGTGTAGTTTTATTTATCGAGATAGTGGCAACATTAATACTATCTTCTTGTCACCGCTGTGTGCTCCCGGTCATTGACATTCATTCATTCCATATTCGATCATTCATTCACAAGTCGCGAACCCTTCGTGGTCGACGGTAATGTCTGTCGACCGTTTTATTTTCGTAACAAAGGATTTTCTGAAATGTAAATGCTGACTTAAAACCTGCATAGGATTAGTCGCTTAAGTTTAGTGTTAGGTTGACATTTTAAATATTGGCAGTGAGAATTTAATTTTTTGTTATAACTTCGAGAAGTCAATATATCGACCTCAATAGCGGCTGTTTATGTTTATTATACGTGTAGTTCGATGTTTGTTTTACAAACAGCTAGTTTACCGATATTTAAATTATAAATAGTGAGAGTATTCCATGCGTGGATAGCAGGAAATATCGGGGTTTGTGTGTGATGTGAGAGCAGTGTCGACATGTATATCGGAAGGATGGGTGCTGTGTGGCTCGTGGTGGCCGCGGTGTGGAGCGGCGCGGTGGCCGGCCATTCTTTCCTGAACGACATCAGCCGGAACCTGCGCACGGAGATGTCCGGCGTGATGGAGATGGCGAACGTGTCGTACTCCACGCCGGTCATCAACGCCACATATTTATCGAAGAACGAGTTCGACATGCGCGCTATGGGCATGCTGTACAACTCCACGCACCTGGTTATCGACCTCATTGCCAAGAAGGAAGCATACCCTGAAGGTGAGTACGCAGTTCACACTCTGCCCATGTGTACATTCAGTTATATGGCAGAAAAAAAATATCTCTAAATGACTAATATACTATCAAATTGAATGATTTTTTCATGACATTTGAATCTTTAGACACAGTTATTTAATAAAATGATGCTAAGATTGTTTATTAAAAAAAAAAAACAAAGTAAGTATATATTTAGTAGTGATATATAATGTCTGTCTGTCTATGAAAAACTGATTAGAGAGGTCTGTCACAGGTACTTAGTGATAAATTCTGTTATTTAATAAACATACTCTAACTACAGGTCTAGAGCTGATTTTGTTTCCAGAACTAATTAAATACATGTTTTTTTTTTTACCCATTTTCGTCCATCTCCTTTTCAGTGATGGAACAGGCAAAGATCCTCAGACTGTACAGCCTTTAATTAAATACATTTCTTTTCTTGTCAACCATTTTGATTTAGAGGGTAGAATTAAGACATTTCTCTTACCATTAGTTTCTTGTCCTATATATTATTATCTCTTATGCAAAATTATACAATAAGTATAATAACATGACATCTATATACATATAAATAAAATTGGAGTGTCTGTTTGTAATATTGAAATAACTATTTTTTACTACATGCATATGACTAAATATGGTACATACACCAAAATAACATTTTTAACAATTTGGCTGGACCGATTTTGACAGGACTTTTATTGGTAGGTAGCTGATCTAATAAGGAGTAACTTAGGCTACTTTTATTTTAGAAATATAAAGTTATATTCCACACGTTGATTTCAACTTCGTCCGTGTGGATATAATATAATCTGCACAAATTACAAGTCCAGTTAGGATATAAATGTAAATTTTGAAAAATATTGTTTATTATATTTGTAATTTTTTATACTATTAGTAATTTGGAACTTAGAAAAAGAAGTTAGATCTTCTAGATTTGGAAGTTAGATCACTTAGACAATAAATCATTCTTACTTTAATATTAGGTGACCCCGCAAACATTGTTTTGCCATATAAATTAAAATCACTATTAAAAAATAGGGGTTGATGGTAGAAGGGTGAAAATTTAAAGCTGTATGTATTTTTTAATATCACATTAAAAAAAAAATTTTGTACAAAAAAAAATTTAGGGGTGTGGCCATCCCTTATCACTTAGGGGTATGAAAAATAGATAGTAGCCGATTCTCAGATTTATTGAATCTGCATATAAAATTTCATAAAAATCTGTCAACCCATTTAGGAGTAGTATGGTAACTAACATTGTGATACATGATTTTTATATATAAGAAGATAAGTTTTTGCTAACCACAAATGTATGAATGAATCGAGATATCAGGCCTGTAGTGAATATGATGGCATCCTTATGACAAATCTATATAAATATATATAGTGACCTATCAACAGCCCAAACCACTGGACATAGTGAAATTATAGATGTTATGACGTAGGCATCCGCTAAGAAAGGATTCTGATTAATTCTACCCCCAAGGGGATGAAAATTTGTATGAAACTTTGTCAATTTTAAACCGATCGGGCTGAGACTTTGTATGCATAAAGCTACTATGACGTAGGCATCCCCTAAAAAAGGATTTTAATAAATTCCACCCCTAAGGGGATAAATTAACGCAAGCGAAGCCGTGGGCAAAAGCTAGTTTCATAATATAAGTCTGTGAAAACAGGTTTACAGATGATGCACACATTAATACAAACTAGATTTTGTATACAAGACACATATTTTTTTATACATAACATAATATTCTGTTTTGTTTCTAGTTTCATACTAATAAATTACTTAAGTTTATTTCAATTTATGTAATTTACAGCCATAAATAATAGCAAATGTTTTTCCTTATTTATCCCAATTTTAAGTTTTTTACAATTAGTTAAATATTTATGTTGGAATGAAATCCAACTGTAAGGAACAAAAATGAGTAACCATTTTTATATATATATATATATATATATAAAATGCACGCTTTATATAACAACATGATTAATTTGTTTTAAATTAAAATATCTACAATGTCATATAAAACAGTTTTTGCAAAACCTGATTATAAAATTATCATCGTTAACTATATTACTGTTTTTATAAAAACAAAAATGAGTAACCATTTTTATATTAAGTAATGAAATGTGGTATGATAATGGTACAAAAATGAAGTATTAATCTTGTATAAATTATTTATATAAAAAGTCCATATATTCAGTCAACATTAAAACTATGATTAATTTCTGTTGAATTTGAAAAGTGGGAATCAAAATATGACTATTCAAAAGTGCTTGTAATGAGTTTATTTGAATAAAGATTATTTCTATTTCTAGTACCTGCCCCGCTCATAATGTGTTGATTTTCATCCTATCATCTTTCGCTGATATTTCACCCAGCATATACCAAGATACATTTCCATATTCAACCATCCGTACGGGCGTTTGGGCCCGAGTTCCCACCAACATGCTGCCCACCTTCGTGAAAGAGGACTACTGGCCGAAGGGTGTGGTGTATCGGCGCTACCGGGGCAGATTACCATCATCAGTGCCGTGATCACACAGACAATTTATATTTCATTTTCTATCTAAATATATATAACTCAAAGGTGACTGACATAGTGATCTATCACCTCACAGCCCAAACCACTGGACGGATCGGGATAAAATTTGGCATGCAGGTAGATGTATGACGTAGGCATCCGCTAAGAAACGATTTTGATTAATTCTATCCCCAAGGGGATAAAATAGGGGATGAAAGTTTGTATGAAACTTTGTCAATTTTAAACCGATCGGGCTGAGACTTTTGTATGCATAAACTATGACGTAGGCATCCCTAAATTTTAATTTGATAAATTCCTCCTCTAAGGGGATAAATTAACAAAAGCTATTTATATGTCATTTGTATGTTAGTCTGTAAGGTATTTTTAATATAGGTATCAATCTCTGGCGGTATAGAGATAATTAGCTTGAAGCGAGACTTCGCTTCGCTTGTGTGTTCTACCGATTATAGGACCAGACTGTGTTCTGAGCAATTGTTCGACATGATGCCGACAGCCACCTTTTACCACCGCACCGCTCGCCATCGACAGGGAATTCATCCCCACACGCTGGAACGCGGAAGTGCGGTTTCAGAGGAGCTTCCTCCCGCGTACACTTAGATTGTGGAATGTACTTCCTGTCGAGGTTTTCTCGACGAGACTACAGCATGGGGTTTTTCAAGAAGGGTATATTAAGGTTTCTTAAGGGTCGGCAACGCGCACGTGATACTCCTGGTGTTTCAGGCGTTCATAGGCTACGGTAACCATTTACCATCAGACGGCCACCATCGTTGTATAAAAAAAATGGGCCATTAGTTGAATTAAATAAATAAATAAAAAAAAAATACTTATAGGAGTTAATAATGATCAATTTATTGCATAAACAAGTTCATAGGACTTGATATGTGGCTGTTATAGGAGTATGCTTCATTATGTTACGCACAATGGATTTTAAACAATGGTACTTTGTATGCACTGCTAATATATTCACATTGCACTACTCCAGGGTGTTGGTAATACCTGTAATTGTTACACAGTGGAGTACTTGAGAAGGTATTAAAGCACTAAGAGCTGAAATTATATGAAATTGTATTTATTAGGTAGTTGCTTAAACAAAGGACATACATAATTACAATTAAATTAATCTATACATCTATACTTATAATTAAAATTGGAGTGTCTGTTTGTAATATTGAAATAACAGTTTTTATTACATGCATATGAATTGAATACACCAAAATATTTTTTTTTTTACAATTTTAGTCTGTCTGTCTGCTTGTTCCCGCTAATCTCTGAAATACTACTATTTTGAAATAAGGGGGATAAATTAACAAAAGCTAGTTATATGTAGGTATGTTAGTCTGTAGGTATTTTTAATATAGGTATCCAATCTATCTGGCGGTATCGAGATAATTAGCTTGAAGCGAGTACTTCGCTTTGTGTTCTACCGATATATATATACCGACTCTGTTCTGAGGAATTGTTCGACATGATGACGACAGCAACCTTTTACCACCACACCACTCACCATCGACTGGGAATTCATCCCCACACGCTGGAATTTAAGTGGTCCCGATTACAGTGGAGCGGTTTCACATAAGCCTCGCGTATTTAGATTGTGGAATGAACTTATAGGTTTTCACACACAGACTACATTTGAGGTTTTTCAAGAAGGATTATATTAAGGTTTCTTGGGTCGGCAACGCGCACGTATATAAATATATAAATTTTCAGGCGTTCATAGGCTACGGTATCCATTTACCATCAGATGGGCCGTATGCGTGATTGCCACCATCGTTGTATAAAAAAAATGGGCCATTAGTTGAATTAAATAAATAAAAAAAAAAAATACTTATAGGAGTTAATAATGATCAATTTATTGCATAAACAAGTTTTTGGACTTGATATGTTTTTTATATTCATTATGTTACGCTACATATGGATTTTAAACAATGGTACTTTGTATATGCTAATATATTCACATTGCACTACTCCAGGGTGTTGGTAATAATGTAATTGTTACACATGGAGTACTTGAGAAGGTATTAAAGCACTAGCTGAAATTATATGAAATTGTATTTATTAGGTAGTTGCTTAAACAAAGGACATACATAATTACAATTAAATTAATCTATACATCTATACTTATAATTAAAATTGGAGTGTCTGTTTGTAATATTGAAATAACAGTTTTTATTACATGCATATGAATTGAATACACCAAAATATTTTTTTTTTTACAATTTTAGTCTGTCTGTCTGCTTGTTCCCACTAATCTCTGAAATACTACTATACTACTCTGAAATACTGATACTACTATACTATATACTGAACGGGACGGAAACAATTATGATATAAAAAATTTGACGTTCATATGCGACTAAAATGTCCTATTAAATGAACGATTTTTGTATTTGAAATGTTTGTTTTTATATTCGTGTTGTCTCCGTACGGTAGTAGTTTTGTCAATACTAA